AGAGAGATTAGCAGTTGCTGCTTAAACTCCACACCTTCAATTGGTGGAATCATTGCTCAATGGGAAAGGATGTGCGCCTGAGCTGTGGACAGGAAGGTGGTGGCAGTCTTGATAGTCCGGTTCCTGAACCAGGCAGGTATTCCAGGGCACTGGTGATGACAGCACAGCCAGCTTGAATCATTGGCAGGACCTGGAAGGGCAGACCAGTGACTGGACGCAGGTAATCCTGCCACTCAGTCCCTGTTAACCCTGCAAGCCAAAGCCCTAACGGGTATGATGGTCCGAGCTGGACAAGTAGCAGAAAAGCTTGCCAGACAGTGTTATAAATGGCAAGCTGCGCCATTTTAGTTGGTTAAACTCCAGCAGTATCACAACTCACACTCTGGGATCCCTAAGCCTTGGCTCTTGGCAACCCATGCCAAATACTTTCCGGAATGAAGTAAACAGGATACGTCCCTCCAGGGAGAGAGTCCACATTCCATTCCAACAATCTATCTCTGGGATTTCCATGTTTAGTGGGGATGCATGGAATATCAGAAGTCTTCTCATTAGAACTGTAACAGGAATGACATTTTGCCATTTGTTTTCAGCGCTGAACAAAGCCATGTGTCATGTTGCAGAAAAACTAGTTTTGCATTTATGCCATAAAGAAAAAGTACTCCAAGAGTTAAATACTGAAGTGAGTTTGTGGAACACTCAGACCTGCCCAGCAACCATTTGTGCCACGCCACAGCAACCAACAGCTTTGTCCTTTGCCTGTATGATGATTAGTTTGCACAAAACTAGCCCTTAGGGCGTTTGTAATTAAGAAACTGATTTACAGACAGATTTAAAATCACTGTACTTAAAAGCTTATGGTTACTTTATCAAGACATCATGTCAATGCTCAATAAAATAGAACATCAAATTCAATTTCATTTTCCTGCATCCAGCAGTGTTTTCGAAGCGATTCATTTCAAGTTTGTATTCTTTACCAAAGTAGTTGACAAACTGGTTCAATCAAAAATCCAGAGCCTTGTCAGATCAGCAAATACAGTAATTATAAAAGCAAAGGTTAAAACTCAGAACTGTGGTGACGTTTCAAAAATAAAATCCAATCAAGCAGACTTTTCAGTCAGTTGAAAATGTGAAGGGCTCTTACATTTGCAAAAATGAAAATACTAGCTTTTGGTAAACAAATTCTGTCCTAACATTTCTCACTCTGAAGAGATGCCTCTGCACAACTATTCAGGCCTCAGTTTTGATTACTTCAAGTCAAGGAATAAGCTCTTCCCCATGTGGAAATGCTTAAAAGTTCAATTGGAATTTTTGGCTGTGTCCATTACAGAGAGTTCTTTGGCACTGATCCAGACTCTGCTTTAAACACAGCTACAAAAAGTTCAAGAAACATGTTTTTACTTAATCTTTGAAAACTTTAGCCAAATGGTTGGCAACTCATGGATTAAAGTTAATTTAACATAAAGCTTGAGAGTTCTCTGAAAGCATGGTCTCATCTTCCTGCATTCCCTACATCAAATCGTGTTCTGTCCTGAATGGGGTTACTAAGTTACCAGCAGGTCGGGAACTGTGGAGACATGTACAGCATTAACAGCATTTTTTTCTACAAAATGTTGGATAAGGCATTATCTTTAATCTTGGACACTGACACTGTCCGGAGTGGTGCATGAAATAAATGGAAATCAAGTTAATGTAGCTATCCTTTGACACATACTGTAGCATTTAATATTATATACAATTCATTTTTTATTTCCAGATGATCATACCATTCAGTGTGTTTGTTTAAATTCTGTCCGCCTCATAATTCACGAGACTGTAAAAGGACTGCTGGAATGCCATTGCTACAGCAAAGAAAACATGCAGACTTTCTTCTGGTTTATATTCTGATCCCAATTTAAATCCAAATGAATTGGTTTCTCATCTCATGGCTATTCATCAGATATTGCTTGAATAGATTAGCTGCCACATTTGCCAATACTTTTACCGACAATCTTCATTTCTAACAATTGGCTGCTGTGGTTCCCCCACAAAATATTCTGTGAAGCACTTTGATACGTCTCAAAGATGTGTTAAAGCACTATATCAAATGCAAGTATTATTATTTTTTTAAAAATCCCTTCAGCGAAACCTACAATTATTTTGGCCTTGCAATTATAGTGGTAAATGGGAAATCCCATTAGTGGCCATGATATCAAAGAAAATATGGACTTACGTTTTGTATAAAGTATTTGAGTTTTTTTTAAAGAAAGTGGAAGGTGCTGTACAAATTAGCCAATTATAGGAGAAATGTCCAAAAAGTCATTTATGCGTTCTGTCCATGAAAAATTCCAGACTAATGTCTGGAATTGCCTAAGATAGCTTATCCCAGCCTTTAAACACAGCCCTATAGCTCCTGCCATAAGTGGTCAAATTGAGTTAGTAGCAGAACTAAATAAATTACAAACCTCCACTTTCTGTGAAATGGAGGTCCACAAGCACCAATAACAAGTATACCTGACTGAAACAAAGCGTGTGTGTGTTTTTTTTCCCCACAGTCGATAACTGAACAGAAGAGATATTTTCAAAGTTCTACAGAATATTCATTTCTTAAAACATAGGAGGTGGGGTTAATAGATTACCTTTACTAAAGATAAAAATGACTGTTTTTAGATTTCCTCGAGGCCTCCTGTATTCCAGAGAAATTAGCAGCTAAAAGGTTGTGGAAACAAATGAGAGAAGGGGAGGATGCCACTTGCAACAGGTCTTAATATGGTAATGGTTACAGCTTGAAGATAGAATGAGCAAAATATCCTTGCAAAGACTGATGAGGCTCATTTTAAACACATCATAATGGAGGTGGAACAATGGACTCTCTTACATTCATATCGCTACTTTTGAAAGTTCAGCTTCTCCTAGAATGAAAAATAAGCTTCCCCAAGATAACAAAGCTTGTGACGAATACACATATTGCAGTTTGTACAAAGAGCATGCAAGAGGCTGTTAAGTCGAGCCAAGATTTCGCAATTTCTAATAAAGCCAAATGACAAAATGAACCCTCAAAAAATGAATAGGTTCTTCGGTTTCCAGAATGTAGATAGATCAACAAGGAATTCTTCCCCCCCACCCAACCCCAAGCTGTGCTGATGTGAAAGTCTACATGAAGTGATTGTGTGCGTAAACTCTGAACATACACAAATGTAAAAAGGAATTCAATGTTGAAACCAGCGGCCTCAAATGACTGAAGAAAGATTTAATTTTATTGCCAAGATATTTAGTCAGAGAGGGTGGTACTCGACTGAAACTGATTCACATTTCTCACCCGGCCCCTTCCATCTGCAATCAGTCAAGCGACCGTTTGTTTTTCAGTGAGCGAGGCTGCCCTTCCCACCCCACATATAATTCCTTTATATACATGTGTGAGTTGCCCCAACGGTAACTCAGTGTCAGGCAACTCATGCCCCCCAAATTGTGTGACTTTACCACAAAATGACAGACAAGCCTGATTTCCTTTCTTTATGACTTTGTGATTAACAATCCACCGGATCAACTTGCAATGCTGTAATGCTTGATCTGAGGCAAAATTCAAGAGACTGTGGTAGTCTGTATCAACTTCGCCACAACTATTGCTATGATTGGAAAGGTATTCTGGCGAGTTCCCTTTCGAGATGAGGTCATTAGAAGAATTTACAAGTTGATAAACGTTGCTCACTGATAAATGATTGGAATGCCTGTTCCTCATTTCTACCCACTAACCACAAATATTTGCAGCACCGTTCAAAAAAGGAGAAGAATAAAGGCAGGCACTCTTTGTATGGACATAAAAAGGAACTTCTTTAAATCAGAAATCCCCACAGAAAGTCTGAATTGATAAAATTCACAAATCATTACAGAGGGAGAACATAGGTTACATATAAAAGCTCTTTCAAAAGAAAATGTGATCACTGCACTTTGACTTTGGCACTTGCTCCCTCTACATTGCTCTTATCTATTAGTCTTTAAATCTGCCTAAAAAATCTACCTCTGACTGCAGTTACAATGATATCATATCCCGTTTCCCTCAACACCATCTCTGAGAAGCATTCCGAGACATTATCATACATTAAAAAATCTGACAACAACTTGCATTTATTTTGCACTCTTCAAACAAGGTAGTGTCTTAGGAGTGCTTAATTAATCTTTAAGGTTGTGATATAAATGCAAGTCTATTGCATTCTAGAATGAGCCTACAAAGTACTTTAGGAGTATTCGATCACTCATTTTCAGCAGTTAAATATAGAAACATACAAGTTACCACACCAATAACCAATGTTCACTACACTTTGTACTTCGTCACAAAAACATCCTTTCAATGAGAAAAACTAAACACTAAATATTTAGAAATATTTTTTGTACCAGTTTCTATTCAGTCTTCCTAGCCCACATACATTTAATAAATTATATTTACACCTTTTCTAGTGGAGTTAAGATGCAAGGCATTACAAATCGGAAGCAGAATGGATATTTAAAAATATCCAGTGGGTATCTTACAAGATATTCAGAGGAAATTAATATATTAAAAGGGGGCTAAAAACTGGCAAAACTTAAGTTGACCAGTTTGAAAAGAACTTCAACATGGATGGAAATTGCATGGAAATCACACCTCTAAACCTTCCCAGAATCCAGGCAGAAAGATATCAACCGATAACAATGATCTAAACATGTCAATGCATTTAAAAAAATGCCTTTGGTCAAGAATATGAAGTAAAGAATCGCAAGCTTCCCACATCTATTGTAGACAATTCTGAATAGATTAAGTGGGTCATGAAATGAGGGGACAAATAGGATTTTCCTTTGTTATGCAAGAGACTAAATCCACACCATGGGAAGAAAAATAGTTGTTTTGTACTGGGCTTTGGACTAAATTATATCCACAAATAATTTTGGGGCATGTCTTTCAAATTTCATTTAGTGTTCTAGTGTCAACCAATTACAGCAACACCTTAATGAAGTATCTAGCCCACAAATATATACATCAAAATACGCACTTGTTCTGTCCAATCGTCTCATAGTCCTTGACCACAGCTTGGATCGATGAGGAGCTATCTAATGGGACTCCCTTCAAATCAAACTCAATTTTCTGCAGAAAGAGTAATAGGAACAGTCAGTAAACATCAATGTAAACGGTTAAGCATCACTAACAAATTTTGGTCCTTACATTGGCAATATTAAAAAAGAAAAGTCAATGAATCAAATGGAGCTTTGATGTTAATTAGCCTAACATTTGTTCAGATAACACTGAGCAAAAATATGAAACAATGAATCTTGTTTTAGAAGGATAATAGTTTTGATTGCTAAAATAAACATCACTGAAACTTTGGTTAACAAGGACCAGTGGAGGAACAATTTCAATAGCACACTCCAAGCAAAGATATAGCAATTTAGATCTATAATTTGAACTCATGACTAGTTTTCATTTTTTAATCATTTCCTATTAGAATAAAACAAATTTGTAGTTACAAGAATTTTAACTCAAATAGAAGTAGCATTTGATATTGTTTAAAATAAGTTAAATGTTTTCAAATAAATAACCTGTAATTGATTATACCCATATATTCAATCATTACTTGAACTCCAACAATTAAAGTCCAACAAATATAAATTGTTAGTGTAGATATTGCTGTAATGAATCAGATCTAAATGTTTTTTTCTTACCTCATCCCACACTGGGTTCAGATTATTATTAACTGACTGAGTTTTCTTCTTTTCACCTGAAAAAGTTAAAATAACAGTATTAGTTGAAATCTAGTACATATAGGACCGACTTAATGAAACAGTGAAAAGAAAAATCGGGATTAATCTTAATCTTACACAAGATTAAAAGAAATCCCCAACTCCATTCATTCTTCCTGTAGTAAACAACAACAATTTACATTTATATAGCTGCGTTGGTTGTGAGGAACAGACAGAGGTGGGCAATGTGGCCGAGGTTGAAAAAAGCAGTCCTGGGCAGGGATGGGGAAGAAAGGAAAGCTGGGGATCGAACCTAACGCCTAAATTGAGCACGAGTTTGGAGAGTCTGAGGAAGGAGGTTGAGGAGTTCAAACCCGCAGGAGAGAAGATGTTGATGGGAGCCAAAGAGTATCTGCTTCCATCTTGCCGACATTCAATTGCAGAAATTTGTGCTCATCCAGGCCTTGATGTCTATCAGACAAGCTGACAGGGAATCAGTCGACTGGGAGTCACATAAGGAGAAGTAGATTTGTGTGCCATCCGCATACAAGTGGAAGTTGATCCCGTGTCTGCGGATGACATCGCTGAGAGGAAGCGTGTAGATGAGGAATGGAAGGGGGCTTTGGGATACCCTGCAGGTGACCAGGTGAGGGCGAAAGTAAAAAAACATTTGCCGAGATGAAGTGCTGGGTTTAGGACTTGAACTATGCAAGTGTGGTCCCACTAAGGTGGATGAGGGAGGAGAGGCAGTTGAGGAGGATGGCGTAGTTGACTTTGTTGAACGCAGCAGAGAGGTCCAGGAGGATGAGGAGGCAGAGGGAGCTCTGGTCACAGAGAGAGAGGACGCAATTTGTTATTTTGATGAGCTTTGAATGGGATGGGAGCCTGAGAAGCAGGATTGATTTATTGTGTCTGCCAGCAGTGGGCAGGGGAGGGAAAGTTGAGTGACCAACAGCTGGGTGGGAAGGGGGTCAAGGTAGTAGGTAGTGGATTTCACCTGGGTGGTGGAGGATGAGACGGAGAAAGAAGAGATGGGGGAAAAAGGAGTGTAGGTTGGGGCCTGTGGTAATAACAGATTGTTCTTTGCGTTAACAGCTCGGACATAGATGAGCAACCCATAAGACTAGCAATTAGTTTTTAGCCATACTTTACAGTACTACAGCTAACTAGATAGGATGTATTAAATCATCTAGTTTATATACAATATACAATTCACGTGGCTACAGTTTCATTCATTCTCAGCTGTGCCACTTAGTAGGATCCTGCATTCGCTACCCCAAAACAATCTACTTTTGGAACAGATTTGGTGCAATAATCTCCCAGTTATTGTAAGGAAACTCCTTGTAGCGGACCCCCAACATAACTTTTTGATAAGCAATTTGTGAATGTGTATCAATATTGATCTTTTGCCCACAAAATATGCAGTCAATTCACTTTACAGTATATTCTGTGAAGCGCTTTGAGACATCTCGAAGACATGATAAGGCACTATATCAAATGCAAGGATTATTATTATTAATCCAAATTTTATGCTAACATTGAGGCAAACATCTTCCTGAATATTCTGCATCTATCACGTCTATCGAATGTATAATATGATCTTTAAGTTCTGAATGCAGATGTAAAGCTGTAGTATGAAAACAATCTTGAAGTTATGCACATTCAATTTAGGTTATAGGTATATGCTTCAAATACTCTGAGGATATTAAAGTTGGCGAGTGCATCCACAGGCTGATGGAACTTAATAAATTATATTGAATGGATGGGAATGTGTATTTGGACCTCTTCGTCAGACATTTACCATTATCACCCCCCACCCCCACACACACACTCTCCTGCAAGCATTCTTATATACGTTTTTCTTTCTTTTCAATCTACGACTGTTTGTGGGACATTGCTGTGCGCAATTGGCTGCCGCGTTCGCCCACAAATATACAGTCAATTCACTTTACAGTGTGTTCTGTGAAGCGCTTTGGGACGTCCTCCCAACGTGAAAGGCGCTATATCAAATGCGAGGATTATTATTATTATTATAAGACACATGAAGAAAAAAAGTCAGCTGGTTGTTATTTTGAACGTAATGCAAAAACTATAGTACTGACACTCTAGTAAAGGTCTCTGGATAACAATTAACAGCTGGAACCCTGATTAATTTTCTTGTTCCTAGTGGCCAATTGTAGCATGTACACTGCCGCACCAGAAGCAAAAAGCAAACACAGAGCAGAATTTGAACTTCCAACCTTCTACTGGTACATCCCAGAGCTGTACTAGGCATTGAGGGGGTTTATGGACTTTCTACAAATACAGTAATTTATCACAGAAGAGATGAGGAACGTACAATAACCAATTGTATTACTGGAGACAAAGATTGCAAAGATACCCAAATTAATTTGCGTAAGGCTTTAATTGGTTGGAGATAAAAAAACGGCATCAAAAAAGGAAACAGTGGAAAAGCAAACTAGTCAAGATATTACATTTCCCCATCGAAATATAGGCCTAAGAAATTATCAGATAAGGCTGCCCACATATATCTCTCAAGCAGATCAAAAACAAACACATAGTGGACCAACTCCCATTTAGGGCAGGTAAGACACATACAATTCATACACATACTGTATTCAAAAGGTGCTGAGACAGATATAAAGCAGTACTTTAGTCAATTCAAAACACCCCCACCCCCACTCTGATATAACTGGGGAGTATGTGGGGAGGAGAAAGAGAGGGAAAAACAACTTGTAGTTTACAATTATGGTCTTTGATACTATAGAAAATATCTTTATTTGGTGATTCATGTTTGTGAATAAATAGATGTAAACAAAAAAATGTCATTCTGCTTTACATGCAACTCTGGTTATTAGCACCTCGGGACATTCCAAGCAAGATTAAAGTATTGAGTTTGCATTTGCACCAGCTGAAACAGATGCGATTTTCATACAAGGGCATTTTAACTTTGCACCATAGTTTCCATCATGACCAGTACCCAGAACAAGAGGAAGTTTATGACTACTGTTATGAACTAATGCAGCCACTGCTACTCTTCTATCTGGATGAAAAAGGGAGTAAATTAAATTAACCCCATGAAGGCCGAATGACTTTGTGAACTTTCATGAAACAACAAAAGCTTCTGGTTAAACCCCCCAAAACATGGAGTCCTGTAGCTCAGTGGTTAGAGCACTCGCTTTGCAAGTGAGAGACCTGAGTTCAATTCCAGGCAGGTCAGGGCGAAACCTTGGGCAAGTTTCCTTACTCCACACACCTAATAATAATCCCTCCAAAACCAATAATAAATTGGTCATTTTCAATCTACGACTGTTTGTGGGACATTGCTGTGCGCAATTGGCTGCCGCGTTCGCCCACAAATATACAGTCAATTCACTTTACAGTGTGTTCTGTGAAGCGCTTTGGGACGTCCTCCCAACGTGAAAGGCGCTATATCAAATGCGAGGATTATTATTATTATTATAAGACACATGAAGAAAGAAAAAAAGTCAGCTGCTTGTTATTCTGAACGTAATGCAAAAACTATAGTACTCCACCAACAGTTGTGTGTATGGGGGGCAGCTGCTCATTCTCGGTGTATAAACGGGAACAGTCTTTTCTAATCAACACTAATCAAATGGCTACACCTTTAGACAATAAAACAGCACAAAGCAACATGCACTTCACATTGACATCAGGAAGGGAACAGAATGGGAAAATGCCAGGGATGAAGCCAGGGATGGCTTTGGTTAAAAACTTTTCTTGCGCTTCGGGAAACGCCCAGAAAGCTGAAACATGACACAGAAAGAGTCCGAAAAAAAAAGGGGACAGGATTTCGCTGTGTGCAGTTTCAACTTCACCCACAAAACACACACACACACAAACAAACACACACGAACAAATGTGCCAAATCACAAAAAATACATCGTTACCCAACGAAGCGAAACGAGACTCCCTGTGCGTTGCACTGACCCGAGTTTGCAATCCCTTTTCCAAAACTCCGCACCGTACGCATTTTGGAACTGCTCACAGGTCTTTGTGCAGTGACATATTCCAAGGTTTCATCACCACCCACTTCACTTACCTTTAAAAATGATCGTCGCTATTGGGTCTGGTGTTCCAAATGTTGAATCGGGGAGATTACTGGCCGACTCCACTATGATCCGAAGCATCTTGATCGCAGTGGGCAAGTCCCAGATCACTCCCCGACTTCACTGAAGCAGGAACTGGCTGTGTGGCCACTGCTGCACAGATGTCATCGCCGAGGCGGATCGTGGGCGGATTGGTTCCTGCACCTGAAAACCAATACCTGCCTCAGTCCCAAACAGCCAAATGTTTATCTGCAGTACGGATCGGATCGGAGGAGTTCCAGATGCCGATGATAAAGAGGCGAGGCTTCAGCGTCTTAATTTGAACGTTTATTCATTTCGACCCTTTGGTGGAGTGATGGTATCGTTTTGCGCATCACACGTCCCAACCGATCCCTGAGGCGTGAGACACGGGTTTGGTGAATGCAATTGGGACCCGTTCCATTTTGCTGTCAAATTAAAAAGCAACAGGTCGAGGGATCAGGACGGTCAACTTTGCAAGGATTCAAGGGCATCAGGTTCTGAGATTGACTACATCGAGAGAGCACACAATACTGTGACCATTCCCAATTAACATCTCTGTTTGCCCCTCCACCAGTTACACTCCTCCCATTGCACTGAATTGGGGAAGCAAATACTCATAAGGCAAACAGGGAACGATAAAATCGGGACTACTGTTGAATATTTATGCGTTATTTATTACATCAGATTATTCATTATATTATATAAATGATATTGATATTATAATTTATAAATTATAATAAATTATAATATACATTATAATAATCCTTGCATTTGGTTTAGAGCTCTGTCACGTCATTTGAGACGTTTCAGAGCACTTCAAAAGATATACTTAGAGTTGATTGACTGGGTATTTGGTGGGTGAAATAATGCAGCCAGTTTGTGCACAGCAATGTCCCCAAAACAGCCATGGAATGAGTGACCAATTTTATTTGGGGGATTTGTTGGCCAGAGAGAAACGCCCTTTTCTTTTCAAATAGAGCTGTGGGATTTTTAACGTTCACCTGAACAGGCGGACAGGACCTTGGTTTAATGTCTCATCCAAAGGATGGCCCCTCTGTCAATGCAAAACACTCCCAACACTGCATTGGAGTGTCATCTTAAACTATTTGATTACAAGTCTCCACATGGGGCTTGAACCCACAACCCATAATAGGTTCACATAATGTTTATAATTAAGTGAAAAACAAAGTTTGCAATTATGTTGCAATAACCTTTGCTTCATGCCTTGTTTCAATGCTCCTGGAATCAGATAGGTAGGGTGCATCCGGGAAGAGAGTACACTTTCCATTTGAGTCATGGGAAATTTACATGAATAGGTGGCATACATATTGGAACTCTATTTGGTTGATATATTCTTATTCAAATGCCCTCCTCACCGGTCTCCCCTCCACAACCATTCATAAAATCCAGGTCATCCTGAATTCTTACCCACACCAAAATCCACTCCCCGATTACCCCAGTCCTTGCCAGACTGCACTGGCTGCCTGTCCCAGAGAGGATCGATTTCTTGTCTTCAAATCCCTCCACTCCTCTGCACCCCCCTACCTCTCTGATCTCCTCTCTCCTCACAACAGTGCCCGTTGCCTTCACTCCACATCAAGGGGTCTGGCCTCCTCCTTGTCCCCCAAATCTTCCGCTCCACCATCGGCGTCCGTGCCTTCATCTACTACGCCCCGAGGCTCTGGAACTCCCTTCCTCACTCCCTTTGCCTCGCCCCCTCTCTTCCTATTTTAAGGTCTCGGCTAAAGACCTTTTTTTTCGACGGCACCTTTGGTCACCTTCTTCCCCCTTCCCCTGACTCAGCCCCGGGATCTGTTATTGCGAAGCGCTCTGAGACGGCAACCGGAGTGGAGGGCGCTATATAAATCCAAGTTGTTGTTCTTAAATGTGGTGATGAGTTTCCACATTTCAGGCACTCGGCTAATCAAAACAAAATGTTTTAGATATTTCAAAGAACAACTTAGCAGTCATTTGGAGTTGTCACTTGTCATTTAACACAAATGTAAAATTTGTTCATAGCTTGTTATAAATAATGTGTATTATTGTGGCAGTGATTATAATTTTATCAGTTGATATTATGATAAATTGACTGATTTTCAATTGCTGTCAGTGATCAAATTAAAGTAGCTTCTTTAATTTAAACTCCCTTCTCTTTTCAAATAGTGCCATGGGATCTTTAACATACAACTGAACAGGAACTTGGGGACTTGGCTCATCCAAAAGACAGCATCTCTCCAACAATGCAGTGCTCCCCCAGTACTGTATTGGAATTTTAGCCTGGAATGAGCTCAAAGTCCCCATATGGGCATGAACCCATAATGTTGATCCCACCCCCAAATATATTTTCCCCTCCACTCCCTTCCTCTCAGCATTCCACTCTCTCCGTGACTCCCTGGTCCACTCCACCATCACATTAACACCTGCCCTCCCTCTACTGGCACCTTCCCATGCCAGCGCAGGAGATGCAACACCTGCCCGTTCACTTCCTCCCATACCACTGTCCGGGGCCTCAGTATACTTTGTTGCGACAATGCACAACGCAGCAGTACTAAAAATGTGTCAGCCTGGCTCAGTCAGTAGACTGAATCAGAAGGTTGTGGGCTTAAGCAACGCTACAAGACTTTGAACTCGTACAGTCAAGGGACTCTCAATTTACCGTGTTGAACAACAGGGTAACCTGGTGGTTATACGGTGGTGTGCAGAATGCCACTCCCCAAGTATTATGTGTCTTCATGGCTCAAGGGAGTGCTTTACAAATATTGATTGGTTCAGATGAAAAAGATCATTTGATCTCTTCCCACTGCCCTCCCACCATATCATGTAATTGTTATAATTATATAATTATATCAAATTCAAGCATTGACTTATATATTATTATATCATAAAGCTGCTTTTTTAAAACAGGTCCAACGTTCTCCTCTTCGTACTTCCTATTTGTAGTTCCTCGCATGTAACTGTACTGCACTTTATTTGCTCACGTCATCAGCTCGTATTGAATTTTTTTGCAAAGACCTTTGTCGTCTCCTCTGGAGTCCGCAAGTCCCCCAACTTTAGCGCCACCTGCAAATCCAACTGCCTTAGGGAGCGGGTCTGCAAAAACGTTACATGACGCAGGAGAGGTCTCGGCACATCATCATCATCATCATAATAATAATAATAATAATCCTTGCATTTGATACAGCGCTTTTCACGTCTGGAGGACGTCCCAAAGCGCTTCACAGAACACACTGTAAAGTGAATTGATAATAATCCGTGCATTTGGCACAGCGCCTTTTCACGTCTTCGAGACGTCTCGGAGCGCTTCACGGAACAGACCGTAAAGTCAATCTGACGGGACGTTGTGTGGGCGAAACCGCGAGAGCCTCGAGACCACCGACTGGAGACCACTCCTCCCATTGACCCATTGAGACCCAGGTTTCCCGAACATCTCCTCTCGGCTCCGCAGCGCGGTGGGGGGGGGGGGGGGGGGGGGGGAGGGGGGGGGGGGGAGGTGATGGTTAGGACTGGAGAGTCCTCTGAGAACACATGAGGGACCACCTTCAGGGCTGTGCCGGAAGTCAAGCGTTGCTTTTACTCTGCCCGCCCGCACGCCTCGCCCCGCCCGCCCGTCCGTACAAACAATATAACAATCCCGGTGGGGGAAGGGGATATAAAGAAAAATTCTCAGTTTGAAACGCCCGCCCGCCCGGCCGCACCGCGGCGGCGACGGCGAGTCCAGCGCACGCGCACTCCGATCCCAACAGCCATTGGCCCGCTGGTGCACTTCCCGGCATGCCGTGCGCCTCGGGCGGGCAGTTTGAAATCGTGCGGTGTAAACGCTGGCGGGCGGCTCAGGGCGTGATTTGAACGCGGTTCCGGTGCGCTGACTGACTCCCGGCGGAATCCGGGTGACTCATCTGAGGTTTGACGCTGGTCTCAGGGCCGGAGGAGGAGGAGGAGGAGAGTGGAGGAGAAAGGACGAGGGCAAAAGTTGGGGCGTGAGATGACTTCCAGGAATGAAAAGGCCGCGGTGGCGGCGGCGGCGGTGGCGGCGACGGGCCGGTTGGGGCAATGGAAAGGCGGTACTTCCTGCGAGACGGACCTGGATAAGCTGCGGAAGGAGAACGCGTCGCTCAAGAAGCGCCTGGCGGAGCCGAGCAAAGCAAAAAGTAAAGTGACTGACGGGGAGAGGAGCAGATTGCTGGAGGTGGGTCCCTCCCCCCCCCCCCGCCCCCACCGTCACCGTGTGTGTGTGTGTGTGTGTGTGTGTGAGAGAGAGAGAGAGGGGGAGGGGGAGGGGGGACAAGGTTAAGAGTGAAGCACTTGCAATAATAATCGTTTCATTTGATACACAATGCAAAATTACTTTTCACATCGGGAGGACGTCCCCAGGCGCTGGACAATCAGGGATTGGGACCCATAGGGGTGGAGGGTGGGGGTTGGGATCGGGGAGGGTAGAAGGGTGGCCGAAGGCGCCGTCGAAGAGGAGGGTCATGAGACGTGCCTTGCAGGAGGAGGCAAGGGAGGGAGCAAGGCGAAGGGAATGTGGGATGGAGTTCCAGAGGGTGGGGGCAGGAAGGCTGAAGGTCTGACCGCCGCTGTTGAGTCGGGACGGGCGGGGGACATGGAACAAGCTGGACGGAGTCTGCTGAGCAGAGGGAGCGGAGAGGTTGATAAGGGCTTAGCAGGTCAGAGAGGTAGGAGGGGGCAAGGCCATGGAGGGCCTTGAAGGTGAAGACGAGTATTTTTAATTCGATCCTCTGAGGGATGGGGAGCCAGGGGAGCCAGGTGCGGGAGATGACACGAGCTGCAGAGTTCTGGATGATAGAACTGCCTTTTGTCTTTGAGATGTCTCAAAGTGCTTCACAGAGTATACTATAAAGTGGATAATATATATGTATATTTCTCGTATTTGTATAGTGCCTTTCACATCAGGAGGACGTCCTAAGGCGCTGGACAGTCAGGGGTCCGCACCCGAGCTGATGGTTGGGATCTGGAGAGGGGAAGGGTACGGGTAGAAGGGTGACCGAAGGCACGGTCGAAGAGGAGGGTCCTGAAGGAAGCAATGGAAGGGGCGAGACGGAGGGACTGTGAGATGGAGTTCCAGAGGATAGGGGCAGAAAGGCTGAAGGCCCGCCTGCCAATGGTGGCAAGCGGGAGACGTGAAGCAGGCTGTATATTGTGAGAGTCTCCAGTGGGGATTCTCTGTTTTCATCACTTTTTGGCAATCTTTTTGGCCTGTTTGTTTTCCACCTGTGAGACCCTCCTGCAACAGGTGGTTACGTCCATTACTTTTCTTTAAAAAGGGAAAAGGAGAAGGCTTCATGGCGATCCTATGGGTGTCTTTCCTATATTTCAGTGAGGTTGTTGCACAGAATTACATAGAAACATGCCATTTGGTCCAACTATTCTGTTCCTCTATTTATACTACACACAAGTCTCCACTCCACAATCCCCTTGTCCATATCCCATTTACAACAACAACAAATTTATTTAGTGCCTTTCACACCGGGAAGACATCCCAAGGTGCTGGACAGTGAGTGTTTATCATCCGAGTTGGGGGTTGGAGTCCAGAAGGGTGTAGGACAAGTGGGGATGGGAGGATGACCGAAGGCACAGTCAAATAGGAAGGCCTTGAGACAGGCATTGAAGGAGGTGAGGCAGAGGGGCTTTGAGGTGGAATTCCAGAGGATGGGAGCAGAAAACCTGAAGGCCCGACTGCCGAGATGGAGCAAGCAGGGCAAAGGACATGGAGCAGGCCAGTGCCTGCTGTGCGGAGGGAGCAGACAGGTTGGAAATGTTTTAATGGGTCGTAGAGATAGGGAGGAGCATGATCATGTAGGGCTTTAGAGGTAAATTTCCCTCTTTCTCATGTCAATACCATGTTGTAATAGGGCAGTTTTGAGTTTACATCAGATGTTGCATTTATTTTTTCCCTTAGAAATATAATTCTGATCAAAATTATCAACATCAAACAGCATTTAGGAAATACCCACATTTGGTTAATGTATTGCAAATGATGTATGTAAACGTATAACTAAATTGTGATTCTTTTGAAATTAAGAAACACTCCCTTTTTTATGATGCGTGGGCTGAAACGGGAATATTATTCCTTCTAAAATGTTTTAATTCTAGCCAATATTGTATATTGTTAATGCTGACATTTTCAAAGTATCGTGTATACAAATTGATGCTTTACTCTTTCTGTTCATGCAGAAAATTCTTTCACTTGAAACGACAAAGCAAAAACAGATATATGCGCTTGAACAGAAAGATAAGGAGATCCAGGCATTGAAAGATCAACTGTCAAAATCTAAATGTTTTGCTGAAGTCCAATCCCTGCGCTGCCAACTTGCAGAAAAAAATAAAGAAGATGAAAAGAGAGAATGTCTCTTTAAGTCTCTGACTGAAGATACTGAAAACTTGAAAAATAAACTGACTGTTATCACTTTAAAATGCCAAGAGCTTGAAAACCACACTCCAACTTTCCAGACACAGGTAGATTTTTTAAAAAATCTTCTTTTATGTAATTGAATATTTTCCAGAACATGCACTATATAATTATAATTGTCATTATCCTGTTGTCGGGGTGGGGTTATTTTATCTTAATTGGGGTTGATACCAACTGAGGTGTGGTAACTTGATTTTCAAATGGGCCCTTAAGTTTCCTTCTTTGTCATATTTCCACATTTCAGTTTCGCTGTTCGTAAAGTTCTGTGGTGTAAGAGTAACTGTTTTAATTCCTTCTAGAATGAAAAAGCATCAACTCAAAAAACTACAGCTATCCAGGATCAACTGAAAGATGTAAGTACTTTTAAATAGATATTGATTGGAAGGCAAAGATCATTCAAAATTAAGAAAAAGATCTTTTAATATCCTCTCGACGTGAAAAGCACTACACAAATGTCATTTTGTTGTTGTTAAAATGAATAGACTTTTAAAGTTGGATTTTAATGAGAAATACCTATAGCAAATGCTTGTATAATAAATACCTAACAATTACAATTTTAAGAAGGATTGAATGACTTATATTGGCAAAAGGGCCCCTAAAAATTATCACGAAGGCTTTGATGGAGAAATAAGATCAAGTTTTAGTATTTATAGGCTGCATCTAGACTGTGATAGAGTGAAAGATTGAGATTATCAATATTGGTGGATTCAATAATTACATTTTAACTTTTGAAGAATTGATTCTTATTGTTAAGGTTGCAATTGCGTTGGCATAATGCAGGACAATATAGTTTGTAGACTATTATTAATATTGGTCAAATAGTGTAGAGTAGATACCCTGCCTAAGAGGTGCTATATAAATATAAGTTGTTATTGTTGATAATATAATGGTGCTCCAGTGAAACTTTCTAACAAACTTCCATTCTGAATGTAGAGGCAAAATAAAGGAAAAGAGGCTTGTTACTTGTGGTTGAGTCGACACCAACTTTTTCCACTAGATGTCACAAACCATCAAGACATTGGACTGTTTTACAATAAACTTATATGCAACATCTGTGTGTAGATTGTTGTATCTATTTACACCTCAAATGCTTTTAATGAGCATAAAAATAAATAAACAAATAAAAAAAACAATAATAATAATTTGATCACTCAATCCACGACTGTTTGTGGGACACTGCTGTGCGCAATTGGCTGCTGCATTTTGCCCACAAATATACAGTCAATTCACTTTACAGTATATTCTGTCAAGCGCTTTGAAACGTCTAGAAGACTTGAAAAGCACTATATCAAATGCAAGGATTATTATTTTTATAATGTTATTGTTATGAAGAATACTAACCAGCTCTCTAGCACTAAATACTCCCTTAGTAAGATGACTTAAGTGTCCGTTTACAATGATATTTATTGACAAAATAACATAACTCTTAAAACACTTCTTCCCCGATGACAAAATATTTGTTTTTGGTCTTCTCTAGATTAAGCTTCCCTATCACAGGACGCATTGATTAAAAATGAAACTCTACTGCTGGGCTGACTTTCAACTCAACCTTTCCTACTGCTTCGTTAGAGATGCATTTCTTCCTGGCTCCACTTGGTGCCTCCCTTTAGCTGCCTGCCTGAAATGTAGAACTTCCCATGATGGGAATATCATTGGAAGAACCATTCACCACTATGAATTTGTATACTTAAATATTGATGTACGATACCACCAGTTAATCACATAATAATGCTTCAACTGTTCGGTTTGCTGGGGCCCAAGAGTTACTCTTATACATGAGCTTTTGTAACATAATGAAAGTTGCCTAATGACATTTAATTCATGCCATTTATAAATGATTTCTTGCCATTGAAGGCTTTGGAGAAAAACCAACAGTGGCTGGTTTATGACCAACAACGTGAAGCCTACGTCAGAGGATTGCTCGCTCGCGTCTTTGAGCTTGAGCAGCAAGTTGGTTTAGCACGCCAGCAGCATCGTGAAGACTTCAGATCAGAAGGTATTGAATTGCATTAGATGTTTCTATTTGTTGCTTGTGATTGTGCTTAGGTCCACTTCCACCCTCACTCTCCCCATGGCTCGCTGTCAGAATCCGCCACTGTGAAGTGCTCCGGGACGCTACCCCTGGTGAAGGGTGCTATATAAATGCATGTTGTTGTTGTTGATGTGTTTGTGGGTATTCTGCAAGGTACGTATCTGCTTTATGTAAACCTAAATTGCATGTTTGATAATTCAGATCAACTATTGGAAGATAAACAGAAATATGAAAAACTGCTCCTCGCTGCAAAAAAAGATACAGAAGCACAGTGTGCGATTGGAGAGCAGTTGCGTTCAGAGCTTTCTGAATTGAAAAAGCAGTATGCGGAAAAGAAGTTGATAATCAAGGACCTCAACGTAAAACTGAAAGTAAATCAGGAAGCTGGCAAGTGGAAGGTTGATGAGGAAAAGAAACGTGCAGCGGAAACAGTTCAGAAACTTAAATCTGAGCTGGAAAGCTTAAAAAGGCAATACGAAGAGGAGAAAAGGAAATCTTCAGATTTTTTTCATCAGGTAAAACTCGATGCATTATTTTAATTTTAATTCTTACTTAGGCTAGTTGTTTTTGTTTCTGATAAGGCCACTTTAAAAGTGTGAGCAGCAATTATGGAGTGGGCTGTGCTGTCACACTTGCTCAATCTCATTCGCTGGTGTGCCTTGAGACGTCCTCCCAATGTGAAAGGCGCTTTACAAATGTAATTTTGTTGTTGTTGTTGATAGGGCCTCTGAGTGCCGTCCTGGTCAACATTTCCCCAGATAAAATTGGTCATTCACTTCATGGTTGTTTGTGGGGCATTGCTGTGTGCAAATTGGTTTTCACCTACAAATACAATTGCCATGCTTTACTGCAAATTCTGTGAAAAGACTTTTGATGACGAGAGAAAGCACTTTTATCAAAGGCAAGGATAACTATTAGTGTAGCATAGGTGTTCCCTATATTAATTGCTTGCTCACTTTATTTTGAATCTATTATCAGATACAGATTTGCACTTCAGATGTTGAATTTGAAAAAAAAATTGTAAAAATCTACATCATCAGCTACAGGTAGTCTTGAAGGAACTCCACAATGCACGAGAACAGATCACGAGCCTTGAGACAGTGATGAATATCTACCTCTAACATTTACTTAGAGATGATGATCCATTGTAGATTGGGATTAATCTCAATTTCCCATTTAGATTTCAAATTTGAAATCTCTTTTGTATTTCTGACTGCAACTCTGCATTTTTAATTTTTGGGCTTTACTGCAAAAACATTTTATTGGGCATTTCTTGTTGAACATTATAGACAACTGTTCAGATTTCTAAAGTTATTTAAAGAGAATTGGGAATAAAGAGTTGCTTTAAAGTTCCTGTAGTTTTTCTTGGAGCAAGTCCTATTTCATACAAGGAAATCAGCAATTGGAATAAATGATCACATTGTTTTTATCTCTTTCAGAAACTGTACGAAATGTGCCTTTCAGACTCAGCTTTGTACAAAAACGGTGAAGATGATGGCAGATTAGGCTTACGAACATCCAGCAACCTTCTCGATAACAGTTTCTTAGAATGTCCTAAATGCAAAGCCCAGTATCCCACCAGCCAACACCGGGACTTGCTGGACCATATTGATTTTTGTACTAACTAACCACTTATATTCACGTCCTCCCGACATGAAAAGTGTTATAAAAATGTAATTTTGTATTGTATTATTTTCATTTTTCCATTTTTGTGAAATGTGTTTGTTTGAACAAAGCTAGAACAGTGGTGTTAGAAAGTGTATTTGGGGGCATGAAATAAATTATTATTCGTGTTACAATGCAATTGAGAATGATGAGCAATTCTGATTACGCTAAGTACTCTGACTTAGAAGTTTGACCGGAATGGTCATTTGGGATGCCCTATCTTTAGTTCATTGCCTTTTTTTGGAGGAATTGAACTTTACATGATTTTACTTCCAGGTCCAGGTGTCCATCTATCTGGGAATTCACAATCCTGAAAAATGTATCTTTTACATTATTGCTGAAATATTCAGTATTTCCTCTTCCTCCCCAAATAGGATGGCAATACATTCTAGGTTGGGGATCACTCCATCTGTTTTTTTTCCAAAGCTGCAAACGCAAACATATTTTATGACCTATAAAAATAGTGTGATAAGTTTTTAAAACTGTTCAGACAGACTAGCAAAATTAGATGGGGTAAAATATATTTTGAGTAAGGATTTTGACCTATTGGAGCCAGAGTCAATTTTTTTTCATTGAATGAATAGCACTCGGTGTTAATATATTCATCACAATAATAGGGTTTTAAAATATCTGCTTTTATTTTTTTTCTGTATTTTTGCTATTTGATTTGCACATGGACCTATGTGCAAGGGTAATTTGAAAGTGTTCCCATAAAATTGCCATTCAATAGTTTTCTATGGATCGGCAATTTCCTGCTGAACTATTTTTCTATTTATGGTTATCAACTTTTGACAGATTATACCTATTTGTGATTATGTGGCTGTTTACTTTCTGTAATACAGATAGTGTTTCAGTTCTCAACGAATCAGTTAACAAAGAACTATTGTACATTTTTTAAACATTTCTAAGCTATCCATTCACAATGGATAGGTGCTTTATGATGATCAGCTAATGCACAAAAAAGAAATTATTTCAGTAGATAGTGTATTTTGTTTTAATTTCAGCTGAAATGCAGATTTAAAGTGTCACCTTTAACTTTTGAGATTCAATTAATATTAGCCAAGAGTAAAGAACAGTGTTTAGTAGAAGTTAAATAATGTAAGTTTCTTACAGATTGTACTGACATAAGATAATGCAGCAACCTGTTAAGACAGACATTTCATAACTGAATGTATACTACTGTAGAAAAAGTATCAGAGAATTTCAAAATTCAAGAAGCGCAATTTATTTAAAGAATTTATTTTTATATTTGAGTTTAAGGCGTTTTATGCTCTTATTTCTGAGATGCAGTCATACACCTTTTGTGGAAATTGCACTCACTGATTCTTGTATGAAGGTAATTGCAGGTTACACTTCCCATATGAATCATTCACTTCCCTGTCTTTGTATGCGATCGTACACCAGTTCAATACAATAGACATGTCAAAATTTGAATCCATTCTACTTTTTATTTACACTGGACCTTACCTCTGAAAAAGGGAATGTGTAGAGTGGTTTCTAATTTGTCCTACATTCATGGATCGTGCTGCAGGATGACTAAATACTGAACCAGAATGTTTTAATACAGGTTCAAATATTGTGAGAGCGTCTTCCAGCCAAGTGCCGTTTGTAGCCCACTTGCTTCCAAACCTTTGCTGCTCTGGTGTGAGACACTCATTCTAATATCTTTGCCCTTCACTCTGCACCCCATAAGGGTCTCTGCTTGACATCCACTACAGCACAGCCGAAGTGAACAACTATGATAGTTACCGAAGTGACTATCACTTCATGATCTTCCAATTATACTGTGCTAGCAGTATTTATTTCTCCTATACTTTATTACCCCGCCCCCCCGACACCCCAAACTTTCTCTGACTCCGAAAACCAATTTGTGCAGCTATTTTAAATGCAGTCTTAATAAATGTAAAGGCTTCACTCCAGTTAGGTTACATGCCATTTAACATACTGATAAATCTGATATTTTTGCAAAACGTAAATTATTTGGTTGAAAAGGATACTGAAATCTAATTCCTGCTTTTCAGTTATTGGGATACTTTTTTTTAACATGTGCTTGACTTGATGTATAGAGTATTTTGCTAGTGCGATTTCAATTGTTATAGAACAAAGCAATGTGCCAGTCAATTTATATGCAACTTTTTAAAAATAAATGCTATCATCAATTTAAAAAAAAAACTTGCTTGGTGGAGTTTTTTAACCCTTTGGTTAAAAGATTGGTTAGCTATTTTGTAAGACTTCATTCAAAGCAGGCTTTACTTTGAGGGTAAACAGTTTGGGTTTGTTTAACCATCTGCTTATCTTCAGACTTGAAGTCGCATTACTAAATGGAATGATTGGTGAAAGAATCCAGCCTGTCTGATACAAGTTAATCCTAGCTAAACACTCAACGGGAGAAGATTTTGGGCAAGCTAAATACACATGCTCACAAAAAGGGAATATCTGAAAAGGCAAATTGCCAAATGCATAAGAGATTTATTTGATAAAATTGGTTATTTGGCAAGTTTGTCCTCCGGATAAATGCTGGGAAAATAAGGCTACAGAAGTTAGAAAGTGCTCTTTCAATTTTGAATATGTTGGAAGTATTAGATTGCAGATAGCAGACCCATTCAAGATATGTATTTGGCAATTATTGGTTGAATCAAAAATTCTTGGAACTGCCTCATGTAAAGATACTTGTTTTGCATGAATTCAATGCAGTTCACTTTAATGTTTGTTGTTGTCTCTTGTGTTCCGTTTATAAATTGAATAGCCTGTATTAAGTACAGCTCACTCGTGAGGAAACAATCAATTTTGACAAGTAGTTACATTTTTCAAGGATGCAGATCTGTGACAAAATGTTGCTCAGAACTGCACTTGACAGAGAACATTTGTTCTATTGCTAATTTAGTATGAAAAAATTTACACTGTGTGCTATTTCTTCAAAGAATTGTTCTCATACCACAAACTTCTTTTTGAGCTATAGTATTCATGTAGGGACAGTACCATATAACTGCCAGGTTACATTGTATCATAAGTGGTAAACAGTGTGGTCTGAGTGATAACCTTGACAGATCCTGCTGATAACATTCCTCTTGAAAATATCTAATAACCGTTCACAAGCTTTCCCTCATAATCCCAGTGTGAAAGGCGCTATACAATTGTAATCTTGTTGTTGTAATGCATAATCAATTGTTGAGAGTGATCACTGCTTCCTTTGCAAGAGTTGGGTTTTAGTCGGATCAGTTCAACTCTGTAACTTAGCAGTTGTAAAAGCAACAACTTTCTGCAATATAGGTATTTGTAAATACTGCATTCTTAAAAACCCTGAACAAATTAATGATCTGACATTGTATCGTGAGAGCCAGAATCATAACATGTAAAGAACTTTTTTTCAAGCTCTTATTATAATGATGATATTTTTAAAATGTTTCATTTTCGAATTCTGATTTAAAAGCATCAAAACCAACACAAAATGGGAAGAGATTAAGTTCTGCGCTCAGAATATTAACAACACATAGCTACTTTTTTTTTACACAAAAATGAGTATGGTATTCTTAAGAACCTCTGAGTGAAAACCATTTCTTCACTCAGAGGGCAGTGAATTTATGGAATTCTCTAGCCCAGGTGCTCAATCATTGAACATATTCAAAACTGAGATCAATAGATTTTTACAAACTAAAGAGATTAAGTGATATGGAGATAGAGCAGGTAAATGGAATTAGGTTAGATCAGCCATGATCTTATTAAATGGCGGGGCAGGCTCGAGGGACCAAATGGCCTACTCCTGCTCCTATTTCTTATGGATATTAATAATACTAAAATTAGGCAATACGATGTGTATGCATAAATATGTAAGATATATTGCAACTATATCTTACATATTGGGCTGCAGGCTGAAAAATTAATAAATTATCACATTTACAGTCGGTCTAGAGCCAAGATGTCATGTACCAATTATACATTTTCGACTCTGAATGGGTCTCTCGCCACACTCGCTCAACCCAGATAGAACAGCAAGGAAGCTTCAGGTTGCCCCCAAAAATAAATTCATCTCTGCGCTACAAAGAAGAGGATGCTGGAATCTGAGTGCTTTCTGGTGCTGAAAATTTAATTGATTCAACATGTAGACTGGAAAGGTTAGCATATGTGGACTAAATTGACCAAATGTATTTAGTAGAAGGGTGTCTGAGGGAAGGGGGCAACCTCAGTGCAGTTAAATGCAGGAACCAAACATGGCATTGGAAGGAATGGTGCAAAGCAGGACCAGTCAGAACAATTGATGGGAAGAGTGCTCCGTATTTACTTATTTAGTAAAACAATTTATGTTATCTAAATTATTTATTCAAACGTCAATGCCGTACACAGTTGTAAAACCCAAATCATTGCATTTTTTTTCAATTCACTCAGAAATGGATTTGAAGATTAAAGTTAAACCTCTATTGTTCATTTCATTCATTTAGTAAGTTAATTAAGTCCAGTCAGTATTTTCTCCTCTGCTTTCCTGAAAATGTTGGAACCATGAAACAGTACCCAAGCCTGAACCCAAATGTACATTTCCAGGTGTAATAGTTACACTCACTCACTTTGTTAATGGTCCTCATTCTCAGTGTTCTGAGACTACCCTGCATGAGGGGCGTTATATAAATGCAAGTTGTTGTTAAAAACCAGTGAGTATCAGCAGACTTTCCTTTGGGGATTAATGGATAGTACTGTAATCAGTAATGTGAATCCTGAGGGAGTGGGTGGGTGGGGGAGGGGAGATGTGGGACTAAGTGTAGTGCCCCCAACCTCCAGCTAAATTGAATCTCAAAATATCTGATTACCACTTGCCTTCATAAAGATATTACAGAAAAAGTAAAATGCAGCTTTACTGCCAGGAGAAATTGCAACCCTTTATACATAACCTAATCAAAGAAAATATTGGGAACACCTTCAGAAAATGCAAAAGTGCAAAGCCTCTTATGTGCAGATCTACATCTGGCAGCTATCAACAATGATTGATTTTCTTATTTAATCTTGACAAAATACAGATGTTTTTCAGATGGTTGGGATTGTTTAATGCTTGCTCACATAAGCATTTTCTTGTTTAATCCCTTTCGCTTGCACAATCCATGTTCAAAAAAAAACTGGCAGAATGACAGTACAATTGTCAGTCTGTTGGCTGCATTGGGACACAGATGTTTATAGGACAGAAAACTGGGTCAGTAATGTCCATTGAAGTATTGTACTTTGTGGTAAAATACTTGCTAAAACAATATTATATATGTTTGGGTTCTAGAAGCAAAGTCATTCTATGTCAAAATGTTTACTTTATCCAGCTCAGTATACCATATAGCTTGTTTGTAAAGTTTACAAGTGCCTATTCTTCATGTGTGAACCTAGACAATGAAGGTCAGTCGGCATAAAGGTATCCAGTAAGCCTTTAAACATATATAAGTTGGTTTAATAAATAAATCACTAGATTAGTTGGGTGAAGAAGGCCCTTTGATCATATCCACTCTATTATCCTCCCATCAGAGTATTAAGCTACTTTTAAATTGTCTAGTATCCTGGTCCAACTACCCTTACTGGCAACCTGAGCACTACATGTCCCATTGTTTCTTTTCACGAAACAACAGCAACAACAACAAAATTACATTTACCTAGTACCTTTCATGTTGGGAGGACTTTCCAAGGCGCCGGAAAATTTAATTGCATTATATTCAGGCACTGGAAGAAAAACACCTTCCAAATCTCTTCAATTGCAAAACTATGGCCAGGTAATATTAGTCTTTAGAGTTGTCATTTGATAATTGTGCATTTGGGGACGTGGGCTGGGAAGATGGGATCAGTGAAAGATCCACATTTGGTTAAAAAAATGGCTAAACCAGATGAGGAACAGGTGTCAAGCCTCAGTAGGACAAATAGTTGGACTTTGTCCAAGCAACTCAAATGGAGTACAATTCACAGAAACATTTTCATTGAACGTGTGTAGAACATGTGAAACTCCCCTCCCCCCACTCCCAAACACAAGACTTCTTTCTGTATTTGACTTGAAAGTAACCAGACGACTCACTGCAAAACAATTGGGTGATCTCTCTGCTTTATTACACATTTGCAAGTCTTGCAGAAATATTTTGAATGCTGTGAAAATTGAATGTTGGTGGAGCACTACATGTACATGTGAGTGTCCACAGACAGAACTCTGCGTTGTTTAAGTAAAGTATGATGTCAGCAGCATAGCTTAATATTGCTGGCTCTCTTATACAGATTCGAAGTTGACATCTTGTAACATTAGTTGTAAGATGCCACATTCCAACATAAAGTTAAGACTTTTTACTGTGTTATACTGTTGTTGTTAAGTAATTAATTTGGTGCTGGTTTAAATGAAGTAATCCAACGTCGAATTCTTAAGTATAACACCAGGAGTTATAGTTCATTTGAATTACTAAGATTTACAAAGAATGTACAGCACGGGAAGAATCCATGCCGGTGTTTATACTCCATATTACTCCATTCACTCCTTACTCCTTCCCATTCTTTTTATTCCCCTCTCTCTCATGTGAAGGTCTAAGCTTCCTCTTGAATGTATTCATACTTTCTGATTCAACTATCGCTTCCAGCAGTGAGTTCAACAATCGCACCAGCAAGTCATTAGGTGGCCTTACACTACTTCAGGTCTGAGTCTAAACGGTGAGGGAATAAGTTATACATTTATGTTATGTCAATCAGTCTACCTGACAAAATTAGTCTGCCTTCCCCCACCACCCGATCGATTTAACATGCATTTGACTTCTATTTCCAAATTGTGAACAAACGATAAGAGCACCACACATTAATGCTCTCGCATATGCTTGGAACACTACATTCACAGTAGTGAATTTGGTGGGGAGTAAAGGAATGGGTGGAGACTCATGTGGAGAATAAACACTGACATGGATTGGTTGAGCCGAGTGGCCTGTTTCCTCCTTGGTTCGGAGGTTAGTAGAGCAGCAAGCGAATAGAAGTCATGAGTGAGGAACTGTTTTTAATAGTACCTCATTCACAAGGCATGGATGCTATTTGCTACATGCTGTGCTGTAGCAGCATTAAGTGTAACAGTCAACATTAGGAATGATTACATCAGGAGATGTTAAAACAGCACACTATTTGAATTGTTTTCCACAATTTGTATCAAGATAATATTTTAACACCGTGGTGTTGCAACTAAAGAATTTCTTTCTTCCTATAGTCAAAAAGTGAGTTTGTCTGACAGCTATTAAAATTATGAAAGCAGTGTACACAAATGTTTATAATTATTTTATTCAACTCTAACAATTGTGAAAGTAAACAACGTGTGGAAATCTGTTTGAATTTACAATATTGCTACAGAGTGAATTTTAGGAACAACAACTTGCACTTATATAGCACCCTCCACGCAGGGTAGCATCTCAGAGTTTTAGCAAAAGATATTCACAAGATGATTGAAGCTGGTTTTTGTGCAGTGTTGCAGATTCACACTCACAGCCATGATGTTCTTGTCAACATTAACATAATTCAGTGGACCTACACAAGGCACAGACCTGCAAATATACCAAAAGTACATGTAGATCAGACTTTATAACTACAATACCTATAAACTGTTTATTGTTTTAGACAAGAGTAAAATATAACATTCAATCCAAACAAGACAATGTACAAAGTAAAGAAAAATAAAATGAATATAGAGATAAATCAAAATGTTATTGGCAATATCATGGATATTTTGTCCTACTCTCAGAGAGGAATATAATAAAATAAATGAAGAATTATACAGACATGGGATGCTGCCATTACAAGCTACATTTTCAATAATTTCTCAATAACAAACTATCCTTGGACACTCCATAAGTTACATTATAGACTCTGAAGAATCTCATTTTAATAATGTTTCCTGTAAATGCTGAGTCCATTTTAATACTGCTATAAAAAGTCTGACTAGGATAAGAGCTAGTGTGTAACATAGAAAGTTGCACAAAGAGTACTATTTTGCTTACCTTTAATCCCTTCAACAAACATGATTATAAAATATACTTGCACTGCTCTGTTCTCTTGTTAATATCAACCTTCAAAAGCTCTATATGAGGTCTTAGTGGTAGAATCTGATGACTTTTCAAGCATAGGATCACTATGCTTAACAAAAGGCCACATGGTGAGATCGCAAGAAAAAACACACATAAATTTTAAATGAAGGAAGCTTGGCTGATGGTGCCATTTAAAATGTCCTACAATCTTATCCAGAACAGTAGAACCAGAGGACACAGCCTGCGCTTGTAAATGCAAAACTAATCTGCAGAAACATTATTTCAGTGAGCAAGTGGTAAAAATAATGCAACAGGTTCCCCTAGGGTTAGGGTTAGGGTCGGTGGAAGGAAAACGTGTCGATTCATTCAAATGCAAATTAGATTCCTTTTTGTTTCAGAAAATCATATTTTGGGAGACAACGTATGAATAGTTTGAGTCATGACATATGACAAGTGTGTGCTTGGGAGAAACAGGGAACTTTGCACCAGTGGTTCCCAAAGCTTTCCACCACGAGTGGGTTTTCCTTGCCTCAGGCTTGAGTCTGTTGTAGACAAAGCAATAGAGATTGATTGCCATATGATGTGTTAACATCTCCATTCTTATTGTAGTGTGGGACTAGCAGGACGGACCTTGGTCTTTAGCAATTCCTATGTCCCTATGTGATCAGCATTCATTGTTTTTACCTTCATGCCGGACGCGTCCGTATTTATTTGCCAGACAGATTTGTCCCTGCCTTTGTCGAATTATACCATGCACCTCGGGGGGAATGCCTTTGGGATCCCGAGAGAACACAAGTGAGTAGCTGTCTGCACAGGTTTCATCATCATTCAGTTGTCGACAGGTGTAGGTGATGGCAAATGTATCATAATCTGTGTCAATCACCCAGTGATCATCAACTGAAAGAAATAATTCAAAACTTTTAAAAAATATTTTCCAGGTAACGTGGCGTGAATGTGGTGCCGTTCTCCCCAAATCCACACGTGCATTAGCGTCACGTTGACTCGCGTTATTAATAAAAAAAATAACTTAAATAGCTTGACTTAAAATAGCTTAAGACATTGCCTAGAATTAATGTGTGAGAGAGAGAGAGAGAGAGAGAGAGACAGAGAGAGAGAGAGAGGTTAAGGTGGTGATCGCCTCTTGCAGAACTGTTACTTACAGCCGGACTGGAGGTAATGCAAAGCTCCTCGGTATTTCAGTTTGAATTTAGCCGGGTTCGAGGTTTCCAGGAACTTTCCCAGCATTTGGACGCAGGTTGGCCAGTTTCTGCATTAAAAAGGCAACCACACAAACTGAAAACAACGGATTATTCACGATCGGTACGGCGCTCAATGGTGATTTGGGTTGTTTTTTTAGCGCTTACTCGAGCAGAGTGACTCTTCCTCTGGCTGTGGCGTTCATGAATCCCTGGTCATCCTGCGCAAAGTCAGCGTAGATGTTGTCTTCTAGGAAAATTGAGTCTGGACTTTTCTTTGCCATCGCATACCATCGTCCTAGATACTGTAACGGAATTTCAACCAGTTAGAGGGTGGGTGGGCGGCTTTCACCACAGTTTTTTTTTGATGCTGGGGAGAAATTCAACTTACTCGTGTTTTGTTGAAGTTTTCTTTGACTGGGAAAGTGCTCACATTGCAGTTGGACTGTGCATAACAGTGGCAGATGGAGATGAGAACCAAAGAGAGTCCCAGGATCTTAACTTCTGCTAGCATCTTGGAGGACGTCTGCAAAAACAACAATCGAATTCTTCTTCGACAAAAAAAATCAATCAATACATCACGACATTAAAACGCCCAACATTTCTGTGTGATTCGGCAGAGACGACTGCACTGTGCGTTCAGGCAGTTTGGCTCAAGCTGCTTCTGCAGACGCATCTAATACACAGTGAATTCTAGCTGTATTCATCCGAAAATAGTTACATGGCACAAAACCCGGGTCCCCCCCCCACCCCTGTACTGTTCCAATAAAGATCGAGATTTACCTGGGATGCAATGGCGAGTTGCAAGTTGTGAGCAGCAATTCAGATTTTGCTCGATCTATATATACGTGCGTTCGGACTCTGCAGTAAACAGCATCTCAGTCACTCCGCCCTCAGTTTGGAATGCAAATTTCATTGGCAAAGCCTCTCATTCTCACCAGAGTTTACATAATTCAACGGTTGCATAATTGATCGTCTATTTATCTCGACCCAGTAGGTTGGTCAGCCCGTCTCACGCACAATGCAAACTGCGGATTTGTCACTTTTCGTGACAACATGAAAGATTCTCAACTCGCACCTTATTTCGATGTATCCCGTTCTTTGCAAACGTTAGTGTCTCGGTTTCACGAGAAGCTGCGAAGAGTGGTGGTGTGCAGGCCCACATCTGGGAGCTATCAACAATGAATGAACTCCCTGTTTAATCTTTACAAAATACAGATGCTCTCGTTTTGGAGCATTTAATGCATGCTTTCATAACAGTTTCTTGTATAATCTCTTTCCATTGCACAATCCAATGTCCAAAAAAAAAAGACCTGGCGCTAAACGTGACAGCTTTTTGGCTGTGTTGAAACACAGATGTTTTTTTAAGGCTTTTTTTTTAAAAAAAGGGTAATCTCGTCTAATTAAATATTATAGTTTATACCAATAGTGAGTGTGCTAAGCAACGTTATCGTACTTTGGCATCAGGTTTAGATGTATATACACCCTAGTTTTTTTTTCTATCAAATTCAATATACCACAGAACTTGTTTGTAATTAAAAAAAATTATGTTGTATAATGCAAAAGGATCCAAAGTTATAATTGGGTTAACATGCATTGCCATCCCACGAAAAGCCATGAGATGAATGATCAAATGTAACCAGAGGATTTTTGGCCAGAGCCCTGGGAGAAAGTTTTTTTACTCTTTCCAAATAGTGCCATGAGCTCTTTAATATCCACTTGAATTGGTAGATGGGACCTGGTCTCATCTGAAGGACAGCAGAAGTCCCCAGCAATCATAGGCAGCCTGGACTATGATCTCAAAGTCCCTATGTGTTTGAAATGTTGTAAAAGTACAAGCTATGAGAATTAAATCGACAAAGCAGATTTCTTTCAGTTTGGGAAAGAAGAACTGGACGAGCTCTGCCTCATTTTAACGATGACAATGTATAACAGTGATGTAACGTTGAATACAATTGATGTGTGCAATTGTGCCAAATGAAAATAGCTTGGTATTGTTTCAGGGCCAGTTCTTGGCGGATGCAGAAAACTGCTTGCAACTCAGTATAAGGTGACACTAAATCGCAACGTTTCATTCCGAGAAACCACGAGGAATGTGGAAAATGTCACACGTACACTCGGAGCCAATGTTCTAATCTAAACGCCTATTTTCAACAAAGTAGATGAAGTATCTCTGCATCTCATCCTTTGCTGAACCTGACTGTGGGCGTTAGATTAGACACTGCATACAAAGCTTTATTTTGCATCTAAGTGTGCAGTTTGATGGAGCCAGCACAGAAACATGAATATAATTTGATGAAACATATTTTAAAATGTTATGCATAACTATATATTATTTTAAGTCTAAATTCACTACAAATAAAGGACATAATCTAAAAATGTCGTATCACCTGGATCAAAATAGATTCTTAAATAATTTTAACATCTCATATGCATTTATAAAATTTATGCAAATGCTCCCTCCATGTTGCAATCTACATTATAATCACCAGGGGCAATAATCATGAGCGTAATACTTAACCTGAGACAGGTTTATTAAATCATAATTAAATTAGGACAATATATCCCATTCACCTCATTGTGTTAATTTATATTATAGTTTAGGATTTTGGAGAGTATTGTTCCACCTATCACATCCTCACAGTAGATTTTGTAAGCAGACCCGTTGTTCACTATGCTGTGGAATTCGATTTCCTTTTTATATTCATGTATCTTAGATTAACAAAAAAAACTCTGACTCAATTGCAAATTAACAAACACAACAGTCAGACAGTTTCTAAGCAAGAACACGAGAGTTTAGACTTACCCTTGTTTTAAATGCTCGGGTCAGTGAGGATAGGGACCACTTTGATGCTTTAGTGAATTTCGATTTCTTGAAATGGACAAATTATGAACTTTATGGGATTCAGATCCAGAACATGTGCTGTACACTGACAGCTCAGGATTTACTCTTATGACAGATTGAGCTCCTTGAAGTGCCTCAGACAGACTCATGTTTGTGTATTATGGTGATTTCAAAAGAAAATGCAAACACCTGCTTATTCTGCAGAGAGCTAAATGGGAGTCCTTTCCCAACAATAATTTTCTTTCGTGGATAAGATACTTTTGTTTTCACTGGTTGCCAACCGTGTTATTAGGTAACCTTTAACCAAGATCGAGACAACGGACAGAAATGCTTTAATTGCAATCCATCATTAATTCGGCACTTTCTGAATCATCACTTTCGAGCAAAATATCAAATTGTATATATGGATCCAAATTCTTGAAACTTCAGCAGAGCCTTTGATTCTCTGTTTGATCTGTTTTAGCTTTTTCTCTCTTTGCATTCTCTGACTGATAATCGCCTATCAGTTTGAGAAATCTGTGATCGGTTAACAATTCTATAATAATAATATTAATAATCCTTGCATTTGATATAGCGCTTTTCACGTTCTCTAGACGTCCCAAAGCGCTTCACAGAATATACTGTAAAGTGAATTGACTGTATATTTGTGGCCGAACGCGGCAGCCAATTGCGCACAGCAACGTCCCACAAACAGTCATGGATTGAAAATGACCAATTTATTATTGTTTTGTTTTTTGGAGGGATTATTATTAGGCGTGTGGAGTAAGGAAACTTGCCCAAGGTTTCGCCCTGCCTGGAATTGAACACAGGTCTAGAATAGTGATGCCGTTTTCTTGAATTGCTGAGGCAAAAGTCTGCAGTGTGGATTAACCGTGTAGATTAAACCATTAACTGGTTAGCAAAAACCGTGTAGATTAAACCATTAGCTGTCAAATATCATAGAGCGTTCCGATTAAAATAATGTTGAACCAAATCTTTCAGTGTCCGGAAACATCTAAACAACAGGTACAATTCAACATCACCATCGCTGAATATTACGAGCTACTGAAGTTTTAGTTCTACACAACTTCACCAATGAGCCCCAACAATTATGTGAAAGAACACATTGCTAAATTCGAATATTGCTTTCAATCTCTCTTTAGGTTATTGCTTCAAAGGTTAATTCGCAAAATTCCTCATTGACTCATTGGTCAGGATAATCTCCTGGCCAGAAACAACATACGTTTTCTATCTCTTTTTGTGGAATTGTAAGAAATTGTTTTCGAAGCAAGCTTTCAAAACCACTTTGCCAATCAATGCAACCAATATGACTTCAATCAACAAAATAACCAGAACCAAAATGAAGTTCTATTGGATCCAGTTGAATGGAATTGCAAACGAAAACGTTGCAGGTGTGAAACAAGGGAGTTCATACATCAACTAAAGATAAGCTAAAAAGGACTCGTTTGTACAATATGTATTGGGAAAAAAACATTCAATATTCAACAAAACATGTACATTTAGAAAGTGACACCGAATAAAGATTATACGGGAGACAGTTTCTGAAGTCACAAATAAAGTATACAAAAAAGACAAGATTTGTTGTTGATTTTCAAAGCAAAGCAATAATCAGTTATTAAGCTGATTTCTGTTCTTTCAGGCGGATATGGCAGATCTTACAAATACGCACGATTGCCTTTTTTCTTTAAGTAAATTACCCATGAATGAGAATGTATTAAGTCAGAGTCACAGGGGTATTTTAAATGGTACGAGTCACGGATAACGCAATAGTGTACTAATGTATTGCACGTGTACTAATCCAACATACAGAACAGTTATCCACAATTGAATAGTTATAGAAAACCGAGGAAGTACCATAGTTGTGCATAATCTGTCTGTGCTCATTGGAAATATCACTTTTGCGCTTTAATTGGATTCTAAAATAGAGAAGATTGGGATTTATTTTCTAATAATAATGATCAGGATAATGACGTCATGTTTATTAGCAGTCAGCAAGATCTCCTTAGCCTCTAAGCCATTGCCTGCTGTCAACCTAAGAGAGACATCAGATGGTGTGTGATCTGCTGGCTGGGACTCCCATGGTAAAACTGGGCGTATGATGTCTATGATCTACTGTCAGCTGCAGCAAGATACGAGGGGCCTTTGATTCTACCCTTTTGTCTCTTTGACGATGCGAATCTAAAAGGAAAATAACAGCAAACATGGGGGAAGTTAACAAGCAAGCGGTCGAGCAATACTTGGAGAACAACCCACAGTTTGCCAAGGAATATTTTGACAAGAAGCTCAAGCCAGAAACAATAGGAGCGTTGTTTAACGATAGAAAAGTAGAAGTGAAAGATGGGGCGTCTTTCAAGGACCTATGCAAGTTGGAGGAGTCTGACATAGTGTTTGAGATGATGGTTGAGATGCAAGATACCAACGACATCGACAAGCAGATGCACAAGGTAGTGCAGAGGATTGTAACTCTAGTCAATGCGGACAGAGGTAGCATGTTCATAATGAGGTCGAGGAATGGCATCCCCGAGCTGGCCACAAGACTTTTTGATGTGACCCGAAACTCTGAACTGCAAGCCAATCTTGTTGCTCCAGAGAGCGAAATAGTATTCCCGTACGATATTGGGCTGGTAGGATGGACCGCGCACACCAGGAAGGTGCAGAATATTGCTGATGTTAAAAAGGTAGGTTTGATTGAACTACTAAAGCCAACACAATGAACTGCATTTAAAAATGGGTATTAATATTAATCCTTGCATTTGATTTAGTGCCTTTTTTGCGGAGAGGACGTCTCAAGCGCTTTAAAGAATTTACTGTAATGTGTAGTGACTGTGTATTTATCGACCAACACAGCAGGCAATTTTGTGTTTAGCAATGTACTACAAAAATTATGAAGTAAATGATCAATTTTATCCCGGGCAATTGAATTTTCATTCAATTTATATCTTCACTTAAGTAGCATCACATAAATAATCTTTCTTGCCTACTCTTTTATGTGCAGTGGATTTGTTTATTATTTGTAATTTATTTGTAAAGCTAGAAAATCTCATTTTGTGTTGTGAGAGAATTCACCGGAATATTTCTCTGCACAGCTTTCACCACATATGCTGCCTTTCTGCTAAATAGCAAAACCAGCCCAGAAATGACTGCAAGTCTTATTACATTAGATTGCTGTTATCCAGTGAAACCAATTTGTCAGCTTTCAATTAAACTGCTTCAAATCCGAATCCGTTACCGGTATTGTGAAAACAAATTGGAAATTCATCATGTGGATATGCACTGCTGCAACATTTTTGCATCATTTTTCTTTCTTAAAGTGTAATGATGTATGCAGAGCGTGGTTGCATAATCGAACATGAGAATAATACAGTGATAGGCAATATCCAGTTGATCAAACAGGTCTTTTTATTTTGCTTAGATTCAAAGAGGTGTCATGGGTTACTAAGAAAAACACTGCAGCTTTTGACTTGCAACTGCTTATTGCCAAATCAAGACAATGGTGGATAATCCTTCTAAATGTATAATGCTTATTAGGAGGAAAAGATCAAGAAGGATCAAGATGAGTATTTTCAGGACGTGTCGTCAGCTGGCGATCTATATTCCTTACATAGTCAAAATGCACGAGGGGCTGGTTCTGGATTGTGACATCAAAGATATCATTGAACTTTACCTAATAGCACAGATGGCTTGCCACTGCATCCCAATTCAGCCACTTTATCCAAGATCATCTAGGGAACTTCCATTCATAATATATCTAGAAATTCCATTTGTAATATTTGCCCCAAAATACCTCTCATGGATGCAAACACGGAATCACGTGATTATCACCAGATAAGCTTTGTCAAAGCAAATTACCTTCAGCACAAAGCTACTGTCCCTAATCAATCTACAAAGTAAATCTTCCAATGTTGGCAGACACTGTTGGTTCTTACTCTTATAACTCTGTCTATGCGTATCTAGCACCAAGTTACTATGGATTTGAGCTAGAACTGATAAAGAAAATGTTATAATTACTACTAGGGAGACCGCTCTTAGATTTCTTCAATGTAATATAATCTCCAATATTCTTGAAAAAATGACCTGCAGTGCAATTTGGAGCCTATAATGTTATAATGTAACTTTGTCGTTCTGTCTTAGGATAGCCATTTTTCTGACTTTGTTGATAAACAGACTGCTTACACAACCTCCAACATTCTTGCTGCTCCAATTTTGCTGGGGAAAGAAGTATTAGCAGTCTTTATGTTAGTCAACAAGATTGACGAACCTCACTTCTCCAAACTGGACCAAGAGGTAAATGTAGTGAACCCACATATTCGTGAATAAATTTAAAACATTGCAAATCCATTGAATGTACTGTTTCCCCATAATTCATTTAATTCTTTTATATCCTCAGGTGTTTGCCAAATACCTTAATTTTGCATCTTTAGGATTGAAATACTCTCATTTGAATTATCTCTACAATGTTGAATCCCGACGGACCCAGGTAATGTTTAATTTTATATTAAAAAAATCCCCAATATCTTCAAACATTTTGATATCAATATATACGTCTTCATGAGGCTGACAGTAGTAAATATCATAATATGTACTATAAAAATTAACTACCATCGGCAAGGCACATTTTATAATAATAATAATCCTTGCATTTGATATAGCGCTTTTCACGTCGGGAGGACGTCCCAAAGCGCTTCACAGAACACACTGTAAAGTGAATTGACTGTATATTTGCGGGCGAACGCGGCAGCCAATTGCGCACAGCAATGTCCCACAAACAGTCGTAGATTGAAAATGACCAATTTATTATTGTTTTTTTTTTTTTTTTGGAGGGATTATTATTAGGCTCTGTGTGGAGTAAGGAAACTTGCCCAAGGTTTCGCCCTCTGCCTGGAATTGAACTCAGGTCTCTCGCTTGCAAAGCGAGTGCTCTAACCACTGAGCTACAGGACTCCAAAGCTTATACTGGAATTCAGAGGATAAGTTTTGGATTATAAATTTATGTATAATATACTGGTGTTATTTTATAATAAAATATGATTTACACTTATATAGCGTCTTTTATGTCAGGAGGATTTCCAAAGTGCTTAAAATCTTGGCTCAGTAGCACTGTTGCGTCTGAATCTGAGTGTAATGGGTTCAAGCCTCACATTGATATTTCAGAACTGAAGAGTTCTTATTACTAACAAGAAATCTGTAGATAAAAGAAAATCTGATAATATTAATTTAAGCAGACTTTTCCTGCTTCCTCCATTTCTTACAACTACCTCCATGCCAACAGCATGAGCCTAAAATCAATCAGAAAACCCTTACAGCATATTTCAGCGATTGTCTTAACCATAACTATCTAAAATGCAATTAAAATAGTTTTAGCAAAAAATAAATTTCTTTCCATGATGATGGCTTGTTTTAGAGATACAATCAATGATTTCTAATTTTAATTTTGATCAGTAGTTTCTTTTTAATTCGTCTTTGGTTAATTTACTTTTGCTTCCCATGAACAGGTCCTATTGTGGTCTGCTAACAAGGTGTTTGAGGAGCTTACAGATATTGAGCGTCAGTTCCACAAAGCTTTGTATACAGTTCGAATTTATTTAAATGTGGAAAGATATTCAGTTGCTCTGCTGGACATGACCAAACAAAAGGTAACCATATTTCTAAAGTTAATGTTGCATCCCTCTTTCTTATGGTTATTAATTCAGAACCACCATAATATGCTTTGCTTAATTAAATAAAAGAAATCAGAATTAAACATGTTGTGCTTTTTAGGAGTTCTTTGATGAATGGCCAATTCTGATGGGTGAGGCAGAACCTTACAAAGGTCCAAAAACTCCAGATGGCAGAGTAAGTGGTTTTTGAATTATTGTTAATTTCAGGAGTTCATGATAAATCTTTAAGATTAATCATAGGATGATGGCACTTAAATTCACTCTTACTCTACAGGAAATCATCTTTTACAAGATCATTGATTATTTATTGGTCGGGAAAGAAGAAATTAAAGTCATCCCGTAAGTACCAATAGCTCCTCCAAAACAAGTAAGACAAGGTTTATTAGATGGCACACTGACAATTAATGTGCTTTGCTTCCATTTTGTGTTTGAAGATCGCCTCCTGCAGATCATTGGTCCCTTGTGAGCGGGCTGCCGACTTATGTTGCCGAAAATGGATTTGTAAGTAAAGAACTCAATGAAAATGTCCAGCTTAGTTGCTATTTGTTGGAGTGGTTAGCTATGACATACTATATATAAACATACACACACATACATATATTTATTCATACCATAATAAATAATACCTGCAATTAATTTTGTAAAATAGATCTGTATTATTCTGCTGAAGAAAAAAAAACATTATATGTAACAGAAAGTGAAACATGGGGTAGGAAAATGGAATATTACAGATAAGGTGTGAATGTGTTAGTCAATGTACAGGTAAGTGGTTGAATAATACTGAAGAGGAATAGAAGTTTCTGCTTCAGAAGCTTGCATTGAACTTAGGTGGGCAAAGATAATAATTAAAGGAATAAATCAAAATAAGGATACAAATAGTTATTATGTTCTTCAAAAGAACACAAGAGCATCTCCACAAGAGCATGCACTGCTGTCTAATCCTGCTCACTCTCAATTTATATATTATTACTATATATGTATAACTTATGTTTGTGGCAGATCTGCAACATGATGAATGCTGTGGCTGATGACTACTTTACATTTCAAGTAAGTACAAAAATAAATGTGTTCTCTGTACCTAAATCAATTAAACCAAGTTTCAAATGCTGCATGCACCAAAACTCGGAGTTATTGGCACACACTCATTAACAGCAATACCATTCACCGTGCAGTTCGACAGTTTGTCAAAGAACTTGACAGAGTAGGATATAACATGTAAAAGCTAACCATTTTATACAAGTGAGTCTGGGATGTGAATCTGGGATGAGAAGAAGACCAAACTAAGAGAATACCTAGGCCTTCATAAAAATAAAAGACATATCTAATTTAGTCTGAGATTGTAAAATTAGAGATCTGCCAAAAATTAAACAACCCTCAAGCAAGACTAGAAATTAGAAGAGAATTGCTTCTCCACAGAATGGTATTTTTTTGCCAGCAAGGGTCTGATACATGTGGAAATCCGTGCCATGTTTAACAGTATCCACCCAGATGTGAATGCCATGTACACATGGAAATTTCTCTGTGTCTCGAATGGAATGGGAAGAATCCCTGCTCCCAGCTGATGAATCAGGCTAATTTGTCTGTCATCAGCAGTGCCCTGGAGTACTGCAAACCCACCTGTCTCAGGAACTGGACTACCGAGAGAGAGGGTTGACTCGATTCCAACATTCAATTGCCAAGCATATCAACTTGGAATCAGCTCAGCTGCACGGAGACCCTACTTACCTCTCCATCCCGTGCTCCCTCTCCTCCCACAAAGAGGATTGTCCACAGAATTGGGTGTGAAGAATAGATGTCCATTAAACATTATTCACTTGAAAGGAATTATATCAATATCTGGTTAAGAACAGGATAGAAAGTTATAACTGTAAGTATGAACATACATAATCTAAAACACTACACATCACCACAACTCAATCTTATTTGTGCCTTGATGATTCCATGAGTATAATGTTACCAGTTATGGCTGGCTGTTGTATGTTGTAATATTACTATTGTATTCTTGAATCACTACTTATTTTACCTATTTTACTTTCCAAAGGTTATGTAAAATTACAATGAAGATGCAAATAGGTCATATGTTGTTATTATCACATCAGAGTTTGCTAAGCACTTACGCTATTATTAATCCACCAATTGAAATTAGCTTCTGAACACAAGAGATTTTCATTGTATTTATTATATATCTCATGGCTTTCTTTGAAAGAAAGGGCCAGTGGATGAAACAGGCTGGGTAATAAAAAATGTCCTGTCATTGCCAATTGTAAACAAGAAAGAAGAAATAGTGGGAATAGCTACATTTTACAACAGAAAAGATGGAAAGCCCTTTGATGAACATGATGAACAGATCATTGAAGTAAGTACTAAAGAATACATTTTTCACACCATTTATCAAGGCAGGGTCACTTTCAGACCTCAATTGTCAATTATATTTTAAGAACACGTGAATTTGGGTGGCGAACAAAGCAATACTACAAAGGTTGGGGAGAGATACATGCTGACAAGTAAAGTTACAACCTTGGCAATATATGCGAAAGAATGCAGAACATCAGGAGTTAGCAAGATACAGTATTTGGCTTTTTGGCATTCCTGATAGTCTAATCCATTAAATTGAAATTCAAGTACAATCTTATTTTCCTCTAAGTGTGCACAATGACTTATTAACATTATTGAGGCCTCATTAATGGAGCATTTATGCACTTTGTTTCACACTGAATTCCACAGGGAGTATATAAAGCTAGCTCTGAGTTGACCCTGATACTTTGAACCTATTAACTTATTATTTAACCACACAATGTTACTGAAATACAAAGATCTATCAGTAAGACACAGCTAATAGTCCACCATTGATCTTATTAGCTTTACTGAATTAAAGTGTTGCTTGCTTCAGGGTCTCACACAATTCCTAGGATGGTCAGTTCTGAACACGGATGCATATGACAAAATGAACAAATTAGAAAACAGGAGAGACATTGCTGCTGAAATGCTAATGTACCATTCAAAATGCAGTAACAAAGAACTTCAGACTATTCTGGTGAGTGCAAAGGAAAAGACTATTTGCATTAACTATTACTTAAGAATAACGTGAATAACATTGTTAATAATTTTGTGAATCCCATGTTTTAATAGAAAACAAAGGAAAAAATAAATAAGGAAATTGAAGACTGTGAACAAAATGAAATGATTAAGATCTTGGTAAGTTATATTTGCATCTGTTATACAAAACTAGTTGTTTGATACTAAATTATTATTTGTAATATTTACCTCATTTAAGTGTTAACTACAACTTAAATTTTGCTCACAGAAAGAAGAATTACCTGATCCAAAAGTTGTTGATCTGTATGAATTCCACTTCAGTGACATTCCTGTTTCAGAATTTGACCTGATCAAGTGTGGGATTAAGTGTTTCTTTGAAATTAATGCAGTTCAAAAGTTCAAAGTACCACCTGAAGTGAGTCTTTTCGGTTTATTCACTTGCAGTATTGTGATTATGTTTAATTACTTGTAAAACTGGATTATTACAATTCTTATAATTTGTATATTCCAATACCCTGAAGTAACAGGGTATTGGAATATACCATCCTGGGCTTTGAATTTGCCTCTGTTCATGTTCCTGAACTGTATGAAATTTGCATACAAAATTGTACAATAAATTGCTCTGATGGTTCTTTGGGCAACGTGGAGTGAGAAATATAAATCATACTGCCAGAAGCAATATTGCTTTGCATCCAGCAGTATAAATAACAACAACTTGCATTCACATAGCGCCTTTCACGAGGGGTAGCATCCTGGAGCGTTTATAATAACTACAGATAATAACATAACTGATCCACAGTATGTTTTGTTTTCATAAAAATAATATCAGAAATGGTAATAGGGCAACAATGTATATTTTCTTGCATTTGTTTTCATTATTTCACTCTTAGGGACCTGAGAAAAACAAGGCTGAAAATGATAGTGGTCCAATGCTGGAGAAACATTTTGCCTTGATAAAGGCAAAAATTCTAAAGCCTTGATAAAAGTAGGAAAGACACAGTAATAATTAGAATAATCTATAGATTATCTTAAAGGATACCCTATAGCCCCAAGTGTGATACCATATTTGTAGAAGTAGAATTGAGTATGTAACATAGGAATGATTAAGTCCATAGGTCTACATTACAGTATGTATTTTATTTTTTGTACCACTTAATATCTTAAATGGGAATTGTTTTCTGACAGGTATTGACTCGATGGATGTACACTATTAGAAAAGGCTATCGTGATATTACCTATCACAACTGGCGGCATGGGTTCAATGTGGGACAAACTATGTTTACACTACTGATGGTAAGATACACCATTTAAAGAGGAACAAACAAAACTGTTAACAAAGAGCAACCGTTTTATTCATTGTTCAATCACTTTGTTCATGTGAATTTCTGTTGTATCCTTAGTCGTTCAAATTTTATAATCTATTTATGTAGACAGGTAAAATAAAGAAGTACTACACTGATCTGGAAGCGTTTGCCATGGTTGCCGCAGCTTTCTGCCACGATATTGATCACAGGGGAACCAACAATTTATATCAGATGAAGTAGGTGGAATTTAACAATGTGATAACAGCACCTTATCACATTGTTGAGAGATCTCAAAGTTCTTCACAGGATACACTGTAAAATGGATTAACTGTATATTTTGTGGGCAAAACGGGGCAGCCAGTTTACATACAGCAATATCCCACAGACAACCATGGAGCGAGTGACCAATTTTATTTCGGGGTTTTGTTTGTGAGGACACTGGGAGAAACTCCTTTCTCTTTTCGAATAATGCCATGGGATCTTTAACATCCACCTGAAAAGGCGGACGGAACCCTAGTTTAACCTTTCATCTAAAGGGTGGCACCTCTGCCAATGTAACACAATCCCAGCACTGAATTGGAGTGTCAGACTATGTGATTCTGAATCTCGAAGTGGGTTTGAACCCACAGCCTTATGACTTTGATGTGAGAGTGCTACCACTACATCAGGCATAGGCTGATTTGTTGAGAATTGGATAGAATTTAAGTTACGCTTCACAAATATGAGATTGCAATTTACTGTTTACAGTTTAGACAAAATCTGAAAGTTATATTTAAATGATACTTAACCACAGATCAGCAGCACCTCTTGCAAAGCTGCATGGCTCCTCCATTATGGAAAGGCATCACCTTGAATACAGCAAAACCCTGCTTCAGGATGAGGTCAGTGAGTTATTCATATCTGAATATGTTTGATCGATAGTTTAGTGCAATAATATTAAAAATATGAATTTATGGTTTTAGAATGGACATATTAATTTCACAGTGTTTCCTTCTTTTTCTTCTCTCGGATTACCAGAGTATAAACATCTTTCAGAATCTGAACAAGCGCCAGTTTGAAACAGTCATGCACTTAATGGAAGTTGCTATAATAGCGACAGACTTGGCCTTGTATTTCAAGTGAGTGCTCTACTTGTGCTACCTTTTCTCACTTAGCTGAAGTGGAGCAATCTATTCTTAAAATAGTTTCAAGATTAAATTCACAAAAATGTTCTAATGTTTTATGTTTTACACACACACATATAAATATATATATACATACATTGATCCTCATCTGTATTAATTTGTTTTGCTTGTGTGTTGATCCTATTATACCTAAATCTTTAACGTGGCATTATAACATTGACCACAAAAAGTTATTTCTGCTCGGCTGAAAAAATAACTGAAAATATTTTGATATCAGATTTAGGCCATGCATATTTTTAATCCCAACAATATATAGATGGAATATGCCACTAGTTTTTCATTAGGCTGATGGGTGAAAGAATGCATTACAGCAGAGTGTTGTTTCAAAAAGGAAAAGTTGTAGCAAACAAATCACTACTATTAATGATAAGTGTGAAATACATACTTATATGAGTCAAAAAGTCAATTACCTGAACCTTGTGTCCGCTTCATACAAACATACTGCATAAAATTCAGAGGACTAGACAGTATTTAATATCATTTGCTCCTTCAAATGTTTCACAGAAAAAGGACAATGTTTAAAAAAATTGTTGATCATATAGAACAAACACAAAATGAAGAGGAAGCCATAAAGTATATTTCTTGTGATCCAACCAAGAAAGAAATTGTCATGTAAGTGTTTTTCTTATTTTTCTTCTAACATTTGTATTTTCTGACACACTGAATTCTGAATTTATTGACATATTGTACCCCTATGATTTTGAACAGGGCAATGATGATGACAGGGTGTGACTTGTCTGCTATTACCAAGCCTTGGGAAGTTCAAAGCAAGGTATGTTTGCTACTGTAATTGATAAGCAGGGCTTCTGATATTTGATTTTAACCAATAAACACATTAAAACACCCTTGATTTTAAGATTGATCTTAACTCCGGCATAAACCGGCACCACGACAACAACAATTCATATAGTGCCCTTCAAGCGTAGTAACATCCCGGGGCGCTCATGAGACAACACTTGCACTGAGCAATAGTAAAGACAAAATTATGAGGTTAATGTATAAAACCATTTATTGTAATATAGAGATTCTTTTTGAGAGTTTCAGAAAATGAAAATGTGCTTTATCTTGTTTAATTGGCTTCCATCAGCAAATAACACTTTAATTGCTGTTTGCTAGTGTGCAATGTGCACTATCCACCACTTTCTGTTTTTAATGAGTAGCATGTCTGTACTGCTCAAAATCTTATCCGACACCCCCTATTGATAACCAACCAGTAACTTTTACCAATGCACTTTTTCAGTATTTGTAATTAAAATAAATTCACTTGACTTTTTCGTTTGCTCCTTTTATTGATATTGTGCTTTAATTCCAGGTTGCACTTATGGTAGCGAATGAATTCTGGGAGCAGGGTGATTTGGAGAGGACAGTTTTAGAACAACAGCCTATTGTAAGATGTTTTAACTGAATGCTAATGATTAGTTATGTGGTTAGTCGACTTGGATCAACTATTGAATAATTATAATACCCTAAATCCTTCAATGAGAAAACATATCTACAAAACACTTTATTATGTAGAATAATACATTGTGTGATATTTTTGTCCTACAAATGGCAAACATGAAAAATTTTCTAAAAGCAGAAAATATGCCTCTACTTCATGAAAAACAATAATGAAACCCTGATGGAGTCAATGAGCGTATTAGTGAAAAAAAACACTTTCCAGATGTTGTCAGTTTGAGGCACCAATGAATAAAGGTCACTTTGTAGTTTAGCAAGTTTAACTTTTCCAGGCAGGCGTTGCTTGAGTTTTCCCATTCACACCTCTGACAGACATACAAACTGTTTCAAAGTCTCTGCTTTTAACTGCATTCAATGCCAAAGTCATTGCCTTTGAAATTCTTAAAGTATAGCTTCAAAGGTACATTCCTCTGTTTCATTGGTACACAAGATTGATGAGGATGGTTTCCTAGACAAACATATAGACTTCTGCAGATTATACAATGGTAAACAGAATGCATATTTTTACAAAATATAAAGGAAGGTGCCATTTACAGTATGACTAGCCACTTTTACACCAGCCACTCCATTAAACAGGTTAGATGTTAACAACTGCACAAAACCCCATCTGAAAAAACACATCTGAGCAGTAACTTAAAAACAGCCGGTTCTTAGAACAGCTACTGTGTTATTTCATGTTATTCACATTCAGTTTTTTTAATCAAAGAATCACAGTTTTTGATCAAAGAATCATTTTGTATTTCTTCCATATTTTACAAAGGGAACCTCAGCTGCCTTTTTTCATTTTCTATATTTTTAGCTATAGGTGAGAATCCAATCTGTGAAAAAACCTCAGTTGGGAAATATACATTGCATTATATTTCAGCATCAATGCCAGTAATACTGATATAGAATCACAGTACTTTTCAGAACTTAAATGTATGGTACCATACATACTGCCTTTCACATTAACAAATTCAAACCAGTTAAAAAAAACTTGTAGTAATGAGATCCTTTTGTTTTAAACAGCCCATGATGGACCGAAACAAAGCAGCTGAACTCCCCAAACTACAATGTGGCTTCATCGACTTTGTGTGTACCTTTGTATATAAAGTAGGTACAAATGTTGTTGATTTTATAATTAGACTATTTCATATTCAACTTATTCATTCAAATATGCTCATATTCAATGAATGTCCTTCGGATGAGATGTTAAGCCAAGGTCCCAACTGCCTGTTCAGGTCGACGTTTTTAAAGATCCCAAGGCACATTTCGAAAAGGTAAGGGAGTTTCTCCTAGTGTTGTGGCCAATACCCCAAATAAAATTGGTCAATCATTCCATGGCTGTCTGTGGGACGTAGCTGTGTGAAAATTGGCTGCCACACTTGGCCCACAAAGTACAGTATTAACACAGTATGTACAGTAGACAAAGTACATACTTAACAGTATATCCTGTGAAACGAGTGCTTTGAGACGTCTCGATGTGATGAGGCTCTATCCCAAATGCAAGTATTATTATTAATAATAATGCCTAACATTTATTACGTGATTAAATGACACAAGTTCACCACACTTTTGTCTTGTGCAGGAATTTTCAAGATTCCACAAAGAAATAACACCAATGTTAGATGGTCTCCTAAATAACAGGGTACACTGGAAATCACTAGCTGATGAATATGAAGAAAAAATGAAGGCGATTGAAGAAAAGAAGAAACAGGAAGAGGAGGCAGCCACAAAGGGTTACGATGCTATTCAATTTCCAATTTTGTTCCTTAAAACTATTAGCTCATTTAGTTTACAGTTGAATTAACTTATTCAATTTTCTTTCAATACTCTTTACTTCAACAAGAATAGCAAGTTGTTACCACATGTTTTCTTAGAATTAGTTCTAAGTTTTTATATTTCCAAGACTAACATTTCAATCTCTTTGCCTCTCATAGCAGCAAATGGAGAAGTAGGAGTTCGAGGAAATGGGGACGAAGGAGGAAAATCCAAAACATGTGCAATAGTTTAAAAGCTTGGAAATACGCTTGCGTCTCAGGGAAACAGCAAACTGTTCATCTACAGTAAGAGCCAATCACAGCTTCATTGAATCACCAGTTCAAATTCAACGACCCTTCTGATAGTACTCTGGTGAATAAACCAGAACAAAAAAGTTATCCATTTGGAGAATCATGCCATCAATTATCTTGCATTTCCTTTCTCTCACTGACATCACAAAATAAATCCTACCCATCAGACATATTGGTCTTGGAAGCCGATTCATTGAAGTAAAATAATGGGTAATTGTTTTAGTGTTATGAAAATTAAAATTGAACATATTTAGAAATGATACATGATTGAATACTTCATGAATAGAAAAGTTACAAGTTGTGTAGATTCTGCCATCTATTGTACATATTAACTTAGCAAATTAACATTTATTGTTGCTATTATTTTGAATTACATTAAATGTAATTAACTTTATTTCCTTGTCTACATATACTTGGGGGGATTTTTCCAAATAAATTGCTGGAAGAATGCAATTTGAAAATCTTCACTGTTGTAATTGAACAAACCGTTTCATTGTCTGTGTAACTGACTACGGGTCTAATTTGTGATATTTGCAAATTGGATTCATTCCATTTCTTGCAATTTCCAGTTTACTAAATTACGAAACAGCGAATTTCAAACCACCAAACTCTGAATAAAATCCATTGAGAAAATCAGAGTGCCATTAAGTAGGCAGTTTGCTTGCTGGCCTTTTATCAAACCCTCATGATTCACAATTTGCCTGTTGCAAATTTTGGAAATAGCAAGTAGCAATTAATGGAACAAATCTGGTTTGCAAATATCATGAATGAGACTCCGATTAGACAAATAGCACGTTTAAGATGCATGTTAGTGTATCAATTGTAGTAAATAGTATTTCAAGCACTGTAATGTTTGTTTTATAGCTATTAGTAGCATTTTTTCTGTCTGTGTGTTAACTTTTGAAATGCCTGACTCCACTGTAGCATTTAAAGGGACTGTGCACTCTCAAGAGAACATCACACAAATAAATACACCACAGAATTAAGTATTTGACCAGTGACAGAATGTTAATGATTTTTCTTTTGCTTTTGCATCATTAACACACAATGATTAGATTGATCCCTTCTATTTAATGTTGTGAAATTAAGTAAAATATAAAATTATTGATAGTTTCAATATTTTTNAAAAATATTGCAAGGAATTTGTGATCTTGATTTAAGATGAGTAATAAGTCTACACATAACCCAAATCTTATCATTTTGCAATATTGCTATTTACCACTTTCAAATGCTTATCCATACAGAGTGAGGCAGGAGTCTATAATACAAATTGAGTTGTAATTGAAAACCTAAATATAACTGAGATATAACAACTGTGACAAAATGATATATTATATTCCAAAAATCTACGGAAAAATCAGTTGTAGCATATTACTGTATTTTTGTTTGGCAAGATTTTTGTAGTTTCTCTACAGACTTATCAATTGTTTGCTCCCAATTTAAAAAATACAGTATACTATGATATTACTAAATACCTTCCTCTATTTGTTTTAGTGAGAACTATTTTCTTGAAAGACATGATGGAACTATCATTTGTTTTGGTCTTTTCAATTGAACAATAAGAGATTTAAAATTATCAGAGAAATAAGAGCTCTCAAATTTTATCTTCTACTATCTACTTTCTATTTTTGTAAGTTTGTTTTAATAAATTGCACTGTGTTTCAATGAGTACAAAAATAAACATTCATTTTACAGTGCTGTCCCTGTTAAATCGCAAATAGGCTACATCTTACTTGCAATACTATGAGGTGCAGAAGTTGTACATTTTCGCAGGCTGAGTCACTACCATTTAGTTAAAGACAATATTAGATTCAAAGGAAATCTAAATAGAATCCATTGATTCAAAATGGAACTGATTTCACTCTGATTTTATGATGTACACAAATTATTTAGATCAGTGTACATAGTAAGAACCAAACTAGAGTTCACAGTTGAAAAAAATGTAATGTTTCAAGCAATAAGGATTAGAATATTTTCTTCCCTGAATATCGATTACGTGGAATGAAGTCTCAGCAAAGCAGTTGATTTTCATTGATTAACTTGTTTAAAAAAATCTTGATATCAGCATGGAGGATATAGGAATGCCAAATGAGATAAACAAATACTCCAGAGAGCACAATAATTTCTGTGCTGTTGGAGCATATTACCAGTATGCAATAGTTAAGAAATATTACAATTGAATATTGGCATTCTGGAATTTTTGCTCGATTATGTTTGGTGTTCAGCGCGTATGTACACAATACTTTCCCCAGTAGGTGGTGGAACTCCATAAGGTAATTTGTACATAGTTGTGAACGCCTTGGGATGTCCTCCTGACATGAAAGGCGCTTCACAAATGTAATTTTGTTGTTGCTGTTGAAAGAGGCTTGATGGACTGAATTAACATTTCTTGCACTATCCTTCCATGTGTTCTTACAACATTATTGTTACTGAAGCTCTGATGTATTTCTGTGGCTGTGGAAAATACAGAGCAATATAGCGTGGTAAAGCCGCTATGAGACACATATCCATTGGTATAAGGAGATTGCTTTGAATTGGATTGAGAATTTAACCAAGCTTTAAAGTTGGACAAATAAAGATTTAACCTTTAAATCCTCTGCTTACCTAAAGCAGACTTTGAATATATACCTGACTTTGAAAAGGACGACTGTTGCTATCTGTTCTTCAAGGACATTTGTGAAAGCATGATCTGTTGTATTCCTTCTCATGGGCATGTAGTGATAATGCACCATATACATTATACAGTCAAATTGAAACACAAAGACAGTATAAACGCTCCAGGACACTACCAAGTGTAAAGGGCACTATATAAATACAAGTTGTTATTGTAGTATCTGTTTTTCAGGCCCAGAAAGGTAGGAGTTGAATATCATAAATGAGAAAGAACCTTTTCAGTTAAAAAAATTTTGTATTTACAAGTCTGAAATATATATGAACAAGTTGGCAAAAGTGTTGTAAATCAGCCATGAAGATTGTTTGATAAAGCACTTGGGAGCTTTTCACAATAACAGATGTAAAAGATTGTTGGGAAGATTATGTAATATAAATTGCTACTGTATGTGTGTAAACCAAGAAAAGTGAAAGGAGCTCTTTAAATTATGACTGGACTTGAATGCTACTACAAATGTCTGTGAAATATATATACACAATAAAAAGAACTGTTCAATGTGCAGGTGTGTTTTGATGCAACATATAAACAGCAGGCTATACATGGTGATGGGTTTCCCCATGTGCCAGACATCCAGCCTGACCAAAACAAAATTACAAATCATTCTTTAGTATTTTCAGTTCCACAGAAACTATTAATTACATATCTAATTGGGATGATGATTTGTAATGAATATGTTCTTTGTCATAAATCTTCCAGATGGAATCACGAAGAATATCCAATCACAGAAGCCAGTTCTCGAATTCATTCAATTGAGTCACTCTATCCCATAGATGTCCACTCTTCTGCCCTGTAGACAGAGAAATAAATTTGATTAAACCAGCTTTCTGAAACAGATTTAGGATTGGTTGCAATTTTCTGGCCAATCTATACTAGTGAATGTTTAAAACACAGAATTCCCACAACATTTCAATTAATAACGAAATGTGGGAATGCAGTGTCAAGAATGATGTGCCTTCATGTTCTATCTTCTCCAATAAGATTACATTTTAAGAAGGGCCTAATGGATTAGCTTTACCATTCACTGCTAAGGAGATCAGAAATCTACTAGTTCATTCTTTTTCACAGTTCTCAAATGAAGCACATGATTACGGGGCTGCAATGTGTATATTATAACAGTGTGGTTAGGGAGGAAGACATTAGGCGTCCACAATATTCCAACCAGTTGGCTTACTTCAAAATGCTGGTCAACTTTTATGTGCTAAAAATGGCCATAAAGATGCAGTTTATTTGGAAAATCACATTATAAATGAAATTCTATTAGAATCAAAATTGTGGAGTCCTGTAGCTCAGTGGTTAGAGCACTCGCTTTGCAAGCGAGAGACCCGAGTTCAATTCCAGGCAGGGCGAAACCTTGGGCAAGTTTCCTTACTCCACACAGAGCCTGATAATAATCCCTCCAAAACCCAAAACAATAATAAAAAAATGGTCATTTTCAATCTACGACTGTTTGTGGGACATTGCTGTGCGCAATTGGCTGCCGCGTTCGCCCACAAATATACAGTCAATTCACTTTACAGTGTGTTCTGTGAAGCGCTTTGGGACGTCCTCTCGATGTAAAAAGCGCTATATCAAATGTAAGGATTATTTTATTATAAAATGGCAAAAAATAACTGTATTTACATTGGTTCTAAAGGGAAAAGAGTAGGAAGCCACATTTAATGCTATATACAGCAAGCTGACAGGTCACAGGGCTCAATGTTACTTTACAGGATTTCATTAATAAGCAATACATCCACCCAAACAGGCTTGATTCCATTTTGTGAAGTATGTTAAAACTATTTTTGCAATAAAAAGTTATGGTGTCTTTCTGAATAAACTTCAAAGTGATTAATGTGGGTTACCTTCTTCAAGGAGATCACAGAAACATGCCTTCAAAATATTCATCAAACGCGTCCTCTCTGCAGATTAAGAACAGGTTTTAGCATTGTTTAATAATAATAATAATAATAATAATCCTTGCATTTGATATAGCGCTTTTCACGTCAGGAGGACGTCCCAAAGCGCTTCACAGAACACACTGTAAAGTGAATTGACTGTATATTTGTGGGCGAACGCGGCAGCCAATTGCGCACAGCAATATCCCACAAACAGTCGTAGATTGAAAATGACCAATTTATTATTGTTTTTGGTTTTTGGAGGGATTATTATTAGGCGTGTGGAGTAAGGAAACTTGCCCAAGGTTTCGCCCTGCCTGGAATTGAACTCAGGTCTCTCGCTTGCAAAGCGAGTGCTCTAACCACTGAGCCACAGGACTCCATTTCATCTAAATTTCATCTAAAGGAACGTTCACCCATTGGACTAATTTAGAAGAGCAGCTTGATGCCGTAATGAGAAGACAGTAGGGTGGGTATTCTGGAAGAGTGAGATCAAATGAGCCAAAAGGCCTTCTTCATCTAAACATCTCTTGTGATCCTCTGAATACAAACAGTAAAACAGACCTGCTTTTTTCTTCGACATCCTGAACTGGTCCCTTCCAAAACTTTGCATCCGAGGAATCATCTTTATCCTCTTTGTCTTCTGATAATTCTATAATTTAAAAGTTATATTCAAACAAAGAAATAAAAGCAATCTGAACGGTTACATTTCAACAACATGTGGATTTCTGTTACTGTCACTTTGTCAGCCCAATAAAAACATTGACAAGAAGATTTGAATAATATGACATTCTCCCACAAAAACAGTTAACCAGACCCTACTTACCTTCCTAGACTTAGATATAAGCATTAGTCAAATTCACAATGATGCTCTCCCAAATGGTAAATGCACATTCTAACATGGTACTCAATGTCCTGAAATAAGCAATCTTATGCATCCTAAGTTCAATTTCTATCTACACAGGACAGAGTGCTGTAATAAGACACTATAAACGAATAAGACTGACAATAAACTGACACGTCAGCAAAAAAATACAGAAATGAATTCTTTATTGCACACAGTATACCTACTTTGGTCTGAATCACTATCAGATTTCTCTGTTCCACATGTGGAAGATTTACCTGTGTAAACAGAGAAAACATTCCACATCGATAAACCAAACAAAACATCAACTAAATACAACATGGCCCTGCATCTTGGCTTCTGGCGTTGAAACAAGAGATTTAATCTCAAAAGATATTCACACTCAAACTGTTGCAGAAATTGTTTTGCAGTGCTCTAAAATGGAACGTTTAAACCTCCCGGTGAACAGATCATATACATTGTATTGATATGTATAAACTAGAACTGTTCACCATTTCAATCTCACTGAGGACAATATAGGTGGGTGAACCAACTCTCTAGGGGACAATGAGAAAGAAAATTAAAAAAAACTCTTCTGGAATGTATTTATCTTCGTGGCCCCCAAGCCTGATGAAATGGAATGTGGTGAGCAAGACGTAAACCACAAAACAGACGCTCTCATTCACAAATCCGTGGAAAAACACCAGATGGCTGTCTGGATTACGTTCCACCAGCTGGTTGAACAAGGAAGTGGAATCGCTGCAAGAACAAATACTTTAGCAAAGAAAAAAAAGTCCAAATCATGAAACTATGGCATGGGATAAACAGATCCTCAGAGATGTTCTGGATGATGTATACAAATCAAACAAACTGGGGCATGAGAAGGAAACACAAGATTTTAATCTTTCAAGGCAAGCTGTTCAAATTTTAGGAGAATAAATAGGACGAGGAAATTATACCCTTGTAGTAAAATTCTCAATGGAGGAACAGAGAGACCTCGAAGTTCAAAGTTCATTAAAAAGTGGGATTGCAGGTAGAGAAGGCTGTTTAGGTACAAATAGGATGCTGAGTTTTATATACAGACCCTTTGAGTACAACAATTAGGAAATGTTGACAAATCTGTATAAAACAGAGGTTTGGTTGCAGCTGGAATATTGGATAAATCATCTGTTTGTTCATTATTGGGCTAATTTTGATTAGATAGTGGACTCTTCCTTTGTTGTCCTTCAAGTACTTTTAGGAAAAATTGTTAATTTCTATATCCAATATAGAACTTTGGGATGAAAAAAATCAATTCAATTTAATATAATATTTTAGGTTACCTACCTTTTTGTTTAGAACTATGCTTTTCTTTATCTGACACTCTCTTTGCCTTTTTTGGTGGTGCATCAAGGCTATGTTCCTTTTGTTTTTTTCTCTTTGTCGCTTTTACTTCTTTTCTCCTTTGCCAATTAATAACATAAATATAAGTACATATTTCTGCAAATTCAGTTTACATTTTATACAGTTGATTGAAGTACTTAATAACCCTCTCCATGAGACAAATTATACAGCATGTAATCCAAACTAGTACTGCAACTGTTTCGATATATACTCTGCGACTTTATACCAATAGGGTATTTTTCTGAGAAATAGAATGCAAAGTGATTGCAATACAATAAAAGGTTTAAATTTAATACAATAAAATGACGTTTAATATTGTGTTTAATTTAATATCGTAAAAATAAAATGTAATAAAATAAAATGCAAGGTTTATCAAACAGTTATACAGAATTCTAAATTTGTGACAACTCAGTTATCAATAAAATACCAAACTTATTGTGTATCCAGTCTACCTCTCTGCCATGTTCCCTCTGTATGTGTCTTCAAGTACTGCCTCAAAACTGTACTCTTCACCCATGCCTATAATCAACTCCCACTCCCACCTGTTCAATGTCCAATCCCATCATATTAATACATGGATATTAGTACACAATGGGTACAGCAAAAGTGCAGAGCTGGATTAGAGTAATTAGCTCCAGTACTTTAAGATAAAGCTATAGAAGAGTAAGGAATATTACCTGTGAAAATAGTTCAACATAGATGAACATTCTGGGCATACTCCTACAATAGAAATACAATTTTTAGTTAAAACTCAGTTAAAACTCAACATGAAGAAGAAAACTGTGTGATAATGCTATATTTTCACAACTGAAACAATATGAAGAAAAGCTTGTGTTACTATTGAAAGTATACAGACAATGCTGATCCTCATGATCTGCTGGTCCTCATGAACTCACGACACAACATTAGAGCCTGTTCTATACCTCAGCTGAACCCAAGTCAAGGCAGGTGAATTTAAGTTATCCCCGACTGTCAACTGTTGTAGGCCACAACTGACATGTGTTAAAATATTTTGGTACTTACCTGAAGACAAATAATTAATTATTAAGGATTGGACCTTACTGTCAAATGAGGCAATGTATGAGTCTTAAGCTATATAGCATATGACCAATTGATCAGGCAAATGAAAGTACAAATAAGGTACACTCTTCCTTTACAACTACAGATTGTCTAAGCTAGGATCAAGAGTGACAGATTTGCCTCCAGATCTCAAATGAGACTGATACACTTGGCATGTGCAGATGTAGTTACCACTGACAAAACTGCAAGATCAGACTCACTCAATTTCACAAGGGCATTTCTTTTTTCGCCATGTTCAATGTAACCAAAGTTAACCTCCCAGCTTTTTAATCCTTCTTTCACATCACAGTACTTATTTCCACAGCAAAATTGACCTGGAAATGGAAATAGGTAATTACTGACAAATTATAATTCATTCACATGCTACGTGGCATTAGACATTAAACTTAACTATATTTACATCAGATGTTAAAATGGATTGTACTTGTCCTCAGATACTTTAGGCCTCCAGTCTAAACCTCTCTAATGCTAATGCCATTGGCAAGGCAAATTAAATTGTAATTCACTTGGGTTTATCCCCAAATGATGCAAAAGTTTATTGGTCATATTAACCGCTCTCCCATATTACAAAAGAATAAGATCAATATTCAGTTTAGCCACTGTGTGAATTTCCTCATTCCAAAATCTATTCAAGAAATTTTAAATTAAGGACTACAGAACAATGTCAGATTAGTCATAAATTATTTAATTTCTTCTGTCACTCTTTTCTGGCTTCTCTGATGTTAAGATCAGAGTCAGAAGGCAATGATCAGAGTTCATGAAGGAATGTTAGACAGTTACTTCCCAAGATGTGAGGAGAAGCAAAAAGCCAATTGCCAAAAGTTCCATTCAACTATGATGGTCCAATCAAGTAAAGTAAAATCAGGCCAGCAGTGTAAACAATAATACCAAAATTACATTTGTATAGCACCTTTCACTTTGGGAGGACATCACAAGGCGCTGGACCATCAGTGTTTCGGACCTGAGCTGGGGGTCGGGATCGGGGAGGGTGGGATGGCAGGCGGAGGGAGGGAGTGTGATCGAAGGCATGGTCAAAGAGGAAGGTCTTGATGAAGTAGAGACAGTGTGAGTGGTAGAATCTGAACCAGTCAAGGACAGAACCATGAAGGTTGAGGAGGATAGAGTGGTCAATGGTAAGGCGCTTTGGGTCATCCTCCTGATGTGAAAGGCATTAAATAAATGTAAATTGTACTCTATTGTGTATGAGGATAAGTGGATTCTTTGAAATCAGGATAGAAAATAACAAGATTATTTTCCTGCAATTTTGATTCAATTTGTCTATCATTTCTCAAATGTCTCATGAAAATACATTTCATCAAAAGCAGTTTCTGTATTTAAGTTTAATTTCCTGTATGATTAAATATTTAAAACAACTTAGCTTCGGTGGAGACACATTTTGACCAGTGACTGTAAATTGAAGAAATTAACTTGAATCTTGCCTTTTGTAACTTTCTTTCAGTCCCCAAGTTTCTACCTTTACTTGGCTTTAAGCTCAGTCCCAGTGGTTTATTATCCTTCCGTTCTTTAAAGTAAACTAATCAATTTACCAAGCTCTGAATTGGAGTATTAGTCAAACATAATGTCAAAGCAATCACAGTGCAGATTAGAAGCTAAGGATTTCTGATAGCAGCTATATCAAGGATGTTCAGCTCATGGCTATATTAGGCATGGAACATACCTAAATTTAAAACATGGCCTATCTTAACTTGCTCCGCTTAAAATGATTGTTTGCGTACAATATACAGGCACTACATTTGATAGCAATTATCTGTGCACTTTGCAATGTTGTAACAATAATAATCCTTGCATTTGATATAATGCCTTACCACGTTTTCACAGAATATACTGTAAAGTGAATTGATTGTACATTCTATGGGCAAAACTCAGCAGCCAATTGCACACAGCAATGTTCCACAAACATTGGAATTGAGTGACCCATGATAATTTTTTTGAAGGAATTATTACCCACGGAAATGCTATCCGCTAATCGACTAACAACCGGGTTTCTACTTACTGCTAGATGAACAGAGGCGTGTGGAGTAAGCAAACTTGCCCAACATTTCACCCTACCGGGAATCGAACCCAGGTCTCTCACTTGCGAGTTGAGTGCTCTAACCACTGACTCTCCATGTAATGTTTAGAGCGTTATATCAGCTGCGAGAATTATTATTATGACAATCCTACTGGAACAGTAAACATTTTCAAGGAAAATATTCATTCATACAGTATACGTTTGCAGAATTTATACTCTACCATTGATCATATTTTTATAATTATTTGATGAGCAATATGTATTTGAATTGAATCCAGCTGTAGTTTCTTCCCACCCCCGATTCATATAATTTACATCCAGCTAGCTGGCTCGCTCATTTTCTCATTAGTTGGCTTCCATGCTAAAAAAAGGTCTACTTATAGGTCATCAGGTTGCCGTTGATGTCACATCCTGCATACTGTGTATGTGCAAGCAGTGAGATCAGTGATCAAAGCGATGTCGGCCATTTTCTTGCAAGGCAGAAAGACTTGAGGGACTGAGACTTTTTCCCGTTGGAACAAAGAGGGTTGAGGATGACCTGATTAGAGTTCCTTAAAATTATGAGAAGTTTTGACTGTCCTAAGACCTCAATTTTACAGTAGCCAAATGGTGAAGAGGATTTTCAAAAGTCAATTGAAAGGTTTTTAAAACAGGTTTGGAAACATTTTTAACAGTAAAAATTACATTACCTTTGCCTGAAATCACTTCTTTGTCTGTTCGCCATCGAAATCCAAACTGTCACAGGAGAAAATATCATTAGATTATTAAAAAATCTAAAACCTACCTACCTGACCAATAATACTGTATTATAATGATAAATGCAATTTATAACTTGGCAGAATGTTGCTCCTATTCAAGTATTCAAAGTGGCATCTTCTTAATAAAATTAGTTGTTTATATAAAGATATTTATTTGCAAGCATAACAGTCAGGTTCTTGCTGTTGGGAAATGAATGATGGTGTTAAAATATACATTATTTTGCATTAAAAATGTTGTTATAGTAGAATTGTTTGATGACCTTTTTATTTAAAAAAATGCTTATCTGAAGTTAGAGGGTTGGCATTCCCAACCAAAACATCATTTTTCATTACAGCAGTGCCATCCAGTGGGAACCCTGGGAACTAACTTTATTTAGAAAGCCACCTTTCTCACAAGGCATAGAAATGATTCAATCACTGATATTATAAACAAACACTATCAACTTTTATAAATCTCAATGCTGCTTTTGGTCATTACAGATGGCATACTATTTCAATAAGCTACTTTGCCTGTATGGTTTATACTCCCACTGCTAAATTACTAAAAAATATCATTTGAATTCAAACAACAAGATTACATTTGTAAAGTGCCTTTCACATTGCGAGGACGTCCCAAGGCGCTAGACAGAGTACGGCATTTCAGACCCAAGCTGGGGTCGGAAGGGGAGGGGAAGGGAGGTGGCCGTTGACATGGTCGAAGAGGAGGGTCTTGAGGCGGGACTTAAAGGAGGCTAAGGAGGGGCCGAGGCGGAGTGACTGGGGGATGGAATTCCAGAGGTTGGCGGCAGAGTGGCTGAAGGCTCTCCCGCCAATGATGGGGCAAAAAAAAACACCATTTTACATGAAATATTATCTATGTAGGTACAACATAGGTGAAATTGGATGGCCATCTGAACTGAGTTTCTATGAGTTCTAATAAAACTATAAACCATACATCTGAAGCAACTAAAAGTTAATTTTGTTCTCTTCCATAAAGTTAAACTTCTGTATTTGTTTCTCTAAATTACCATTTTCAAGCTGGGTACAAATAAAAGTCTAAAAATACATATCAATGATAGGTACAATGCAGTTGATAAGTAATCAATGCTCTGGTACATACCTTATTCTCTTTGTATCGGCTCAAATCAGCAATGCAATATTCCTTAAATAATTTGTCGTAGTATTTCTTTGCAAGTTTTTTCTCCCTATAAGTTGAAGGTTTTTAAAAGTCATTCTCTAAAGGATTTTTTGTTCAGTTGCTTATACAAAATAAACATTTAACATTACTGATCTAAATCAATTGTCTGCATATCACCTCTTATATTTCTCCTTCCAGACACCAAGCCGCCTAGATTTGATAATAGGTCTTAAGTCTCTGGGGGCAATGAGACAACTCTCTATCTTTAAATTTTTCCCCTCATTGTAAAGCAGTGATTGCCAACAAAATATTTTTCTTTATTGAATATTTCTTCATATATGGCCACACCATGGGTATCACGGCTGGGGAGCTACTGGATCTTTGGCGCATTCATGACTGAACTTGCCTTGAGTTCAAGATCCTCACCCTTGTCTTCAAATCCCTCCACTACTCCACACAGCCCTACCTCTCTGACCTCCTCTCTCCTCAAAACAGTACCCTTTGCCTTTGTTCCTCTGGGTCTGGCCTCCTTGTTGTCCCCCGAGTCCTCAGCTCCACCCTCGGCGGCCGTGCCTTCAGCCACTATGCCCCGAGGCTCTGGAACTCCCTTCCTCACTCCCTTCGCCTCGCCCCCTCTCTTCCTATTTTCCGGTCTCTGCTGAAGACCTTTCTTTTCGACCGGGCCTTTGGTCACCTTCCTCCCGCTCCCCCTGGCTCGGCCCCGGGATCCATTACTGTGAAGCGCTCTGAGACGTCGTCCGGCATAGAGGGCGCTATATAAATCAAAGTTATTATTGTTGTTGTGCAGGTGTTGGGCGAGGCACTTCTTGATGCTCCAAGAAGTCGATCGTGATCGACTGATTGGAGAACCCTGTTGTGAAGTGTTTTGACATGCTATTGTACATGAAAGGCACTTTACAAATCAAAGCTGTTGTTTTTCAACTATTCAATAAGCCATGTAAACAACTGCTAGATGATTATTACAAGCTTTCAAGGATGTGTTCTCAATTAATACAATCCTTGCACCTTTGGGATAGCGTCTTTAGATATATTCTTCTTGACAGAATATTTCAAAAATAGTTTTCACAACTGGAACATCTTATGCAGAAACTAAAATATTAAATTAGGTTAAAGAGATTAAAAGTAAATGACCATTCTTAATTGAATACAGTTTTGGAAAAATGTGTTTACCAAGTCAAATCATCTTCATCACCTTCTGTCCATAAGAACCTATGGTTTTCCTTTATCACATCCAAGTCGGTTTTATCATTAGTTCTGCCAACAAAAATATTGTGCAATTCAGTATATTCAGAACATGAATGTTTGCTGAAAATAAAATAAAATGATGCTACTAGGTGAAAATTAACACTAATATATAAGAACAAGACAGTTTTCAACTAGACTATAAAACTGATTTACATATATTGTGGCACTACTGAAATTGATTCACCCCTGAAGTGTTTTAAGGATGAAGATTGAAATGTACCCTCCCATCAACAAAGTTTCTTCTATTTTCATCATTCGGATAGCAAATTCAACATGGAACATTTTACTAGTAAATATAAAGCACTGAAAATGCATTATTTCAACATTTGATTCTTTACCTTGATCTCTTCAAGTCTTCTTTTGAGCCACCATAATACAGCAGATAATCGTTGATAAACTTCTTGTGTCTTGCATACTTAAAATGTTAAGAAACTATCACAATAAATAGTTCAGATAATAACCCTTACATTTAGCATAATATCTTTTACGTTAAGAGGATGTCTCAAAGTGCTTCAGATATACTGTAAAAGGTCACTCACTGTTTTTTGACATCAAAATAAATTCAGGATCACTTTTGTCATTAGAATAAAATGTGTATGAGAAATTGAGGGGATTTTATTGAAGGTAATATCTCCAATAGGTGAGGTTTGCCATTCTAAAAAAAACTAGACATTACATTATATTGTACTGTATGAATGGTATCTATCCAAACCCAATTTGGATGAAAACTCTATTTCACTGAGCATTTCTAGTTAAATTAATTGCCCAGAATAATTCAGTAAATTAGCAAGAGAGGATTAATAAATCAGTTACACTACACATTCAAAACCGCTAGAATAATTACAATTTTTAAAAAATACACATTTAGGAATTAATCAGCATTGTATTCAGACTTGTTTTCTCAGATTTCAAGGATACAGCATCCATGGCAATAAGATGGAACCGTTGGTGTCTTGCTTCTTCCCTGTTCAACGAAAATACAATGTACTCATTACTGAATGAATAAACCTTGTAAATTAAATGGACATTAAAATGTAAGTTTGTCAGGCATTTGCTACCACTACAATAGATCAGTAAATATCAAGTTTGAAAAAGATACATTTACCTGTCCCATTCTTGAGCTGCAATTCGCTTGTGAGCCACGTGGACATGCTTTTCCTTTTGAAATGGCTTTTTAAGAAGTGCAGCATCTTTACTGTAATCCAAACATTAAATACAATAAACTACTTAAAGTTCTGCAATGAATAGTGGCAGAGAACAAGTAGAAACGAACCAAAGAAATTACAGATAACCTTCATAGGATTGAACTATGTTACAGATTATCTCTATTAAATTTAGAAGAGAAATTCAGACTTTGATAAAATTAACTCCTCATAATAACTTATTTGTTTATCCTTACGAAATCATATTGTTTGCAGCAGTTTTTTTGACACATTAGGTGCCAAGGCAACAAAAATAAGCATTATGTTTGTGAAGCAAAGATCATATGAATCTGACTAATACAAATCAATTTGAATCTAACATATACTGTACTTCACCACAGTGTTAATAGATGATTAATAGATGTATCCTCTTTGGGCGAGAGGTAGCAGTCCCTGAAGCTGAAGTGGCTCCAAGGTGACATGTTCGGCAACAGAATGTCAGAAGGAAAGATTGCCATACAGTGCATTCAGTAGCAATCTATGTGGTTTTAGCTGTTCAAACTCCAGCAGTTCCCCAACACAAACTCTGGGGTCCCCAAGCCTTGGCTTTTGCCAACCTGCACCTAATGCTCTCCAGAATTAGATAAGTAGATGCATCCCTATAGGGAGAGTGAGCATTCCATTCTGTTAAATATTTCAATGTATTGGTCAGATGCATGGAACTCTGTTTGGTCTGAATATTCTTAAGCATGGTAATGGGTTTCTGCATGGATCAGACAGCGGGTTGATCAAAAAAAATTGTGGGACATGTAGGGTTTGATGCCTGGGATGTATCTTTTATCTGACTTGCCTTGTAAAATGCCACAATAAATGTTAACATCAAAATAGCAACTACTCCAACATTTTACACTGTGGTACCTTTTAGATTTAGAATCAGACGTCTCTCCTTCATTTTCATCCTCGCTGAATTCAGAATCATAGCCTCCAAGACCATGCTCCTGGTTTAAAAAAAGGAAGAAGTAATATTTCACCTACAAAATACGCAGTCAATTCACTTTACAGTATATTCTGTGAAGTGTTTTGAGATGTTCTGAAGACACGATAAGAAGCTATATCAAATGCAAGGATTATTATTATTATATGTTCAACAGAGAAAGATGCATTAGAGAATAGCTTATTTTCATGTATCTCATTTCTTTACAAATGTAATTTTGTTGTTGTTGTCCCCTTCCCCTCCCTTCTCCCTGCCTGATCCCAGCTCGGGTTTGAAATGCTGTACACCGTCCAGCGCTTTGGGACGTCCTCCCGACCTGAAAAGTGCTATTCAAATGTAATCTTGTTGTTGTTGTAGGGTTCAAAGTTGTGGATGTAATTGGCAATATTACATCTCATCAGGATATTCCTCTAAAAACACAGCCACAGTTGGAGAAATGTACGGGGGCTGTGCAAGAGGCTGGAGCCAGCTGGACGAAGGGAGCGTGTGATTAGTGGGGTACCAAGGCATGAAGTGATTTGCATGCGAGTGCGAGGATTTTGAAATCGCTCCTTTCTGCAAGAGGTTTTGTGCACGTAGGATATGGTTGGCAGATTTTTTGAATTACTGTAATTGGATTTTATGAACGGTGGCGTTGGGGAGACCAGCAAGGAGGGTATTGGGAGTATTCGAGGCAGGAGGTGAAAAAATGCATTAATAAGGGATTCGGCTATAATATGTGCGAGGTACAACAACAACAAGATTCCATTTATAAAGCGCCTTTCACGTCAGGAGGACGTCCCAAGGCGCTGCACAGTTGGGTCATGACCCGAGCAGGGGGGAAATGGTCAGGGTGAGGGGAAGGAAGGGAGGGAGCGAGGAGGGGGAAATGGTCAGGGTGAGGGGAGGGAAGGGAGGGAGCGAGGAGGGGGTAGAGAGTCGAGAGGGGAGCTGAAGGCACGGTCAAAGAGAAAGATTTTGAGACCGGCCTTGAAGGAGGAAAGGGAGGAAGCAAGGCGAAGGCACTGGGGGATGGAGTTCCAGAGCCTGGGGGCTGAGAGGCTGAAGGCCCGACCACCGATGGAAGGGCGGTTGGGGCGGGGGATGTGGAGCAGACCGGAGCCAGAGGAACGGAGGGTACGGGCAGGTAGGTAGGGGGATAGTAGGTCGGAGAGGTAGGAGGGAGCAAGGCCGTGAATGGCCTTGTAGGTGAGGATGAGGATCTTGAAATCAATCCTCTGGGGGATGGGGAGCCAGTGGAGGCGAGCGAGGGTGGGAGTGATGTGGTCCCGAAGCCTGGTGCGGGACAGTACACGAGCTGCAGAGTTCTGAATGACCTGCAGCTTGTGGAGGGAGGTGGCGGGAAGGACGGCGAGGAGAGAGTTCCCGTAGTCCAGCCTTGAGGTGACAAAGGCGTGGACCAGGGTTTCAGCAGCGTGAGGGGTGAGGTAATGCCGTAGTCTGGCGATGTTCCGGAGGTGATGGAAGGCGGTGCCAGTTGTGGTGCGGATGTGAGGGAGAAAGGACAGCTCAGGTCGGAGGCCGGCAATGTGGCGGTCAGGGCCTGAATGTGGGGAAGGAGGAACGATGGAGGATTAAACCCGACACCCGACTCGGCCGCGCACAGGTTCAGCCAGTCCGAGAGACAGGCCGAGGAGCTTCGGGGAAATCAAGAGCCGCGGGCGAGGAGGAGACACTGACGCGAGCCAACGGTTTCTGTCCAGTCAACTTTCGGCTGCGGAAAGTTAGCGCTCGTCCACCGTAACAGGAGTCGGCCGTTCAGCCCCTCGAGACTGGTCCGCCATTTTATGAGATCGTGGCTGATCCGTACCTCAAGTCCAGTTGCCCCGTAACCCTTAATGCCCTGTGACCCAACACGTCACCGACTACCCGCGGTGTCTCGAAGGCCCTGAGGTCTGACAAGCGAGGGGAGGGCACACGGCTATTATCTTATGGGCGTTAGTTTCCCCCCTTCCGCCCTCTTCTCGTTAAGCGAAGGACGAGTTTCGCCGCCTCCGCGAACGGTACCTTGAGCAGCTCGAGCCTCGCGCAGCCGCTCATGTTGACGTCCGGGCGGGCGGGCGGGCGGGCGACCCGGGATCGAGCGCGCAGGCGCACCGGGCGAATGGCGCTGCGCTGCGGCGTCATGAGGCTGCGCTGCGACGTCATGAGACTGCGACAGCGGTTCTTCTCCCCCCCCGTCGCCCGCGCGTGTCATTGAATTAGATTGAAATGCGTCTTAAATCGACTTCAACCTTTTTTTAATATATATATATAAAAACAATCTAAATCTTGTTGTAGAATGTAGTTGGGAGATGAGGGGGGGGGGGCGCCGATGTTATCCCATCCTCGTGACAGCGCTGATCCCACGGCCGCCCCCGCACGAGCCGGAATAAGGCCGTTTCTCTCCCAAACGCCGGGCGGCGGTTGCGGCGTCCGGTTTTGCGGCGGGGAAACTCGCCAGTGACTTGCTCCCGAGTCTGGGCAAGTCAGGGCCCGAGAACAAGAGGTTTGGCGGTTGGCTCAAGCTCCGGGCGCAGTCCAGGCGAGACGCCAGGAGTGCAACTCGAGAGGTCGTTTTGTGTTGGCATCTGGTTCAGATGTTTTGTGTTGGCATCTGGTTCAGATGTTTTGTGTTGGCATCTGGTTCAGATGTTTTGTGTTGGCATCTGGTTCAGATGTTTTGTGTCTGATGCCGCTCTGGTTCCAACCGAATCATTGTTCAACCCCCTGATTTCATGACATAAATGTGGAGGATCAGGAGACCCCGATGTCGGTCTCGGTCACACCGCGTAGAACACATTTGTTTTGCTGTATTGAAATGGCCTTCCCTGCGGGGAGGGCGCTACATCCAAGTTGTTGTTATAAGAGTGCGAGCTGTTGTGGTGTGTTGTAGTCTCGCCTGGTGAACGGCCGTTTGGTCGTTGAGTTGTCAAGAGATTACATCAAGGGAATCCAAATTGTGGACTATGGTTTGAAAGGAAGCTCTGACGGTATTTTCCCTGACCTGGTTATATTCCTGGTACTCATCCAAATAGCCCGTCCAACCTTTGTAAGATCAATAACTAGGCGATGGATCTCATCTGAATTTAATTTGAATCCCTGGTTTGGTGTATTTCTTTCCCGGTTAAACAACAATATTTGCTTTATCAGTACACAACTAAATGAATGTCAGTTGCTTAAAGTAGTTTGTTTTTAATGTGAATCTGGAGTGAGTAATTCAATCTATCATTGATTCTTTTTGCATATAACTAGGAAAGTAATAAGCACAAAAGGCAATTTGATATAGCGCCTGATCATGTTGCTGTGATGTCTCAAAGTGCTTCACAAAATATTTTGCGAAATGGATTAACTGTATTTTGTAGACATAACCAGGAGTTGTGGGTTTAAAAATGCAACAATCTTATTAAATTGATAAAGTGTAGGGCATTGTGCATTACCGACATGTTTATGTTATTGCTCTTATGATCTAATCGGGAAAACTCTGCTGCATCACTCCTGTAATGAAATAAAGAACAGAAATACATTCCTCAAGAAATAAAACTTATAATTAATCACATTTATAATCATTTTTAAAATTTAGTAAAGGTTTTTTTTTGCATTTGAAGATCAGCATTCTTTTTTTAAGGGACTCATTGCACAGTTATCCTCCCTGCCCTCCACCCCTCCTGATCACAATCCCCAGCTCAGGTCCAAATCCCTGACTGTCTATCGCCTTGGGACGTCTTCCCAATGTGAAAGGCAGTATACAAATGTAATTTGTTTTTATATGAACAGCTGTGTAAACCAAGAAAGCAGTCTACAACAAATATTAATCCCATGACTATACTGATTTGCAAATGTTCATAAATCATTAAGATTTCTGAGCTGAATTGTTTTTATTAAAACACGAGATTTTTTATATATTAATTCTTAATTGTAGGAAATTATAACTTTTGTAATTCCGTGGAATTGCAGATCTTGCCATGGATTTACATCACACCATTTTGTTGATGTTTAATATTTTTCTAAAGTAAGATGACTGCTGGAGAATAGCAGCTTTTTATTATTTATAATACTCTTTCAATTCTTATATCATATTGTCATCTCCTTTGTTTCTCTGGACCCATATTCTGGACACCATAATTACAATTCTGAAGTTTTTTTTGGAATTAAAATGTTCAGCATCTCCATAAAAACACTAATTGCACCATATTAAATGCTTATGAAGTTTACTCTTTAAATCCTGTACATTCTAAAGAAGTTGAATGGCTTAATTAGCTTAAAGATGATTTTTGTTTCGTTAACATGAGTAGATAGATGATCATTTACAAGCTACCTACCTTTTCGGCACCATTACATTTGCTTGAATGCTTTACTAATTAAAATCGTTTAAGATTTCTGCATTGGCAATAAATTTGTGTCTTATAAAACTCCCAAGTGAACATCAGGTATTTGTGTCATGTCAAGGGTAAAGCATAATTAGGAGATGGGTTGATGCACTTCATTTGTTGTCAAATCAGCTAGAGCTGTCTATGTGCTTTCTTAAAACTCAATGGTGTTCTGTACCATCAAGTATGTAGATATTAGTACTATTTACTGCTGAGTTGAAATCCTATGGCATCTCATTCTCTACCCGTGGTTGCTCGCTGAAGCTTAAAATGACAAATATTGATATGGACCATTGTAGTAATCTCCCACTATCATTGCTGTGAAAAAACAAGCTGGTAATGAAAAGCAGACAATTGTTATGTATGAAGAGCAATCTGTATAAATTAATCTCTTTGAAACTCTTAATTTGTTTTGGAAATGGTAGTAGGCACTTGGGGACTGTTTATTGCATTCCAATGCTTTAACAATATTTTTCACTTGTCATAATGCATGAGGATAATAGCCATGGCATCACAAAGCTGACTGACTGCGTGTAAGTGCATTTGTATCAAATAAGGCATCCTACTGTAATTTTTAATTGATATATGATTGCACAATAAAATATTTTTATTTTTTTCCCAATCTGTCATTGTGTTCTTTAGTAAGAATTTCTAGGAGTGAAAAATAGTTTTGATTTTCAATATATCATGGCATAGGTGCCGAATGCATGATAGAGGGTAAAAGAGAAAATACAGCACCTTTTTTTCAATTCTTCAATTGACCATATGCATAACATAAAAGCACCGTGCAAGGAGCTGCTTGAGTTTTCTGACAGCAAGACTGCAGAAGCCGCCTCTCCCTGTCACCCTAACTACAACAATAACTTTAATTTATAACACCCTTCCCACGGGGTGGTGTCTTGCAGCGCTTAAATAGCCAGTTAAGATTGCTTAAGAAACAATCTCTGATTGGCTGGATGCCTAGGACTTATTTAACCCTGCTTATGTAATTTTATGACATTCACACAATTTACCAATGCACAACATTTGATACCAAAATCAAATTCTAAATATTATTTAGAATATGACCACACTGTCTTCATGGTCACATCCTAGGTGAACAATAAACCTTTGTGAATCTAGAAATGCAAGCACTTTTTATACTCTACTACGTTTGAATGTTAGATATTATGGCATGGATTGCAGATTGTTTACAAAAGGAAATACTGAATTTTATTTACAGCCAATTATATCAAAAATGAATTGTACAGTTACATTTAGATGAATGTTCCCTGCAACAACAAAGTGTAGATTACTGTTGTTTCTTTTCTGTTCACTGGAGAGCTGGGCTGAGAATAATCTAACTTACTAGAAAGATCCAACCTGAATCGTAATTAAATGAGCAGGAAGCAATAATATACTTAAGAAGGTTGATTAGTAAATGTATCAGGATAAGCAGAAATAATACAATAACCAGATTTGCTTATAACAAGTGTGGTGGGTGACTTTTCAGACACTTTGGTTCTGCTTTCTGAAATTCTCTCTTTAAATCCTTCTGCCTCTTGAACCTTTCTTCATTGCTTTCAAAGCATTTTAAAAACCTTATCCTTTTTCTAACTATCCTGTGTTTTTATTTAATCTATGACAATCCTGGGAATGCATCTCTTGAACTACTATATTGCCACATCTTCTTTTCCAATTATGAGTGAGTCATATTCATGCACAATGTGAGTACATACTGTCTTTATAGGAGGAGCCCCAGTTTGCAGTAATATTTTCCATTATCTCATTCCCTATACTTCAGCAACACTGAAATCCCTCCCTAGAAAAACACATGAATATATGCACTTCCAAATGAAGGAAGAAAGCCTATATTGTTGATTCTCAATGATTTTGCAATCATTTCAGACATAATTGCCAGAGGGCTTTAACGTTTATTTTAGGGATATTAGAATTTTTGATTCAATGTTTTTCTGCCACAAAAATTTATTATTTGCTGTGTAAGGTCAAATGGGGCTCTTTGCTTTTAGGTTTCGTAGAAGATCATTTGTAACTTATAACTGTTTCAGTTCCATATTTTTGTTGTTTTTCATATCATTCTGTAAAGGTCTGTCAATATATTGTGTTTTTGGAGATCTTTGCTTGAGATTTCAGATAAGTTAAGAGTATATATTTTGAAAAGCGGTACATTAATCCCTATCCTGTAGATTCAGAGGGTGTAGAAAGGACAATAAATTGAAGAATAGAAGACAGTTTTTTTACAAGAGATTATTTAATTATTTTGCAAAACTGTCAACAAAAATGTAAGCTGTAGAATAGTTATTTTGTCCTGAGTGTCAAATGTTTTATTAGGTGGGATCATGTATAATCTTAATTTATATTTTGTAGGTAGATTCAGATCGACTCATTGATCAGTACTACCAGCTTGTTTAAAGACATGAACATAACATTCAATTTTAACTTTATCACATCAATGCAAGGATATTTTTCTACATTGAGATTGTTTTGCAGTCTTAAACCTATGGTTCTGTAAATTATCAATAATTTGAAATGTGCATTTGTTCCTCCCCTAAAGACAGATTTGTGAACTCACTGTTCCTTATCATTGAACGTAAATGTGAATATAGTTTGCTGGAAAACCATCACAATGAATTACTGAATACTTTTAATATAAATTTATTTTATTTATTGTGGAGATGAGAAAAGGAACATTGTTTTTTTTTCTTTTGGATGACATGATAAGGCACTATATCAAATGCAAGGCTTATTATTATTATTATCTTACAGCAAGTGCAGTCAGCTTAGATCATTTATTCTTCCTTTATATACGCGGAGTTCTGAACCCAAACTGATTTTTCTTTACTGTGATCCATTCCAGATTTTCCTACTGACATAAAAGTGGGGGTGGTGGTGGCGAACTTGAATGTGTGATCAGTGGGAAGTACTACTGAAGTTCCATAAAATACAGAAAAAAAGCTTTGGCACAAAATAAGAAAAGGGATTTCAACAAGAAGTGCTTCTGCTCTGGGATATTCTTCACAGTTGTGCAGTACGCGGATTCAGTCATGGAAAATACCACTAAATGTACAAAAAGATTCACTCTTGTAGTTTGGATATTGACTCTGCTCTTTTCAACTGAGGCAGCAAAACATAAATCAGCAAGATGTCCCGAAAAATGTATTTGTACTGAGGAACACGCCCAGTGTGTAGATAGTAAATTCATTCCTCAACACTTTCCTCGAGATATAGTTAAGCTGTAAGTATTGTACTATCAGGATTGTATCAGTTTTCTTGAAATCAAAGTAATTGTGATGTGAAAAGCTTTACTGTATGGATCACATAATTGCAGTCACTACTTTTTGTTTGAGCAGATATACTGATCTAAACTGCTTTCATTTGAACCAATATTCTGCTGGTAGCGAATTACAACAGTCAATCCTCTGTATAATTCGGGTTGTTTTTGAACATTTGTTTTTAATGAAAATGAAAATCATTTTATTGAAACTATGTTGCGTACAATTGTTTATTTGTGCTTGACCAGTAAATACAGATTGAGAACTGTGGTTGCCAACTACTGTAACTCCTAGTTTCTTTTGTTTTCAGGTCATTCATGAAGTCTGGTTTCAGTACAATTCCAGAAGGCAGCTTTCCAAATATGAAGATACTCCAGCTTCTGTGAGATTGATTGTTTTTCCATTGTTTTGTGTGTAGTGGAAAAGATTTATCTTTCTGACTAGGAATAGTAATTATGTGGTTACATTTGTATTATTGGGGCTTCAATCCAAGAAGCTGGTCTCCTGAGTAGCAACAATATTGCAACAAGAACTGTAAATTATAATACAATCTGTAAAGTCTCAGTAGTTATCAAATGTCTACTGTATCATACAGAGGTTTCAAACAATTACCCAACTTCCCATAGCTCCTCACGCAGCAAGTAGTTCTGTGATGATAGCTGATTTAGCTCATATACTGAATATTTAAGTTTCTCTCATTAAAGTATGAAATGGAAGAATTTTGTAATACTTACAAGAGCTCAAGATTGAAAATAATATTTGCATCTAGTCTGATATTTCAGCAATCTTGATACAAATTAACTTACTTAAGTTTGCTTTAAGCAACCATAATTATTCTTTTCAGAATTTCTATGAAGTATAAACTGCTTGAATCACACCAAGGTAAATGATCAGAATTAAATAGAATTGATTTAATCATTTGCCCATTTTTTAAACAGCTTGTTTGACTCCAATAGTTTTGCTGTGATTGCCAATGATGCATTCCGTGGACTTTCTGACCTGAAATATCTGTAAGTAGCTTTCAAGTTAAGGCCTTACTTAACAGAATGAAACTAGCACATCCTTTATTGGCATGATTGTATATAATAATACTATGCAATGTTCTGGTTACCATTTTCCAGGTTTATTGAGAACAATGAAATACAGTCTATTTCAAGACACGCATTTCGAGGCCTGACGTCTCTTGCTTATCTGTAAGTACGGTACGCTTATTCAAAATGTAAATCTGTATCAGAATAACTTGAGTTTTAACATTTAAAATGAAAGGATTATAACAATTAAATAAGGATAAAAGTATGTTTATATCAATTTTTGATGTTGAATAGTAAACAAAAAAAGCTATTTTCTCCTGAATGTCATTTTAAGAAAGGAATTGTCCGATTCTTTTTCAGTGTCAGGTGTGTGTACGTCAGTTTTGGGGAATCTGCATGGAATTGTGAATCCCGTGTGGCGCAACCTAGAAATTGCACATGGGATTACAATCAAATGTGCATGGTCACTACAGTATGCTAAAATGAAAGTGCAAAAGTTAAGAATGGCATTTGGAAGCTATACATAATTCCAAAATTGAAAACCAGTTAACCTTTGCATCTGCATTTTAAATACTTTATATTGGCAAACTATGCTTGTACTCAACTGGAGATCAAGGTTTGATGATAGTAGAGATTGTGAGATAACAACATTCACTACCACAGATTTTTAAGACATTAATTAATCAATCATTAACAGCAATAGTCCAAGTGTATGTGTTATTAGCTGAATATGTTTCCTGCATTTCTATACCCAGGACCAATGAGAGGGTCAATAAAACACAAATAATACCTTCCTTCACTCGTGCCTGCTGCTCCATTAAACTGAAGATGTCCTTGAACATTCCCTTTCATAGTGCAATACTTGTAGTAATAATAATAATAATCCTTGCATTTGATATGGTGCTTTTCACGTCTTATCGACGTCTCAAAGTGCTTCACAGAATATGCTGTAAAGTGAATTGACCATATATTTGTGGGTTGAAACGTGGCAGCCAATTGTGCACGGCAGTGTCCCACAAACAGTCATGGATTGAAAATGACCAATTTATTANTTTTTTGTTTTGGAGGGATTATTATTAGGTGTGTGGAGTAAGGAAACTTGCCCAAGGTTTCGCCCTGCCTGGAATTGAACCCAGGTGTCTTGCTTGCAAGGCGAGTGCTCTAACCACCGAGCTGTCTTAGCTGTGCGTTTTTTGACCTAGCACAGGAAATGTTGCTCAGGGTAGCAGTTTAAAATGAAGCAGTATTTGTTTATGTTGCTTTGCACTGTTTTGTTTCCAACAGGAGTCTGGCAAACAATAGCCTTCAAACACTTCCTAAAGACTTGTTCAAAGGCCTTGAATCATTGACAAATATGTAAGACATATTTATATCAATTATTATTTCATACCTAATGTTATTATTTATATCTAATATTCCTGAAGATCTAAATATGTTATGTTTACATTTTACAAAAAATATCATGCAGCGTTTCTTTGTCCGGAGATAAATAATCTTATTTGTATTGATATCCATAGCTATAACCTTTGAATTATTCCAATTATTAATTCTAACTTTTTCCAATTTTACCTGCCATTTAAAAACAATTGTCAGTTACTATTCATTAGTTCACCACACTACCTCATCAATATTTGATGATCCATTCACTACAACCGTTCCAAACAAATAAGTTTTTGCATTTTGATATTTTGCAAACCATAAGTTTAAATACAGAAATATTAATATATAATACTGTAATGGTAGTATTTCACCCATAACCCAAGTAACCAATGAAAAATGTATTTTTTAATATAGAGATCTTAGAAACAATTTCTTCCACTGTGATTGCAAACTGAAATGGCTGGTGGAATGGTTGGGTAGCACCAATGCAACAGTTGATGAGATCTTTTGTGAAAGTCCGATCAAGGGATCTAAGATAAGTAGCCTCTCACTGAAAGAATTTGACTGCATAACTACAGGTGATTCAGTAGGAGTTATAGAGATATTTGTCTGAGGAGCAGGGTTAGCATATTACAAATTGGGTTAACTTGTTTATAGTTGTCTTTCACCTCTGGGACTTGTGTTTGATTGATTGGATGCAAGTCTTTACTTACTGGTTTTTGTGCGTCCCTATAATTTGCATTTGGCAGATTTTAACCCCAGGGCATTCTAATTACCTCTTGCAGGTTTATAAAAATAATAATAATCCTTGCATTTGCAATAGTGTGATTAACGTTGGGATTACATCTCAAAGTGCTTCACAGGAATTACTATTAAGTGACTGAATATTTTAAACATATGGTCACTAAATAACAATTTATTCAGTCCCATTTATCTTTTCCTCATACCTCTCTCTGACTCAGTTGGCAGCATTCTCACCTCTGGGTTAGAAAGTTGTAAATTCAAGGCCACAATCTAGGTTGACACTCCAATGCAGTACAAGAGAGTGCTACACTGTCAAAGCTGCCATCCTTCAGATAAGATGTTAAACTGAGGACTAATCTGCATATTTATGTGGTCTTTAAAGATCTCACTACCTGTAGACTTTAAAGTTCTCTTGACACTATTTTAAAAGAGAAATTATTTCTCCAGTAATCTGCCCATCCTCCAAATACAATTATATATTCACTCCACGGCATTTTGTGGTAAACAAATTACCTGCTGTTTTCTTGTCAAAATGCACATTCATTACACATGACAGAAATTCTCTATTTAACATTGAATAGCCCTGTTCAACTGGTCCACATCTCACTTAAGTGCTATAATCTATCTCCTGGCCATATGATGTGGCATCATAATCAGATTTACAATAGTACAATTACGGTGCTAAGAATAGTATATGAACAGTGTGAAGAGTAGGGGCCCCAGGCCAAACTGTAGGTAACTCCCTGGCTCTTGCTTCACCTTAATAGACTTGTTAAAGGACCTGAATCTGAGGGTACCTATTTGTCCAATAATTTATTTTAAAATGAAGTACTGTACTTGTTTAGGTGAATAAAACTCATGTTGGAAGTCTGTGGCACAGAGATCCAGACAAATCTCAGCCCGTGATTGAGTTAACCTCATCAATAGAATGTCAGATTTAAATTTGGATCCTCAAATTAAGAATCTGATACAAGAGCATCCAGACATCTTTGTAGGGCCTTTGTAAATTTTTCATTAGTATTTTGTTTTGCCTCAAGCCTAGAAATGAGTTATTGCTTTGTTGTGATAGTAGAACTGTAATTCATCACACTTACTGTATCTCGCGGTGAACAACACAAGGCAGTGCAGAATGAGAGCTTTACAATGATACCCACTAGAAAGTTAGCTAGAGTTTCCTAGTGCTTGCTGTGTTAGAGTATCTGTTTACCTGGAATGCACTAACTTATTTAATGATGTTTAAAATAGTAAATGAACAATTTAATCATGTTAACTGTTATTTTCTCTTTTCATAGGTTTCACTATTCACCAGACTCTGCCATTTAAATCCATTTCAATAGAAAGCTTCAATTACATGAATGATATTTATGTAGCGATTGCTCAACCTTCCACTGGGAACTGCCAAATTTTGGAATGGAATCACGTGGAACTGTTTTTCAGGAATTTTGAAAGTATAGCTGGTAAGAACAGCTGTCTCATTTAGCATGAAAAGTTCATTTCTTTGTATATTGCTGTGTGGCTTTTATTATTACTATTATTGTCTGACTTTTGCTTCTTTCTATAGGCACTTCGACTGTATTCTGCAAACCGCTGGTCGTTGATAGTCATCTTTTCATTGTCGTTGCACAACTCTTTGGTGGCTCTCACATATACAAATGGGAAACAGCTGCCAACAAGTTCATTAAAATCCAGGATATAGAGATTATGAAAATCAGAAAACCTAACGACATTGAATCATTTAAAATAGAAAGTGAATGGTACTTTGTTATTGCTGATAGTTCAAAAGCTGGTAAAACCACTGTATATAAATGGAATGGAAATGGATTTTATTCCCATCATTCATTACATGAATGGTACAGGGATATAGATGTGGAATATCTTGAAATAGCTAACAAACCACATTTGATCTTGTCAAGTAGTTCTCAGCGTCCTGTTATCTATCAGTGGAACAAAGAGCAGAAACAGTTCACTAGGCGCATTGATATTCCTGAGACAGAAGATGTATATGCAGTCAAGCATTTTAAAATCCAAAATGATTTGTACATTTGCTTAACAACATTCATTGGGGACTCCAAGGTAATGAAATGGAAAGACTCCAGGTTTGTTGAAATACAGACATTACCATCACGAGGATCAATGGTATTGCAGCCTCTTACAATAAACAAATGGCATTATGCCATTCTTGGAAATAATTACTTTTTTACTCAGATATATCGATGGGATACAGAAGAAGAAAAATTTGTCAAATTCAAACAAATAAATGTTCAGGCTCCAAGAGCATTCACTCGCGTATCGGCAGGTAATCGTGATTTTTTATTTGCCTCAAGTTTTACAGGAAATACTCTATTATATGAACATGTTATAATTGACACAAGTAAAATATAAAAAGGCCCCATAGATATATTTTCCTGTCAATAAAATACTTCTTGAAACCGTGATAAATAGGTAAATATAAGTAGACATGACAACAGTTAGCACTTTTTTTGTTTAACATTGCTTGAAAAGGCATAATCGGTGTCTTATCGCCTCTACGTATCCTAATATTTCATTTACAATATTAACAAGGAAATGCCTCACTCAAATTCCTCCTTGGAATCGTGGATCTTGTTTAAGGGATTATCTTGCTAAGGTGTAATCAGATTTAATACAATCGTATAAGTTGCTTTAATTCTTGTAAGGTGCCTTTGCAAGGACTGAGGAGTAATTTCTGGGTGGCCATAAATTTGCCACTGAACCAACAGTTTTGCTTTCATGTTGTTCATTTTAAAAAAAAACATAAATCTCTCTTCCATTCTTCCTACTACTTCCCCTAGTCACCAGGCTTGAAGAAGTTAGGGAAATGGGAAGCACTATTGATTTACCATGCATACTTCACCCCTATTACATTCCTTTAGTGGAATCCAGCTGATAAATATGTTTTCCTGGCTAACGATTCTCCAGATCAATTATTTAATCACCTCATGGCTAGCTGTGGGACCATGCAAGCATAAATGACTCTTATGCTTGCCCACAAAAAGTTACATTTGATAACTCGTTGTGAAGCAATTGGGATATTTTGACTACCTATAGTTTTCAAGATAATGGATCTTTCAGAATCTGCAACTACCTAATGAGCTTTAAATGTTGTCCAAATGTGAAATGGAGTAGTTCAATGCCTTTTGTTCAATGAGATAATACATTCTGATAACACTAAAATATGATCTTTAGAATTTGAATGTAAATTAGCCAAAATCAGGCTATTTTCAAGTTGAAATTTAATTAATTTTGAGAGATGGATCTGCGCCCCTCCCCTCACTCATTCTTAGATTACAAATAATTATAACTGAAACAACATTGTCTTCTGCACTGATTGAGCACCTGTGTGCTTGCTTAAAGATTTAGTAAATAGAACTTCTAGTCATTTTTTAACTGTCATTTGCCATGATAAGCATTAAAATGTACATGTTTTTTCCACGTTTTCTAATGTTGCTTTGAAACAAGATTGTAATTTGTCTTTTGTGAGTGGATTTATGTATACCTGAACTTTTGAAATACATATGACCTTTCCCAAATTAATATTCAATAACAAATAGTAAAGACAATAGTAATTCAATAATATAAACATATCTATAAAGAAGGCAAACTAACAGATCAACAAAATTATTGTCAAGCAATAATAATTGTACAGGGTTAATCTGACTGATGCATGGATATTGTAATTAAAACACTGAATTTTGAACTACATCATATCCATGGAATGTATTGCAATCTAGTTGCCCAGTAAATTTTCTAAAGTCTTCCTCAAAATAATGGTTGAAATATACTACCTATATATATATACTGTATTTATATATAAACCCTCATACGTGCTTTCATTACATCAAGGTTAGATTATGCAAACTCATTGCTTGTCAGCCTCCCCAACTCCTCCCTCCAAAGGCTGCAGATCATCCAGTACTCTGCAGCCCGTGTCCTCTCCCTCACTAGGCTCGACGACCCTATCACCTCCATCTTCGCCCAACTACACTGGCTTCCCATCACACAGAGAATGCAGTTCAAGATCCTGGAACTCACCTTCAAAGCCCTCCATGGTGTGGCTCCCCGCTACCCTGCTCCATGTCCCCCGCCTCGCTTGCCCCACTATTGGCGGGCGGGCCTTCCACCACTCTGCCCCCACCCTCTGGAAATCCATCCCGCAGTCCCTCCGTCTCGTCCCCTCCCTTGCCACTTTCAAGATCCATCTCAAGACCCTTCTCTTCAACAGTGCTTTCGATCTCGCATTGCCCCCCCCCCCCCCCCGCCTTCCACCCTCCCCGACCCCTAGCTCGGGTCCGTAACTCTGTCCGTCCAGCACCTTGGGACGTCCTCTTGATGTGAAAGGTGCTTTACAAATGTAACTTTGTTGTTGTTATAAATTATTCTTTTTGCTCCTGTTTAGGTCTTCAGTTACTGACAAAGGGGGCATATTTCTAGGCCTTGCCCACTGTTGCTGTGTAACTGCACATTAGCAAGTGTGCTAGAGTTGTTAGGTTGATGCTCCCTGTGATTCTCCATTATGGGGTGGGGGGAGGAAGAAGACTTGTTCTGCCTTCATCTAGTAACTCTCCCTAAAGATTGAGAAAGTGCCAAATGGGGAATTCTAGTTGACTGCAAAGCTGGCACTTTCTTGAAGACATTTGAATCTTGTGTGCTTTTATTGTAATGCTTTTGGAATTATGTCAAATTATGCCATCCTAACAGTCAGATTCATTCCTTCAATAATTTACGGACTCAAGATTCAGTTTTATTTTGCTGAACTCCAAAAGACCATAAACAGATTTCTTTTTTGCCTTGTTTTGCTGCAAGATGTTTGAAGAATTTGTGTGGTGGCATATGTGTTTTTAAAATTATTGCTGCACAGGAAAATTCAGCTGAATGGTAAATATCACCAAGGACAAACCTTTAGAGTTTATTACTCTTGCAAAAAAGTTTTAGATGTCTGATTCACCTTTTAGCTTGATTTCGTAACATCAAAATATATCTCAGCTTTCTATCACATTTTTATATTTCCATTAATTGCTTTCTCATCATGGCTTCATTAATATTTCTATTTATTTGAATTCCCCATGTAGGGGAGTTCAGTCAAGGTTTGAATGAAGTTTAACTTTGATCTCTCTTAGGGTTTTACCTGGGATTTATTGATGGTACTGGATAATATGTTATTCCTTGTCATTTCAATTCATATCTGTGACAATTATGATTGCAGTCTGCCTAGTGCCACAAGAGAGCAATCTAGACAACTATCCAATAATATTTTTGTGATAACTGTCACCTGAATATATTAGTAATTCAGATATCTAGAAGATTCTCCTTGAAATAATCTTTTCTCACATTTACTTTCAAATGGTATTGGAGGCAAAATCAGGTGTTTTAGTTATCTTCCTAATGCACCTTTAGTAACTTGTAAGTTAATAATTAACAAATTACTCTCCATCTTTTTACTGATAAGATATCAGTAAAAAGGATTTTCCTGGAATCAGTTTAATCTGTTCATTTAAGCAAAATCAATTCTTTCAATGCAAAATACATTACCCGTTTTATGTTGAAAAGGCTTATGTTATGGAAAAATCTTTATGTTTTGTTTCAGGATTGTGCAATAGTATTGAGCAGTCATTTGAAGAGTCGTCAGTCCTCTGGAACAGTGTTGCAGCTATTGCAGTAGACCTTTGAGAGCCGCTTTTAAGTCTATCATTCAATTACAAAGAGGTTAGATAAAGGTAACTGAGAAAGGTGCTTCCAGATTCTGCAGGTATCAGTCCTTTGCACCAACAACAACAACAACAAGATTCCATTTATAAAGCGCCTTTCACGTCAGGAGGACGTCCCAAGGCGCTGCACAGTTGGGTCATGAACCGAGCAGGGGGGAAATGGTCAGGGTGAGGGGAGGGAAGGGAGGGAGCGAGGAGGGGGAAATGGTCAGGGTGAGGGGAGGGAAGGGAGGGAGCGAGGAGGGGGAAGAGAGTCGAGAGGGGAGCTGAAGGCTCGGTCAAAGAGAAAGGTTTTGAGACCGGCCTTGAAGGAGGAAAGGGAGGAAGCAAGGCGAAGGCACTGGGGGATGGAGTTCCAGAGCCTGGGGGCTGAGAGGCTGAAGGCCCGACCACCGATGGTAGGGCGGTTGGGGCGGGGGACGTGGAGCAGACCGGAGCCAGAGGAACGGAGGGTACGGGCAGGTAGGTAGGTAGGGGGATAGTAGGTTGGAGAGGTAGGAGGGAGCAAGGCCGTGAATGGCCTTGTAGGTGAGGATGAGGATCTTGAAATCAATCCTCTGGGGGATGGGGAGCCAGTGGAGGCGAGCGAGGGTGGGAGTGATGTGGTCCCGAAGCCTGGTGCGGGACAGTACACGAGCTGCAGAGTTCTGAATGACCTGCAGCTTGTGGAGGGAGGTGGCGGGAAGGCCGGCGAGGAGAGAGTTCCCATATTGAAATTTACAATTCAAATAATACTTCCTAGTAACTCCCAAATTCTGAGAGCTCAATTGCATCACTGCACTGAAACCGGTTAAGTTTCTGTCTTAAAACGTCTACAATATTTCTTGGAATCCCTAAACAGTTGCAGTAATTTGAAACTTCAACCCACCACTCAGTCCAAATAAATGGTCATCCAAAAGTAAAGATTCATATGAATGTTTTATTGTAGTTGAATTTAGCTGATTCAGCTTCTTCAGTTGTACAATGCCCTCTAGAGAGACTTCATCATTTATTTCTCTCTGTCTTCATTACCAAGTTATGTGTTGATTACTCCCCGTTTAGAATTTTTCTGTCTTACTATTATAGTAACACCTACTTCATTAATTACATTTTGTCAAAGGGAATATTCCAATTACAAAATGTGTAATTGTGTCTCAATGCTTGTAATTGGTTGAGCAAAGAGGATATGCCATTATAAGAAGTTTGTGCGATCTGGGCTGAGGAGCAGATCTGCTATATCACATTGCAGTGAATATTTCCTAATGAAAGCTTCAACATTATTACACCTGTCACGTTAAGGACTACCTTCTGGAACCATTGCAAAAGGGTTTTTTAATATAAATTTGGTAAGTTTTGTCAGACAGTTTTTACTTTTAACAACTTTCTAACTATATTTTCACACCGGTCTGCATCTCTTTGACAAAAAGTACTATCAATGTCCTTTATAGCTACTATATTATAATGTATTTCTGTTTTGCGTGGATTATTTTCTGGGGGGGCGGAGGGAAGTTTTCTTTGTTCTAATGGTTAATCTGGGAGTTTTCCAGGGGAGGTGTTGCCAATTTTGTATATTAAAGTAATTACTTGGCTGAGTAATGATCAGAAATTTAACTTAATACTTGTTTTATTCAATTTACAGTCTGCTCAATAATCTCTTAAACCATTTAGCGCAACAGCAGAATAATTGGAACAAAATGAAAAAAAGTGTTTAAAAGAGAGAGATGCTGTCACTACTTAGTGTCTAATATGATGTTTCACCTCAGTCGTGTTACTGGATAACATATTAATAATAGTAATCAAGAGTATTCCTGGATAACATAGCAATGCTGATTAATTTCAATGGGAATCAATCAATTTCACTTTTTGAATTGCAAATCATAAATTTAGCAAATCCAAGTAAGTACTTTAAATGTGTTCAAAGAACGATTGTCATCTCAGGAACATTATATTAAGGCAGAGATCAGACTAATTTGCTTGGGAGGAGATTAGTTTATATATGGTTTAAAAAAAGTTGGTATTAATTAAAATAGAACTATTCTAAGATAGTCAAAAAGGCTATTCAAAATAAAATGTCTTGAATGGGGAGAGTATTGGTGCAGTAAGGCTGCAGACAGTAATCCACTGTGCTGTGTTGTGGTGAGAACCAGAACACAGGATCTATATTACTGAGTGTTTCTTTTGTAAACAAAATAAGTCACCTTTTAATGTTCTTAAGTAAAAATAAACATAACCCTGCCATTGCAGACCTTTGTTTTATGCTTAATTTGCCATAAAATGTAATTCAATCTTTGTAACGCATCTCGGAGGAGCTATGACAACAGCTAGTATGAAACCAACCACTGTTTATTTTAAACACTATTTCAGAACAATTTTACACAAGTGGTACCTCAGTTACCTGATATGGAACTGAGCCATGAAAGGTCCCACTATTGCATGTACAGTACCTGTTGCAATTGGAAAGTTTATGGATTCAAGTGGGTTGAATTAAAAAGTAAATCTAACTAAATGTAAAGACAAGAAGAGAAGTTAGTCGTGCAGGAGCAGAACAGCATGTGAATTGACTTGTTTGCTGTGTATGAATATTTATTGAAACCCTCAACTTCCACAACCTGAAGGCTCCATATTCATAAGGCAGAGAACCAATTTGGGGATGGAGAGGAAGGAATGTTTTAAAACCAGGATTTTCTTTTAGTGTCCAGTTTACATTCCATGAAATACCACATGAAAACAAGGGAGACATGCTCAAAGGATTGTCTCCTCCGAGATGCAAAAAAACCCCCACATGTTGCCACCTGCGACGCAAACAAGGGCCACCAACTCAAAGCACCTCCTCGTTGAGGCCTTCGAACACCACTTAACACATCTCAGGACTTGCCAACTTATTTTCTTGAGCACTATGGTACATAAAACCAAGGGATCTTTAATGTGCAATTTGAATGATTCATATTAACGGAATATGCGCTTTCTTTCAAATCAGTTCATTTGCATGGAGTTACAAATTGCGACACCGATGGGCGATTTAGTCAAAAAAAAAGTTCGATTGTTTCTGACGAAAGGTCAGCGACTTGAAACGTTAACCCAATGTTTTCTCTTCCTCGCTCGCTCGCTCTTTCTCTCCGTAGATGCTGCCTGACCTGCTGAGTGTTCCCAGGCAGGCACTTCTGTCTTCACAATAAATAATAAATAATCCTTGCACTTGATGCAGCGCTTTTCACGGCGGGAGGACGTCCCAAAGAATATACTGTCGAGTGAACTGACTGCGTGTTTGTGGGCGAACGCGGCAGCCAACTGCGCGCGGCAGCGACCCACAGACGGTCGTGGATTGCAAATGACCGATTTACCACTGGTTTTGGAGGGATTATTATCCGATTATTGTATCATTTATTTAGGAGTAAGGAAACCTGCCCACGGTTTGGCCCTGACCGGCCCGGGATCGAACTCGGGGTCTCTCGCTTGCGAAAAAAAAAGAAGAGCGAGGGCGCTCTCACCGCCCGAGCTCCAGGACCCCGCCCGAGCTGCAGCCATCTTAAGGTTTACCAGGCGGTAAAAACCCCACCTGCGCCGCACACCGCGCGAGGTTGACGCCGACCCATTTTAAGTGACACCCGTGACCTTGAACCGCGGTGGGGGTGGTGGGTGGGGGGTGAAGAGGTGAAGAGGGAGGGAGGAAACGAAAAGAATAGATAAATCCCAATTGGGGGGGTGGGGGGGTAAGTGATTCCCGATGGGAGTGATAGTCTGACTGATGGCTGCGTGCATTTTTTTTTGCTCAGTCGGCGACCGACGTGTGGACCTCTCCCGCCACGTCTGTGGCCGCGGCCGCTTCCGGTACCCTTTCCAGGGCGGCGTCGCCATGGGGGCCATTTTGTCGCGAGACTCCGCCCCAGGACCGGGAGGGGAGGGTTTAAATTACTTCCAGAGATAGTCCGAGTGTGTGAGTGTCGGGGCTCCCGGTGCCCAGTGTGTGTGTGGGTGTGAGAGTGATGGATGAGAAGGTGTCGGCTTCAACATGAGCGCTTCTTCCGGCTCCGAGCAGGAGGCAGTGACCGTGGCCGCCGGGGCTGAGCGTCTCTCGGCCGTTCAGACAGACGGCGGCGGCCCGGGGGCGGGGGCTGAGGACGGTAGTCTGGTACCGGGGAAGCAGAGAGAGGCGAGCGGCGGCGGCGGTCTGTACAGCTCGGCGCCGTTGGCGGCCGGCGATGGAGACGGAGGTGACGGCGGTGGCTCGAGCAGTGCGGCAGGTACCCCCCCCCCCCCCCACACACACACACACACACACAACCCCCCCCCCACACACACACCACCCCCCCCCCACACACACAACCCCCCCACACACACACACACACACACACAACCCCCCCCCACACACACAACCCCCCCCCCACACACACACACACACACAACCCCCCCCCCCACACACACACACACACACAACCATCCCGCACCCCCACACACACACACAACCCCCCCCCCCCACACACACACAACCCCCCCCCCCCCACACACACACAACCAACCCCCACCCCCACACACACACACACCCCCCACAACACACACACACAACCCCCCCCCAGCCTCACACACACAACCCCCCCCCACACACACACACAACCCCCCCCCCCACACACACACACACACAACCCCCCCCCACACACACATACACACAACCCCCCCCCCACACACACACACAACCCCCCCCCCCCACACACACACAACCCCCCCCCACACACACCCCCACACACACACACACACAACACCCCCACCCCCGCACCTGCCCCCTGTGGCCTCCTTTAGTCCCGAGTTAATCGGTGTCAGCGAACCCCGCAAAGAGAAACGTGTGGCAACTTGTACAAGAATCTCCCTCTCTCACTCCCTCTCACTCACTCCCTCCCTCTCACTCACTCACTCACTCCCTCTCACTCCCTCACTCTGGGACTTGTGTGAAAGTTACCGATTCGATATTTTGATGGCCGTCCTTCCTGGTGTTCTGCAAAGGCAATGAGGTGTGTGTGTGTGTGTGTGTGGGGGGGGGGGGGGTGTCCATGTTCAGGTTTCCCTCTCGCTACTTGTTGCTGGTGGTCGGTGGCTGTGAAACACTTAGAAACTCATGAGCTTTGCATTTAGTCACTAATGTCTGATGCAATCACAACTTCTCTTTCTCTCTCTCTCTCCCCCCCCCCCCCCCAAGTTCTCTTACAGTTGCATGTCCCATGTCTGGGGAAAAAGTTCTCAATTCGTGGAATTTGCTTTCAAAACTGATGTCCTTGTATGTGCTGTTTTTTTTCCCCCCCACACAAACATCCCAGTTTAGTCTATAGGTTCCGGAGGAAAAAAGCTCTTCCCACACCACTTCAGGCTGTTTTTGTTCTATTTGACTGCCCTTCCAAGAATCCTGTAATAATTTTTTAAAAAATAAATACGCACGACCTTATTATGAATGTCACAGTTCTTCTGCCTGTCACCTAAGGGTAAACTGAAGGTATGCTGCATGGGGAAGAGCAAGCGAGAGACCCGAGTTCAATTCCAGGCAGGGCCAAACCTTGGGCAAGTTTCCTTACTCCACACGCCCGATAATAATCCCTCCAAAACCAATGATAAATTGGTCGTTTTCAAACCACGACTGTTTGTGGGACACTGCTGTGCGCAATTGGCTGCCGCGTTCGTCCACAAATATGCAGTCAATTCACTTTACAGTGTGTTCTGTGAAGCGCTTTGGGACGTCCTCCCGACGTGAAAAGCGCTATATCAAATGCAAGTATTATTATTATTAAGTAGTATGGTATTGAAATTGAAGCCAGGATGCACTCGCATTCACTGATTACTGGCCAGTTCAGAACCCAACTTGAGTTAAGGTCATTTACTATCCATGGCCTGGCAAACTGCAGTCATAAACATCGTATTACTGTAATTGCACATCATCACCAAGGATCCCATCCAGCAACCAGTATTGTGCACTAGTCTGCAAAATACTCCCGGACCAAACTTAAATTAGAAGGATTTTGGGCACCACTTGTGTTCTATCAAGGCACACACCTACAATTTATTTCACTCGTGACACAGTGGAGTTGAGCAATATATCGATTTCAAATAACCCATTGAACTTGTAACAATTCTCAATGTCATAGCTCACTGTTCATTTTTCTTTTCCAAGGTGGGGGAAGATTAACCTTTAGTTAAAGCAAAGGTGATGGCAATATACATTCTCCTCAAACGGTTTTATTGGCAGGGCTATAAAAAATATTTTTTGATAACTCTTGCTGTCCTATATTACTCAACAGTAATACGTTGTCGTTATTCATCTGTCCACACGTGGTCTCTGGTAAGGACCAGGTACTTTGGGCTGTGGAGAAAGAATAGGTAAAACTTCATTTCATACTAACATAAACCAGAAGTTTGCCAAGTGAGACTGGTCATCTTACCATTCATTAATTAGATGTAATAGATATAGCCTCTTAAACTTGTTTTTTCGTATAGGAGCTGCCTTCAGCTGCCAATTCCATGGCAGCAACTATTCAGTCATGTTGATGTAAGGTTAAATGCAGTAACTCCATAACATTAACGTTCACTTCAGATCTACTGGATCAGACCGTCAGACATGCACTATAGCAAAGAGAGAAGGTTTTTTATGTTATTCATCTGCTTAAAGAGGATGAATAAACAAAATAGATGTTTATTCTCTTACTGCATGAGGCAACTTGATATGATCAACCAGAATTCGCATTGTTTTTGGGGGAAAAAAGGAGCATTGTCTGAGTATCTGCTTTTCAGTTTCAGTTCCTCCACATCCATGGTTATATGAGATGATGCAATTGACATTCATGTCTACAGGATATCTTTTGCTTTTTAGAACAGTTCATTGTGCTGGTGCTGCTCTTTGAGTTCCTCTATGTCACATAGGAACAATACCAACCTTTCATCTCTAGGACTCGAATTTGAATCCGTATGAATAACAATGGATTCCTTTTCTTGGTTGCAAGTAATGGTTTGGAACGTGAAACTGAGCAGCAGGTAAAAGTACACAATGAATTATGCAAACAACTGCTAACCTGGTAGCAAAACTCTTAGAAACTAAAGCTAATGCTAATTAAATAAGCATTTGATTTACGAGGATATTTAAATAGTTGATATTCCACTTTAATTAAGGTTTGGTATCCATCAGCTTTATTTATTAAGCAGTTCCAGCTATTGTTCTGAGTGTTTGTCATGACATCAGTTTGCCATTGCTTACTGTATAATTTATGCTACAAAAACAAATTGAAAATGAATAAATTGGTCACTCAATCCATGGCTGTTTGTGGAACACTGCTCTTTATGCAATTGGCTGCCGTGTTTCGCCCACAAAATACAGTAAATTCACTATACAGTATATTCTGTGAAGCGCTTTGAGATGTTTCAAAGACATGATAAAGCGCTATATCAAATGCAAAGATTATTAATATTATTATCAATTGTTTTTGCCGGTGGGTATGGATAAACAATTCGTTCTGATTTCAAAATTTAGCCAAAGAAATGTAGCAAGAATCAGGACCACTATTGTTCACATTGTTCCACTCCTTTAAGGTGTGCACATTTTGCATTATTACATGATTGGTATTATAAAGAATTAAAGGAGAGGTTTACACACCAGGTGGTTGGGTCACAGGAATTATTGTAAGAGGGAATTAGATAGATGCTTAAACAGGATGAATATTAAAGGGTATCGGAGTGAGCAAGAGATGGAGAAAAAGAACAGGGAGGATTGGATGGACCAAATGTTTCTGTGCTGCAACATTCTATAACTATATGATATATAGCAGAAACCCAGTTTGTGATCATGTCAGTATTCCAGCCACCTCACAATTGTGGGCACATTTTTACAGTCTCTTTCATTGTCAATATTAAAAGATAGGCTGTCTGTCTGCTTCAGTAACCCAGGCATCTCACTATTCAGGACAACAGTCATTGATTGCCGCTACTACAGGACCCTCTTCCGCTTCAAACACAGTACAAACAACCCCCTCTGCTACTAACTTGCACAGTATGCAGTGGCCTAGGTCTCGGGCCTCTCCCGCTGTTTCCTAGATGCTGCTACTATGTAGAGGTACAAGTTGCAATACTATGGGTGGAGTGGGCTCCAGTCCCGCATGCGCGGCGCCGGGTGCGTTGGGATCGTGGAAGCGACGCGAGTGGAAAATCGACTTTGCCTGGCGCTCCTGCTGCCAATTCTTGGAAAGTGCTGTATTCAGAGAACGTGGTTTGTGTGTACATTGTTTTGATTTAGCGACTATTGACGAGTGTTGTAAACATGCCACCACAGAAGGAGTTGTACTTATGTGAGAGAGTGGACTTAATCAAAAACAGGAAGGGCATAAGTCATAGACAGTTAGCTGTGATCTATGACATTGGCAGAACACAAGCTGGATACATTCTCAACAGGTAGGCTAAATACATGACAGATTTTGTTTTAAATGAGAAAATGCCTTTATTTTAATGAGATTGCAAAGTATGGTTATTGAATGCTCATCACCCTTGCCTATTACCAATGCTCTTACTATTACATCAGTGACCTGAATCACCCAACCTGTTTCAGTAATCAGGTCACCTCACTTTTGCCCAGTCTCTTGAGTGACCAGATTACTGAGGTTCTACTGTATCTACAATTAAAGTATTTTTCTAAATGCCTCTTCTCTTTTTTTTCAGCCACAGAGAAGAAACCTGCTTTTGTGGGTCTTGGTCTATGCTACGCACTGTTGTCAAGTGTATTCTTTTCAGTTGTTTCACTTTTGGCAAAGAAAGTAGAAGGAATCCATTCTATTGAAATTAGTGGATTCCGATGTTTTTTTCAAGGGGTGATTATATGTCCTTTGATTATATACAATGAGTAAGTACAAAACAAATACAGTGGACTTTTGATAATTATTTAGTTGTAGTTATTCATATAAATGTATGTTCTTTAGTTACTAAACTGTAAGACCATATATAAAGTAACTTGTATATGTTGAGTAGTTTTGTATGAAATTTATGAAGTGCATTGTTATTTATATAATGACTATTGTAAGAAACCTGCCTTTATATTTACTCCAATAATTTGAATAAGATGTTGCTTGATTTTGTAAAGTATTGTTCTTTGCCTTTTACTGTAATAACTGAACTAAAATGAAGTTACTTCTATTTGTCTTCTGTATAGTTGTTATTTGACATTTTTCTACTAAATCATAACTTTTATGTAAATTATGTTCTCTTTGCAAAGTTACTTTAGATTCTAATATGGTTGGGATTTTACAAAAGGAAAAAAGATACATTTTTTAAATTTGATTAATTAAAAAATAACTTTGCATTATTTCTAGATCCTGAAAAAGAGTTTAACTTGAATATATCATAGTTCCTTTTAACATGTAGAAATGGATAAATACACTACATAGCGTGGTATTCATCTATACAGGTTGGGATATCCCTGTTTTGATTTATGGACTGCGTTAAGCTGCTAGTTTCAATTGGAACAGAGGTAGAGGCAGTAACACTAGCCTATTTGTTGCTGAACAAGTGAGGGGAGAAAAAGTCAATCAATGATACCCGTGGAAACTATGGGTATACGAAGATCACAAAATTAGTTTGGATGAAAAGGCCCTTTGGCCCACCCGATGTTATTCTTCCATAATATTATAGAATATTACAGCACGGAAGGAGGCCATTCGGCCCATTGTGCCTGTGCTGGCTCTTTGGACGAGCTACCCGATCAGTCTCACTCCCCCGCTCTATCCACTGTACCTTCCTCCTATCACAGCATCAAGTTTTTTTTTAATGAGTCCACACTGTGATGCCCACATAGTTCCATTAAAAACAAGATTCATTCATTCAGCAATCAATAGGTAGAAATTTGAAGATCTGCTCATGTTCACTTTGCAGTAGTTGGAGAAGATACATACAAAATATGAAATTAGCCCTTAAAATCTCAGTGGAACTCTGTCTGTGGACTCGGTTAATCATCTACTTTGTGAAAGAGAGAACTTGCATTTCTGATGTGCCTGCAATGTTAACATCTCACAGCAAATGTTGTCAGATTGTAGTGACTTCCACCTGATATGGAAACCATTTTATACACAATGAGCAGATGTCCTGATTTACCAAATCAGTCCTCTTTTTAAAAGTAGAAGTACAAAATGCTTGCTGGTACTCTTACACAATCTATTATATGTTTGGTTACTTTGGCTTGCTGATGCTTTCTCAAAAAATAGAAGGCTTTAGCGAACTCCTTTCAAACATCTCCAGAGTTGGATTTTGTCTGGGATCTGCAGTATGTAGGCCTACATCAGCAGAAGTTATTTGTTTAGGCATATTAATGCATGTATTGAATCCCAAGAAAGCGGTCGACAAAAGAGAAATCTTAATTTTTTTTGAAAAAATTTAATTTTCTTGTTTTATTAACTTACCACAAATTAATAACTATAGTGTTAAAGAAAAATAAAAAGTGGATAAAGGCATTCATTGGCCGTTGTGGGTACTGAGTCAAAGGAAAGAAGGTTTGAGGCATTATTTTTTAGTTGGCTGATCTCAGCATTGGCCAAGATGGAGATAGATTTGGATTAGTTTGAGAACCGGGTGGATCTTGGGTGTGATGTCCCCACTGATGTTTACCATTGAGGCTCAGACATGAAGAGTACGCAGTGAATGGTTGTCAGCGCTCGTGAATCGATGCCACAGGGTGAGATAACATCTTTGGGAATTTGAGGCAAAAGAAAAAACAGAAAAAAGAACATGTGGAAGTTGGGGTAAAAAGAGGTATTTAAGAACACAACAATAATCAGCCGTTACAATGGGCCACTCAACTATATGCAATACTCTATCTGGAATTTGTAAATAACCTAATCTCTCCCCTCCCACCACCACCATCATCATAACCATATAAAATCAATATCACTTTTGTATTCCATTCCCTAAATATCAATTCCATTTGTCTGTTTGGCCTTTTCTTGCACGTCCATCTTTACAGATTTATTTATTTTGACCTTTGGGTCTTATTATGAACCATAATCAAGTTTTTACTCTTGTCCTTAAACTTCTAGATCTTAGCTTCCATAAATCCTAATCCACTTTAGTGTCTGGACAAGAAGTGGTGATCCCCATCTATCAAAGCAATTAACAGAGCCATTATCCAGACTCTAAATGTACCTTCCTTGATGCCATGCTGGGTAATCATATGTCATCGGTTTTTAGCTACATGTAATATCCTTTTTCATATTGTTTTAGTATTCATGTGTTGTAAGTGAATGAATATTATAGAATTTGTGTAGCTTAACCTTCTGAAAGCTATATGAATATCTTTAAAGAAATTCATGATAAATCCAAAAGTAAACTTTTATTTTCCCTTCTATTTTAATAAATTATGTATCTTTTTCTTATTTAGGAAGCTGATTACATTTAAAATAATTTGTTTGTGCATGCAACTTTAAGTTAGTCACTTAAGTTGAACTTTTTTGTTTTTCTATACTTTATAGTCTTTTTTTAAACTAGAAATCTTAAGAATGAAATTGTAGTGTTTTAGATTGCGTTGGAATGCAGTACCTTATAGCAGGTCACATAACCAACGCAACAACATTGTTTGGATGCGAGATACTAACGAGAAGTGAGTTAATATAATAGATTGAGGATTCCTTTTTTTGAGGAAGAATTATCATGATTTTTATTTTGGTTCCTCAACATTTTTATCAGTTACTTTCTCCCATTATTGATTCGCTACCCATGTTCAGGCATAGCATCTAACCCTCCTACTCTTGAGTGACCACTAAGAGATGAATGTATTCAACTACTGTATTCTTTGTCTACATGTGCATCAATATAGTGAAGGACAAGATGACTCCTAATCCTTACGTTTACCATAGAACCTTTCACGTCGGGAGGACGTCTCAAAATGCTTCACAGTATGCACTGTGAATTTGAGTGACTATTTTTCTGAGCAGTGTCCGATAACAATTTGTGAATCCACTTTATTATTAGGCCTTCTTGCTACTTTTTAAAAATTGATTTGCACTTCAAAAAAAGTTTTGAAAATAGTATACTTGCTATAAAAATGAATTGATGCAATGTATGTATTTTTTGTTCAAATATATTCTCTTGAAATAGTCACTTTTTGTAGCTTTCTAAAAATATAATATTGCTGCTTTCTAAAATGTTTGATATTGTACACCCTTTGTACAAATTTATAAGAACCTGTGGATCATCAAACTGCTAATAAATGTTTGAACCAGCATCAAATCTTTTCTAATTTACTAGAGTACGTACCATCCTGGTCATCAATTAGCACAATTTGAAAACCATAAATGACAAAATCTTTAATTGTGTTGGAAACTAAATCAGTGACCTTACTTTCATACTCTTGAACTTTCATTTATATCCCATTGGAATACATCCAAAGAACTTAGTGTATAGGGTACAATATTTGTAGTGCTAAATAAACCACTTATTTTTTAAAAAAACCAAGAATAAAGGAAATGGATGCAGCATTTATAAAATATGTTTAAGAGAAAAAAGTCAAAGCAAGTAAGGCATGTGAAAAGGGTTAACAAACTTTTGTTTTCACTTAATTTTAGTTTGAATCGTTTTCAAATTGCTTTCCAGAATAAGCTTTTTTGGACCAAAGGAACAGAGATGTTATCTTTACCTCCGAGGATTTTTGGGTGCTTCAGCAATGATACTGCTCTTCTACGCCATTCAACATATGCCTTTGGCAGATGCCACTGTCATTGCATTTAGCAACTCAATCTTTGTTGGAATATTTGCATGGATGTTTCTGAAGGAAAGATGCACTATTTGGCAACCAATCTTCACAATTTTTATCTTAATTGGGGTGATTCTTATTGCAAGACCACCATTTCTGTTTGGCTCTCACATTCCTGGAATTGAAGTTAACTATACAGAACACATCAAAGGGACATTTGCTGCTTTTGGAAGTGCATTATGTGCTGCAATAAGTATGATTGTAATTCGAAAGATGGGGAAATCTGTCCATTGCTTTATATCTATTTGGTACTTTTCAGTTATTGGTTGCATTGAGTGTGTGATTGTGGTCTCAATAATTCAGGAATGGCGGTTGCCTTACTGTGGAAAAGATAGAGTGTTTCTTTTAATAATCGGTCTCTTTGGAGTCGTAGGTCAGGTACTTTTCACAAAAGCCTTACAAATCGAAAAAGCTGGACCAGCAGCACTAATGAAGACCATGGAAGTGGTTATGGCATTCATATTGCAATACTTTTTCCTCAATCGTTCCCCTACTTGGTTAAGTTTGGGAGGAGCCCTCTGTGTGATAGTTGGAACTTGTGGAATTATTTTTCACAAATGGTATACTAGAAAAGAAAGTCAACAGTAACAATTGCATGGTTTGTTTTGGTATGCAACCAATGCAGCGGGTTAGATTTGTGGAGAGAATCTGCTAGTGTAAAATTGCAATGGTTTGAATTAAATTGGTAGTTAAGCATTTAGAACTGCATTCATAATTCAAAATGCCATGACCATAGATGGCCAACAAGAGCGACTTACAATTATATAGCGCCCTTCGTGCAGGTAGCATCTCGGAGTGCTTGAACATAGCCTTAACACAAATAAGCAACCACTTAGAAATTATAGATTTTCTTTTGGTTCAGCTTTGTGATTTGATTGAAAACATTTGAATTTTTTAACAAAAACTAATTTCTTTTTAACAATCTGTAATATACAGATAAAACGCAGTTGTGATGAGATTGCTTCTTATGAGATTTTACACTGGGTGCTAGCTCTCTCTTTAAAATTCAGGGAACTGTTCTTAAACCTACTGCATATCCAAATAGGAATGCACTTTAAAATAGACACTTTTGAAAAATATTGATTACGGTGATGCTTTTCAATCTGCTTTGTTTACACAATCAAATTACACTTTAATCTTTTCTGTTTAGATATCAATATTATATGGATATTTAATAAATGCTGGTGATTAAATATTGTTCCTTAAGGTTATTATAAAAGTAGATCTATTTTAGTACTATATTATTATTAGTCCTTTTGACGTTTTATAGAAGTGAATCGAATTGAACATTCTCAATTTTTTTAAAAAAGGTATAGTTGTCGATTTAAATTGAAATGTGATCATAATTTAACTAATTTAATTTGCACAGGACTGCAATTGCAAATGTCCATCAATAAATAGTATAAATACACTGATTGTATTAAAAAACGTGACCAAAGTTGGGAATGCCACTATTATCGTAGCACTTCCCCTGCAGCAACCTGATATAATGTTTGCATGTAGATATTAAATTCAGGATTTCACCATGTATAAAATCAGAAGATGACAAACAATCTAAAGTGCATTCACGGCAAAGCACTTTTAGATTTATGAATAGGTAATATTTGGCTACAGTAATGTTTATTTCTTCATTTTTTTGAAACCATTTTCTTTGTGGCAAAAGTAATACTCTGAAACAAAATTTATAGTTAGAACTCTTGCACCAGTTTAATTGTTATTACGTTCTCCAAGCAATATGAGTTTATAAGATATAAAAATAACCCGGCAGGATGGAATGGAACTGCAATAATACATCCAGGCAAGGATCGTAAAAGGATTTTAAAATGAGGCAAAAGTTATTTTTTCTCAGTTTTTAATAATAATGTTTTCCTGATGGTTTCTCTGTGTCTTCTATCAAATATTAAGAAGATAACCAAAGCAATTGTATTTTGACTTGGCTAAAATGGTTACATTGTGAGGTGCGTAAAGTAGATAACAAATACTTGTATAAACTTTTTGTGTTTATTTTTGTTTCTGTTCTAAGTAAAGATAATGCTATTGAATAGATATCCAAAGAATAATGTATGCTGTACCAAATATTGTGTTGTGGTTTACTTGCAATGGATTATTTCTGAACCATGTTTTTTCTTCAACCAGAATTTATTTTCCGCTTTCTTTTTTTTCTTGTTTTCTTTTGCTTTGTGTCTATTTTCCTCAATCTCTGACAACTACCATTCTTTCTGTTCAGTTTTGTGTCTCCCACTTACGCCATAAATATTTTTTAAATGTGTGGTATAAGCAGAAGGCACAATGAACTGATTATCATATGTAGTGTTGCATGTATCCAAAGGCATTAACAACAGTAATTTATTGTTCAGTTTGGTTCCATTCAACCTTATTCACACATCTGTATTTTTATTTTTCTAATAAAAAAAATCCTCTAATTTACATTGTTTCCCAATAAACGGAGGACATTCAGTGGAGCTCAGTTGTTTACCAAGAAAATAAACCATTGGTAGCTTATTGTTAGTAAGTTTCCCAAATCCTTTGTTCATTCTGTTTGTGTCACAGATTGACTAATTTTACTTCCATTGCTTTTCTTGCCCACGACCCCCACCTCACCACTTACTCTCTTTGTCTCCCTTCCCTGAGCATGTTAGTTCATACTGAGGTCCAGTTCTTTGGCAATTTTCGGGTAACTTGCCAACATAGCCATTTTAATGTGTGATTTATGATGGGCTGTTCTGTTCAAATACCGGCCAAACTTAATGTCCATGTGTGCGTGCACTTCCCAGCAAAGGTAAAATGTGAAACCCTTGTTTATTTCTCCTTCTCAGGGCGAGGGACACAAAAAACAATATAATGCTCTGATGTCCAACAAAACACAAACCAGTGATTGGACTGTAACCTTCCTAGCCTATGTGGCTGAGTACTTCTCCCTGTAGTGTATTTAGTCTTTTTGACATTTAAGACAATATTCCCCGGTGTTGGTACTTGCCATAGTGAAACGTTATTTATGCTCCATGTCACAGAGCTGCTGCACTGTGATACGATACTCTTGTCAGTTGATGAGTTAAGTTTAGCACGAACAGGGCTGGCATCAAACATTTGGAATAGGAAAAAAATCACAGCCAGTACTTCAGTTTTATACTGTGGTAATCTTTAAAAAAGTAAACTTATATTTCAAATTAATCTAATTATTTGGCAGAAGAAGAGCAATCTAAATGCTCCAGGTATCATTCTGGCTTCAATACCTGCAGCAGAGCAACTGAGCTGACTGTCCTCACTGGCCTCCAAGCCACTTTGTACTGGAGGGAGGCAGAGCTCTGCACAAATACACTCACCATTGTCCCACCTGCTTGGAACAATTTGCATCTTTGTCATGAACCAGCAGGACTAGAAAAAAAACTGACAGTCCACTGATTTATTATTTTAAATTGTTCTCCATTAAACTTGAATGTCGCAGCAGAGTTTGCATTGACTTTGCAGTTTTTTTGGAAGCTCTTTTGTACAACTTGCATGATAAAAAGGACCCCCGTTGGATGCCCCCATAAGTGTAGTATGTGAAATTGCCTGTTTCTGAAATAATTCACTGCATATAAGATATCGATGTACACAACTGGATATAAAATTTGAAATGTTAACATTTTATTTTTTATATATTTCTAGTTTCAGACCTTCAATCTGAAAGCTTATATTTTTCATGTGTTTTCAGCTGAAGCCTTTTTGGCCATTATATTTGCAAATAACATTTTATAAAAATATGTTTTTTCATCTATTTGCACTTTAACAAATAGATTTTTACACATAGACTTTTCAATACGTAAAACTTGGTTCTAATTATTGGGTTCCTGTATTAAAAGTCACTGTTTGCATATTTTTTTCTCAGTAAATTTTGTAAAGTATTGAAACAGACTATGTGTTTATTTTTGTTTGTTTTCTGCGTGCAACGTTATCAATGCATTTTACTAATTGTGTTTTGTAATTTCACCTTTGTGACCATTTTGGTATTTACATTCTTTGTAGCCAGCACTCCCTAACGTATTAGATAATAATAATCCTTTGATATAGCGTCTTATCACGTCTTTGAGACATTTCAAAGCGCTTCACAGAATATACTGTAAAGTGAATTGATTGTGTATTTTGTGGGTGAAACGCGGTAGCCAATTGCCCACAACAGTGCAAACAGTCATGGATTGAGTGACCATATTATGATTTTTTTAAAAAAAGGGATTATTACCGCCAAAAAAGTGATCTACCAAACATCTAACAACCGGGTTCCCACATACTACTTGGCATGTGGAGTAAGCAAACTTGTCTAACCTTTCACCCTGGCCGGGAATTGAACACAGGTCCTCTCCTGGCGAGTGCTCTAACCAATACACAAAAGAACTCCACTCCCTAAAGTTTTACAACCTTGCTGGATGTTCTTTACAAAATGGTAATAATAATAAGTCTTGCATTTGAATTACAGCATGTTGTTAACTCACCTCACAGCCCTTCACAGGATATACTGTAAAATGGTGTCACTGTATTTTGTGGGTGAACATGCCAGCCAAATTGTGCACAACAATGACCTTCAAACAGCCATGGACTTAGTGACCGATTTTATTTGGGAAATTGTTCACCAGGACATCGGGATGTAGTTTCTTCTGTTTTTGAATAGCACAATGGGATCTTTAACAAAAACCTGAGAGATAAACCAGGCGCCGTTTTAATGTATCTTTCTAAAATAGACAATATTGCTGCTTTCTAAAATGTTTGAAATTGTACACCCTTTGTACAAATTTATAAGAACCTGTGGATCATCAAACTGCTAATAAATGTTTGAAGCAGCATCAAATCTTTTCTAATTTACTAGAGTACCATTCTGGTCATCAATTAGCACAATTTGAGAAACATAAATGACAAAATCTTTAATTGTATTGGAAACTAAATCAGTGACCTTACTTTCATACTCTTGAACTTCCATTTATATCCCATTGGAATACATCCAAAGAGGACTTAGTGTATAGGGTACAATATTTGTGGCGCTAAATAAACCACTTATTTTTTTAAAAAAAAGAATAAAGGAATGGATGCAGCATTTATAAAATATGTTTAAGAGAAAAAAGTCAAAGCAAGTAAGGCATGTGTAAAGGGTTAACAAAACTTTTGTTTTCACTTAATTTTAGTTTGAATCATTTTCAAATTGCTTTCCAGAATAAGCTTTTTTGGACCAAAGGAACAGAGATGTTATCTTTACCTCCGAGGATTTTTGGGTGCTTCAGGAATGATACTGCGCTTCTACGCCATTCAACATATGCCTTTGGCAGACGCCACTGTCATTGCATTTAGCAACTCAATCTTTGTTGGAATACTTGCATGGATTTTTCTGAAGGAAAGATGCACTATTTGGCAAACAATCTTCACAATTTTTATCTTAATTGGGGTGATTCTTATTGCAAGACCACCATTTCTGTTTGGCTCTCACATTCCTGGAATTGAAGTTAACTATACAGAACACATCAAAGGGACATTTGCTGCCTTTGGAAGTGCATTATGTACTGCAATAAGTATGATTGTAATTCGAAAGATGGGGATATCTGTTCATTGCTTTATATCTATTTGGTTCTTTTCAGTTATTGGTTGCATTGAATCTGTGATTATGGTCTCAATAATCCAGGAATGGCGGTTGCCTTACTGTGGAAAAGATAGAGTGTTTCTATTAATAATCGGACTCTTTGGAGTCATAAGTCAGGTACTTTTCACAAAAGCCTTACAAATCGAAAAAGCTGGACCAGCAGCACTAATGAGGACAATGGAAGTGGTTATGGCATTCATATTGCAATACTTTTTCCTCAATCGTTCCCCTAGTTGGTTAAGTTTGGGAGGAGCACTCTGTGTGATAGTTGGAACTTGTGGAATTATTTTTCACAAATGGTATACTAGAAAAGAAAGTCAACAGTAACAATTGCATGGTTTGTTTTGGTATGCAACCAATGCAGCGGGTTAGATTTGTGGAGAGAATCTGCTAGTGTAAAATTGCAATGGTTTGAATTAAATTGGTAGTTAAGCATTTAGAACTGCATTCATAATTCAAAATGCCATGACCATAGATGGCCAACAAGAGCGACTTACAATTATATAGCGCCCTTCGTGCAGGTAGCATCTTGGAGTACTTGAACATAGCCTTAATACAAATAAGCAACCACTTAGAAATTATAGATTTTCTTTTGGTTCAGCTTTGTGATTTGATTGAAAACATTTGAATTTTTTAACAAAAACTAATTTTTTTTAAATAATATGTAATATACAGATAAAACGCAGTTGTGATGAGATTGCTTCTTATGAGATTTACACTGGGTGCTAGCTCTCTCTCTTTAAAATTCAGGGAACTGTTCTTAAACCTACTGCATATCCAAATAGGAATGCACTTTAAAATAGACACTTTTGAAAAATATTGATTACGGTGATGCTTTTCAATCTGCCTCGTTTGCACAATCAAATTACACTTTAATCTTTTCTGTTTAGATATCAATATTATATGGGTATTTAATAAATGCTAGTGCTTAAATATTGTTCCTTAAGGTTAGTATAAAAGTAGATCTGTTTTAGTACTATATTATTATGAGTCCTTTTGAGGTTTTATAAAAGTGACTCGAATTGAACATTCTCTTTTTGTTTGTCAATTTTTTTAAAAAAGGTATAGTTGTCGATTTAATTTGAAATGTGATCATAATTCAACTAATTTAATTTGCACAGGACTGCAATTGCAAATATCCATCAATAAATAGTATAAATACACTGATTGTATTAAAAAACGTGACCAAAGTTGGGAATGCTACTATTATCATAGCACTTCCCCTGCAGCAACCTGATTTAATGTTTGCATGTAGATATTAAATTCAGGATTTCACCATGTATGAAATCAGAAGATGACAAACAATCTAAAGTACATTCACGGCAAAACACTTTTAGATTTATGAGTAGGTAATATTTGGCTACAGTAATGCACCAGTTTAATTGTTATTACGTTCTCCAAGCAATATGAGTTTATAAGATATAAAATAACCTGGCAGGATGGTATGCAACTGCAATAATACAGGCAAGGATCACAAAAGGATTCTAAAATCAGAGAGAAGTTATTTTTTCTCAGTTTTCAATAATAATGTTTTCCCTGATGATCTCTCTGTGTCTTCTCTCAAATACTAAGAAGATAACCAAGGCAATTGTATTTTGACTTGGCTGAAATGGTTACATCGTGAGGTGCGTAAAGTAGATAACATTTTTGTACATTTTGTTTTGTGTCACAGATTGACTAATTTTACTTCCATTTCTTTTGCCCACGACCCCCACCTCACCACTTACTCTCTTTGTCTCCCTTCCCTGAGCATGTTAGTTCATACTGAGGTCCAGTTCTTTGGCAATTTTCGGGTAACTTGCCAACATAGCCATTTTAATGTGTGATTTATGATGGGCTGTTCTGTTCAAATACCGGCCAAACTTAATGTCCATGTGTGCGTGCACTTCCCAGCAAAGGTAAAATGTGAAACCCTTGTTTATTTCTCCTCAGGGCGAGGGACACAAAAAACAATGTAATGCTCTGATGTCCAACAAAACACAAACCAGTGATTGGACTGTAACCTTCCTAGCCTATGTGGCTGAGTACTTCTCCCTGTAGTGTATTTAGCCTTTTTGACATTTAAGACAATATTCCCCGGTGTTGGTACTTGCCATGATGAAACGTTATTTATGCTCCATGTCACAGTGCTGCTGCACTGTGATACGATACTCTTGTCAGTTGATGAGTTAAGTTTAGCACGAACAGGGCTGGCATCAAGCATTTGGGATAGGAAAGAAATCACAGCCAGTATTTCAGTTTATATTGTGGTAATCTTTAAAAAAGTAAACTTATATTTCAAATTAATCTAATTATTTGGCAGAAGTATAGCATTCTAAATGCTCCAGGTATCATTCTGGCTTCAATACCTGCAGCAGAGCAACTGAGCTGACTGTCCTCACTGGCCTCCAAGCCACTTTGTACTGGAGGGAGGCAGAGCTCTGCACAAATACACTCACCATTGTCCCACCTGCTTGGAACAATTTGCATCTTTGTCATGAACCAGCAGGACTAGAAAAAAAACTGACAGTCCACTGATTTATTAATTTAAATTGTTCTCCATTAAACTTGAATGTCGCAACAGAGTTTGCCTTGACTTTACAGTTTTTTGGAAGCTGTTTTGTACAACTTGCATTATCAAAAGTACCCCCGTTGGATGCCCTCATAAGTGTAGTATGTGAAATTGCCTGTTTCTGAAATAATTCACTGCAAATAAGTTATCGATGTACACAACTGGATATAAAATTTGAAATGTTAACATTTTATTTATATATTTCTAGTTTCAGACCTTCAATCTGAAAGCTTATATTTTTCATGTGTTTTCAACTGAAGCCTTTTTGGCCATTATATTTGCAAATAACATTTTATAAAAATATGTTTTTTCATCTATTTGCACTTTAACAAATAGATTTTTACACATAGACTTTTCAATACGTAAAACTTGGTTCTTATTATTGGGTTCCTGTATTAAAAGTCACTGTTTGCATTTTTTTCTCAGTAAATTTTGTAAAGTATTGAAACAGACTATGTGTTTATTTTTGTTTGTTTTCTGCGTGCAACTTTACCAATGCATTTTACTAATTGTGTTTTGCAATTTCACTTTTGTGACCATTTTGGTATTTACATTCTTTGTAGCCAGCACTCCCTAACGTTTTAGATAATAATAATCCTTTGATATAGCGTCTTATCACGTCTTTGAGACATTTCAAAGCGTTTCACAGAATATACTGTAAAGTGAATTGATTGTGTATTTTGTGGGTGAAACGCGATAGCCAATTCCCCACAACAGTGTCCTACAAACAGTCATGGATTGAGTGACCATATTATGATTTTTTTTTAAAAGGATTATTACCCCGAAAAAAGCGATCTACCAAATATCTAACAATCGGGTTCCCACATACTACTTGGCATGTGGAGTAAGCAAACTTGTCTAACCTTTCACCCTGGCCGGGAATTGAACACAGGTCCTCTCCTGGCGAGTGCTCTAACCAATACACAAAAGAACTCCACTCCCTAAAGTTTTGCAACCTTGCTGGATGTTCTTTACATAATGGTAATAATAAGTCTTGCATTTGAATTACAGCATGTTGTTAACTCACCTCACAGTCCTTCACAGGATATACTGTAAAATGGTGTCACTGTATTTTGTGGGTGAACATGCCAGCCAAATTGTGCACAACAATGACCTTCAAACAGTCATGGACTTAGTGACCAATTTTATTTTGGGAATTGTTCGCCAGGACATCGGGATATAGTTTCTTCTGTTTTTGAATAGTACAATGGGATCTTTAACAAAAACCTGAGAGGCAAACCAGACGCCGTTTTAATGTCTCCTCTGAAGGACCACGCTGCCAACAGTTCAGTGCACTGAATCCCCAGCACTGTATTGGAATGTCAGGATAATAATCCTTAATAATCCTTGCATTTGATATAGCGCTTTTCACATCTTCTAGACGTCTCAAAGCGCTTCACAGAATGGACTGTAAAGTGAGTTGACTGTATATTTGTAGGTGTAATGTGGCAGCCAATTGTGCACAGCAGTGTCCCGCAAACAGTCGTGGATTGAAATGACCAATTTTTTTTGAGGGATTATTAGCCATGTGGAGTAAGGAAGCTTGCTCAAGGGTTTCACCCATGGACTTAGTGACCGATTTTATTTGGGGAATTGTTCACCAGGACACCGGGATATAGTTTCTTCTGTTTTTGAATAGCACAATGGGATCTTTAACAAAAACCTGAGAGACAAAGCAGACGCCGTTTTAATGTATCTTTCTAAAATAGACAATATTGCTGCTTTCTAAAATGTTTGATATTGTACACCCTTTGTACAAATTTATAAGAACCTGTGGGTCATGAAACTGCTAATAAATGTTTGAAGCAGCATCAAATCTTTTCTAATTTATGAGAGTACCATCCTAGTCATCAATTAGCACAATTTGACAAAGATAAATGACAAAATCTTTGATTCTATTGGAAACTAAATCAGTGACCTTACTTTCATACTCTTGAACTTCCATTTATATCCCATTGGAATACATCCAAAGAGGACTTAGTGTATAGGGTACAATATTTGTGGCGCTAAATAAACCACTTTTTTTAAAAAAAAGAATAAAGGAAATGGATGCAGCATTTATAAAATATGTTTAAGAGAAAAAAGTCAAAGCAAGTAAGGCATGTGAAAAGGGTTAACAAACTTTTGTTTTCACTTAATTTTAGTTTGAATCGTTTTCAAATTGCTTTCCAGAATAAGTTTTTTTGGACCAAAGGAACAGAGATGTTATCTTTACCTCCGAGGATTTTTGGGTGCTTCAGGAACGATACTGCTCTTCTACGCCATTCAACATATGCCTTTGGCAGATGCCACTGTCATTGCATTTAGCTACTCAATCTTTGTTGGAATATTTGCATGGATGTTTCTGAAGGAAAGATGCACTATTTGGCAAACAATCTTCACAATTTTTATCTTAATTGGGGTGATTCTTATTGCAAGACCTCCATTTCTGTTTGGCTCTCACATTCCTGGAATTGAAGTTAACTATACAGAACACATCAAAGGGACATTTGCTGCCTTTGGAAGTGCGTTATGTGCTGCAATGAGTATGATTGTAATTCGAAAGATGGGGATAGCTGTTCATTGCTTTATATCTATTTGGTACTTTTCAGTTATTGGTTGCATTGAATCTGTGATTGTGATCTCAATAATTCAGGAATGGCGGTTGCCTTACTGTGGAAAAGATAGAGTGTTTCTATTAATAATCGGTCTCTTTGGAGTCATAAGTCAGGTACTTATCACAAAAGCCTTACAAATCGAAAAAGCTGGACCAGCAGTACTAATGAGGACAATGGAAGTGGTTATGGCATTCATATTGCAATACTTTTTCCTCAATCATTCCCCTACTTGGTTAAGTTTGGGAGGAGCACTCTGTGTGATAGTTGGAACTTGTGGAATTATTTTTCACAAATGGTATACTAGAAAAGAAAGTCAACAGTAACAATTGCATGGTTTGTTTTGGTATGCAACCAATGCAACGGGTTAGATTTGTGGAGAGAATCTGCTCGTGTAAAATTGCTATGGTTTGAATTAAATTGGTAGTTAAGCATTTAGAACTGCATTCATAATTCAAAATGCCATGACCATAGATGGCCAACAAGAGCGACTTACAATTATATAGCGCCCTTCGTGCAGGTAGCATCTTGGAGTGCTTGAACATAGCCTTAACACAAATAAGCAACCACCTAGAAATTATAAATGTTCTTTTGGTTCAGCTTTGTGATTTCACTGAAAACATTTAAATTTTTTAACAAAAACTAATGTTTTTTTTAATAATATGTAATATACAGATAAACGCAGTTGTGATGAGATTGCTTCTTATGAGATTTACACTGGGTGCTAGCTCTCTCTCTTTAAAATTCAGGGAACTGTTCTTAAACCTACTGCATATCCAAATAGGAATGCACTTTAAAATAGACACTTTTGAAAAATATTGATTACGGTGATGCTTTTCAATCTGCTTTGTTTACACAATCAAATTACACTTTAATCTTTTCTGTTTAGATATCAATATTATATGGATATTTAATAAATGCTGGTGCTTAAATATTGTTCCTTAAGGTTATTATAAAAGTAGATCTCGTTTAGTACTATATTATTATTAGTCCTTTTGACGTTTTATAGAAGTGACTCGAGTTGAACATTCTCTTTTTGTTTGTCAGTTTTTTTAAAAAAGGTATAGTTGTCAATTTAAATTGAAATGTGATCGTAATTCAACTAATTTAATTTGCCCAGGACTGCAATTGCAAATGTCCATCAATAAATAGTATAAATACACTGATTGTATTAAAAAACGTGACCAAAGTTGGGAATGCCACTATTATCGTAGCACTTCCCCTGCAGCAACCTGATATAATGTTTGCATGTAGATATTAAATTCAGGATTTCACCATGTATAAAATCAGAAGATGACAAACAATCTAAAGTGCATTCACGGCAAAACACTTTTAGATTTATGAGTAGGTAATATTTGGCTACAGTAATGTTTAGTTCTTCATTTTTTTGAAACCATTTTCGTTGTGGCAAAAGTAATACTCTAAAACAAAATTTATAGTTAGAACTCTTGCACCAGTTTAATTGTTATTACGTTCTCCAAGCAATATGAGTTTATAAGATATAAAATAACCCGGCAGGATGGAATGCAACTGCAATAATACATCCAGGCAAGGATCACAAAAGGATTCTAAAATCAGGCAAAAGTTATTTTTTCCCAATTTTTAATAATAATGTTTTCCCTGATGGTCTCTCTGTGTCTTCTATCAAATACTAAGAAGATAACCAAAGCAATTGTATTTTGACTTGGCTAAAATGGTTACATCGTGAGGTGTGTAAAGTAGATAACAAATACTTGTATAAACTTTTACGTTTTGTGTTTATTTTTGTTTCTAAGTAAAGATAATGCTATTGAATAGATATCCAAAGAATAATGTGTGCTGTACCAAATATTGAGTTGGGGTGTACTTGCAATGGATTATTTCTGAACCTGGCCTTTGATTTTTTTTAATGTTTTTTCTTCAACCAGAATTTATTTTCCGCTTTCTCTTGTTTTCTTTTGCTTTGTGTCTATTTTCCTCATTCTCTGACAACTACCATTGTTTCTGTTCAGTTTTGTGTCTCCCACTTACGCCATAAATATTTTTTAAATGTGTGGTATAAGCAGAAGGCACAATGAACTGATTATCATATGTAGTGTTGCATGTATCCAAAGGCATTAACAACAGTAATTTATTGTTCAGTTTGGTTCCATTCAACCTTATCCACACATTTTTATTTTTCTAATAAAAAAAAATCCTCTAATTTACATTGTTTCCCAATAAACGGAGGACATTCAGTGGAACTCAGTTGTCTACCAAGAAAATAAACCATTGGTAGCTTATTGTTAGTAAGTTTCCCAAATCCTTTGTACATTTTGTTTGTGTCACAGATTGACTAATTTTACTTCCATTGCTTTTCTTGCCCACGACCCCCACCTCACCACTTACTCTCTTTGTCTCCCTTCCCTGAGCATGTTAGTTCATACTGAGGTCCAGTTCTTTGGCAATTTTGGGTAACTTGCCAACATAGCCATTTTAATGTGTGATTTATGATGGGCTGTTCTGTTCAAATACCGGCCAAACTTAATGTCCATGTGTGCGTGCACTTCCCAGCAAAGGTAAAATGTGAAACCCTTGTTTATTTCTCCTTCTCAGGGCGAGGGACACAAAAAACAATATAATGCTCTGATGTCCAACAAAACACAAACCAGTGATTGGACTGTAACCTTCCTAGCCTATGTGGCTGAGTACTTCTCCCTGTAGTGTATTTAGCCATTTTGTCATTTAAGACAATATTCCCCGGTGTTGGTACTTGCCATAGTGAAACGTTATTTGTCCCGCATGTCACAGAGCTGCTGCACTGTGATATGATACTCTTGTCAGTTGATGAGTTAAGTTTAGCACGAACAGGGCTGGCATCAAGCA